TTGGACGAGCTCATTGGACCTCTAAGCGCTCACATCACCCAACTTCTTAATCAGCCCGTTACAGGCACTGACGACAGTGTTGAGCATGCAGAAACTAAGCGTGCCTATCTGACGTTGTTGACCAACGTCATGTCCTCCGACCTCCACGACATTTTTATCTCTGATCGTAAGTTTTCGTTTGACTGTCGTGGGCTGGTCTCAACCTTGTGTAGGCAACAAATCCACTTTCGAACCCCTGTTGATCAGCATGAGTCGATTGGCAGAAGATATTTCGGACTCGAGTAGCCAGAAATCTGCTTTCGCATTCCTTAGCCGCTGTGTTCAGGTCTGGTGCCGACCAGCTACAGCAGCGGACGGTCAAGCGGCCCAGGGTGTACCCGGCTTTGAGCGATTCGTCTACGAGCGTCTCGTTCCTACAGCCTTCGTGGTGCTTTCATCGCCTCAATTCAATATCAAGGATGGACAGATGATGGTTGTATGTACCAATGTAGCACTCACCCGCCCCCCATATCTGACATCTGGTTTAGGTTTTACTGGAAATCGGCAACTTCCTCCAGATAGTTTGCAAGACTAGAGGGCGAGAAGCAGAGGAATTCTTTTTGTCCGCCTTTCTCCCTTCACAAGGCTGGCCACCAGATACCGCCATGGAGTTCACGGGCAAACTTCGAGACCTTGATAACAAGGCTTTTCGGAAGTACTTTGCTGATTTCGTACGTTCATCTCGATCGCAGGCTTCCTCGTAGCACATCGGGGCAATTTTGCTTTCTTGTTCATTTGCTCCAGTAATCGCATTTATCGCAAGAATGACAACCGTATATGTAGTTGATGAAGGGATGTTGGTTGTGAGATGTTTGGCAACAGCTTCTGGTTTCAACAGAGGCAAATATTCCCGAAATGGAAGTCGGAGAGCGACACGGAAGTACTGGCATTAAAGAAGGAACAAGTAGTTGATCTCCTTCTATGGTCTGCTTCAAGAGGAGCCTACTGTGACTTATTACTGTTGAATTACTGCGCGAACGATGGCTTCTAGTGGGTCACGAACTTTCGAATGGGGAGAATGTACTGAGCTTGTTGATTATCAGCACGCCGCACGGGGAAGACAAAAATCGTGCGTGTTACATTCCGCCAGCCATTCAGTATTGACAATGAATCTTTCTGGGTAGAAACCACCCCGCAAGGTAAGCGATCTTTGAAATGAAAGCGGCTCGCAGTTGATAAGCAATCCCAGCACGAATCAGAAGTATCATTGGATGAAACTTGGTCCCGCCTGTCGACGAATATCCGTGAAATCCATAACCAGAATGCATCAAATCTTTCATTCGAGGAGAACTACCGCTTTGCCTACAATATGGTGCTGTACAAGAACGGTGGTGTCCTATATAAGGGGGTCTGTGGGCTGGTGGCGGAGAACATTGACAGGTTAGCACAAAGCGAAATTGTTCCTGCTTTCCCCAGTGGCAGTAGCAAGGATCCTGTGCAACAAAGTCAAGAGGGAGAGTCGCTATTGAGGGCTCTCAAACGTGTGTGGGACGATCATACTGGGAATATGTCGAAGCTTCGAGATATTCTCAAGTACATGGTGAGCATTCCACCGCGGCGTTCATTCATTACTCACACGGAAGTGTCCATAGGACCGCGTCTATACGAAGGCTAATGATGTTCCAGAAATCTGGGACGCCGGCCTAGATCTCTTCTTGAAGCACATCATACGACCCCCAATACAGGATCATATTACCTCTGCAGTCCTTAGCTTAATCCAGATCGAGCGTGACGGATATGTCATCAGCCGCTCTGCGGTGAAGGAGTGCGTCGGCGTCCTTCTGCAGCTGAGCGTCGATCATGACGCCAAAACTGTCTACAAGCGGGATCTAGAGCCAGCGGTGCTAATAGCTAGTGAAACCTTCTACTCTGCTGAAGGTAAACGACTTCTGGAAACGTGTGATGCACCAGAGTATCTGCGAAGAGTATGTGTTCTATCCGCTCAAAGAATTCAGGTTACCCTCATGATGTGCAGGTCGAGGCACGTTTCGATTCGGAACAAGCGCGAACTGATCATTACCTCTACTCCCAAACTGGTGGTCCTCTCCGAAAGATTCTCGAGCGCCATTTATTAACACATAATCTGTCGGCTGTCATTAGTATGCCCAATTCCGGACTCGATGTCATGGTAGACCTCGATAAATTTGACGACCTCAAACGCTTGTACTACCTATTTAGCATGGTTCCTAGTGGAATGCCTACCCTACGAAGGTCATTCAAGGATTCGATCTTACGGAGAGGAAGAGAGATCAACCTTGCTTCCGCGAGTCTTGAAACTGGCCAAGACATGGATGATGGAGACTTGAATGAAGCTGAAACTACAAAAGGAAAAGAAAAGGGTCAGGGTCGCGCTGCTACTGGGCCTCCGACGTTAGCACTGGCCTTGAAATGGGTACAAAATGTACTCGATCTGAAGGATAAATTCGACTGCGTTTGGACACGGTCATTTGACAGCAACCGAGAGGCGGAGAGCTCTTTGAATGAGGTCAGCGTTCTGTTCTGTAGTCCCTGTATATCCTAATGTGGGTTACAAGGCATTCGAAGACTTCATCAATCTAAATGAGAAGGCACCCGAGTACATCTCGCTCTTCGTTGATGAGAACCTCAAGAAGGGCCTCAAAGGCGTCAGTGACGCAACTCCTATGATTCTCGCGCTCATTGATTATATTTCAGAAAACCGATATGGAGGTCGATGCTGTCCTAGATAAGACCATCACGGTTTTCCGATACATCACAGAGAAGGATGCTTTTGAACGATACTACAAGAATCATCTTGCCAAACGGTTACTACTCGGCAGGTCGGTTTCAGATGATGCTGAAAGAGGCATGCTGGCGAAGCTCAAAGTTGAGTGCGGGTACCAATTCACTCAAAAGCTGGAGGGCATGTTCCACGATATGAAGATATCCACTGATACCATGCAAGCCTACCGCAAGTACCTTGAAGGCGTTTCAGTAGGCGTGCTGATCTCGTCTTGTTGCGCTTTTTAATGGACTTTCAGGCACCTGAAGTGGAGATCTCTGTGACCGTGATGACGTCGACTTTCTGGCCGATGTCGCATTCTAGTGCATCTTGCATTTTCCCCGAAATTCTTACCAGGGCTTGCAAGTCATTCGAGCATTTCTATTTTTCCCGCCACTCAGGGCGACGCCTCGCATGGCAACCCTCACTCGGAAATGCCGACGTCCGTATTCAGTTTAAGACCAGGAAGCACGATGTTAATGTATCGACATTTGCACTCGTGATCTTGCTACTTTTCGAGAATTTGACAGACGATGAGTTCCTTACATACGAGGTGGGAGTTCTTACTAGTTTACGATGTTTCGATCTATCTGACGCTCCTGATCAGGAACTGAAAACTGCTACTTCAATCCCAGATACTGAGCTTCAACGGCACTTGCAATCCCTAGCATGTGCAAAATTCAAGATTCTCAAGAAACATCCCCCCGGACGAGACGTTCATCCATCGGACTCGTTTTCCTTCAACAATGAATTCACATGCCCAATGCAAAAGATTAAAATAAGCACGGTATCCGCCAAGGTGGAAACCACTAAGGAGCGGAGAGAAACTCGCGATCGTATCGAAGAGGAAAGACACCATCAAACTGAGGTGAGGTTCACAATCAACCTTGTCATGATTAATGAACTCTGACACCTGCCGTTTATTAGGCGTGCATCGTTCGCATCATGAAAGACAGAAAACACCTGACTCACAATGAGCTCGTCAATGAAGTTACTCGACAACTTGCCTCTCGATTCCAGCCGAACCCCCAGAATATCAAGAAACGAATCGAAGGGTTAATCGATGTGGGTAACGTTGCTTGTTTATCCTGCATGATCTAATTTATATCCGGCACAGCGAGAGTATCTTGAGCGCTGTGAAGATCGCAAATCGTATAATTATCTTGTGCGTGTTTATCATCTTTTCATGTTTCCCTTCTTCTCATTGCCATCCAGGCATGAGGCATGGATCCACAACACTAAATATTTTACACGCCATCATAAGTAATGGTTCATCCCAAATAATGTGCAATATCTCTGGATGACCAGTCGACGCTCAAATATTCACCATGCCATGAAAGGTCGGACTAACATGACTTCGGGCGAGATCGGGATGAATGATACAACGCTGCGACAGTCTCACTTCTCGCGCACATCTTTGCAACGAAATTTATTGCTACATACTGCTATACTTGACAAAGCAACATGTAGGCTCTGAAGAGAAACACAACCAAAGAGTAACCCTTGGAAGTGCGCCCTTCTGAGACTTTCGACCTGGGTTAATTGATTTGAAGGTAACTTCATGGGTAATACCCATGGACAATCACGCGCGCGGGATCTACAACACAACAGGATGCAGCAATGCCCGCGTCCGAGCATGCTCATCACCATGGCTGCAGGCCTAGGCACATGTCAATAACTAGCTGAAAAATCGTCAACACGATATCACACCCCGTCAGATCTTGACTTACTGAAGGCCAGCTCGAAAAGGCTGCCGACAACTTCTGAAGACGAAGTAAATACACTTCATCCACCGTAATAAGCCCAACGTCCACTGCCAAAATTGTGAGATTTGTCAAAGATCCAACGATATTAGACCAACCTTGATACAGACAAGGGGCCACTCTGCCTAGACTCGTCTTCCAAAGACAATCCTGGCTAATATTGCAGGCGCTCTCTCTCCTACTACCTGACTTCGTCGGTGTAGGGACTAGCAGCTGCCTAGACTCGTAGTCTTCCAAATACCTGACTGTGTCAGTGTAGGGACTAGCAGGGCCAAATCCTGACTGGCTGGCGCTCTCTCTCCTGCTACCTCACTTTATCGGGTAGCAAGGCCTCAGTGCCTAGAATCGTCTTCCAAAGACAATCCTGGCTAACAGGTGCTCTCCCTCCTACTACCTGACTTCTGTCGGTGTGGGGACTGGCACTAAACGACGGCTTCACAGGACTAGTACTGTGAAACGTTCAACAAAGGGTTGGTGTTCAAAAATATGACCAACCTTGTCCATGCCGAAGGGGTCCGGAACCGAAGAAAGTAAAAGGCGATGTAGCTTGTCCTTATATGCAGCCTCATTTTAGGGCAGGTCAGATGTGCAGGAGCGCACGGCCCACACTCGATATGGCAGGTAATGTCACTTTTCACGCAAACTGACAAGCTCTCGGAAAGAATAATTTAAGAAAAAATAATCTATAGTTCATCTCTATCGCGGTGGCCTGATCCATAAAATGCCTCGGCGAGTTCTATGAAACGCGGTCAAAACAATGAACAATACCTTAGCAAGGTGGAAATATCACTTACTTCGACGAATGTCTGAGTTGAGCTTGACAGGCAACACGACGTTGTACTCTATAAAAAGGTCGCCGAAATCGTCTGTCTGATGCTGGGGCATCCCCTCGCCCTCTATAGTTTGAACATAACCTGCGATGAAGATGAACACTCTCATAGACCAGGCAAGTAAACGGCAGTAGCTTACCGGGTTGGGTCACTCCTTGGCGATCTATCTCGATAACATGACCGTCGAGATGTGTGATATTGCGTTGGAATCCGAGGAGAGCCTACAATTTAAGCAGGATCAATAAGCTGTCGAAGGACAACAATGTCAACAGAGCTTACCTCATCGACGCCAATGGTCTCCCGCCAGTACAGGCTGCTCTCCTTCCGTCGCCAGGTACCTTTCTCCTTCTTACTTCGCACTCTCAAAACAACATCGCCAGCCTCCCAGTCTGGGCTCTCATCTCCCTCTCCCTCAAACACGACATCAAACCCTTCTGGTGTACCCGGTTTCAACTCCAAAGTATACTGTTGTGTATGCTCGACCACCTTCTCTCCTTTGCAGTGTGGACATAGTTTCTTGATGACCCTTCCCCGACCACCGCAATCGTTACATGTCGACTGAGTCTGTGCAAACATGCCAGGAAATATTTGCTGTTTGAATGTTTTCACGCCTGCTCCACCACATCCTGAACAAGTATGGATGTCACCGTCCGAAGCAGCACCTGAGCCACGACAGTGATCGCAAAGTATCTTTTTCCTCATCGTGAACTGTTGAGGGTGAAGTGTCAATTCGACAGAGTAACAACGCGGAAGACCAAGTCAAGACGAACGTCAGTATTTGCACCCGTATACCTACGCGGCTCATGAGTTAACCGTTGTAGATATGCGGAACTATGAGCTTACATATCCGCAAGTGAAACCTCGAATTCAATGAGCACAGTTTGTCCACGTCGCACTTGCTGCTGTTGATTGACTGCTTACTGATCAGCGCAAAGAGCTAGTGACAAGAAACCGCAAACCCACAAGCACCACCGAAAACGTTAGAGAATATGTCGAAAGGATTGGCATGATGTTGTTGTCCACCTTCGTGCGCCCTCAATCCTTCCTACATGCAAAGTGCGTGTTGATATTCAAATGAATATTTAACGAGTTGATGATGGACTCACTTCACCGTGCCTGTCATAAATTTGGCGTTTCTAAATGAAATTGAGCGAATGTCAAGAAAGGCTTGAGGCTTGTGCGTACCGTGGAGTCTGAAAGGACTTCGTACGCTGATGTAGTATCATGAGGATGCCATTCTATGGAAATGCGTGCAATTCGATTTACCATGAGCAATATCAACAAACTTCTCCTCTGCCCCTGGATCCGTATTTTTGTCAGGGTGATACTGCTTGCTTAGACGCTTGTATGCTTTGCGGATATCCTGTTCCGATGCATGTTTAGACACTGAAGGCCGGGTATATCAGTCAGATGCTAGTCAAAACCAGTTGGTACACGCCTTGGACTGACGCTCAAGAACTTTGTATAGATCGGCTGCGTTAACAAGAACAGCGAAAAGCAGCCATAGCAAGGCTACGTATGAAGCCAAGTGCATTGTGGACCGAGGCCTTCAGTGAAAGGAGGAACGGAAATTTGACGTCTTACGGCGAATAGTTTGAAGTTGCTGTCACTTTTGCAGAACACGTATATCTCACTTCACGTGACAAATAACTGACTTTCCTTTTCTGGGGGCATCTCATTCCTGCTCTCAAATTTGGTGGTCACTGCAGGAAAAGCGTCGAACAGCTTTGTCCAAGGGCACTGATGCTACGACGGCGAGCAGGGGCTATTGTGCGCGATCTTAACCGAAAATCTTCTCTGCGAAAGTACTCACAAGACGTACCCCAATACCATCCAAAAGTCAGAGGTCACCAGCATTCGTCTCGTACTCGCTGCAGTCTGCTAACCGGCATCTTTCAGCCATTCCATTCGCGTTTTCAAAAGAGGCTGCTATCAGACATGTTGGTGTAGCAGCTTCTGCAGCCTGCTTATTCCGCAATTTCCTTGGGTCGCTCGGTGCAAAGTATATCGGTGGAGACTTTCAGCCAATTCAACCCATCCGCATTCAACCTGTCTATTTTCCTGCTTGGTTCTTGGACGCAGAACTTGAGTCGTACTTGAATGATGAGGATGACGAGCGGCAGGTATATCCACGTACCTCTTCCTGTTTACATTCATTAAGCGGGAACCTTGTAGCGAATTGTCACCGCGTATTTTAATAACTGGTACTAGCTCTTTTAACAAGCTTCTTCTCAACTGACGAATGCCATGTAGTTACTTACCGGGTGCGATCTCTCCATACCAGGCATACCAGCGAGGTTGATCACTTTCACCAGGGGCTACTTTTGATCTCCTCGGGAGGCTTGCTCTTCGAAATGACCAAGTAGAGCCTAGTTTGGCTATTCCATTTTCTCATAGCCTCACGCATCAACATGGTTCTGATGTCATATGTATGCCCTACACTATCAGTCCACTCGATGTTATCAGCCGCACACGGTCCTCGTCCTTCACTCAGGCTACTACTGACGAAGATGTGCGTTTCGAGCCACGGTTCATTAAAACCAATATAGTATGTCATTTCCCCTGATACATCCTTTTCCTGCTTACCCTAGAACAGGAAGCTGCCTACCCCGTCCTAATACCGCTTTATCTGGTTCAATTTCCAATGCTCCCACCGTTTGAGTCTTCCACGTTCGTCATAGAGGCATACAGTCGACCCGTAGGTCTTTAAAATAAGACTCAATACTACTCACGATATCCAACGTACAAGGGCCGGTTTTTCATCCAAATTTCCCATCCTCCTGACCTACCAGAAGAAGATCGGTTTGACTTGGAAAAATACATTGGTTATGACTTCTTGTTTTTAGGCGATACTCCGTCATCGCATGCGGAGACCCGCGTTCTCGCTCCCAAATACGATAAAAACGCATCTGCAGATGTTGCATCATGGTTCGATGGGTTATTCAGCGAGCCTGGTGGTGCAGAGAAGCTGGTACATCCGAACGGAGCAGCAGGTGTTAACGTGCATATGGATGACCCTAGGGTGCGCGAGTGGACTACTGGAGAGGTCAACTCCATTCGGGAATGGATGAATCAGGGGCAAGCGATCGTCCAGCTGAAAGATGTGGTCAAGGTTCGTTCTCAGCCTGAGTTGAGACCCATATGCTTATTCATGATTAGAGTCTTACTTCTATCGAGGACCAGATGCAAAGTGGCTCTGTGAAGGTGACCCAGTGGCCGCCACCTTCAGATCCCAAGGAGGGAATAGGAAGAGTCACTGCCGGATTGGAGGCTTTTATCAAGGCAGAGCTCGACAAGCTCCAAAAGCTAGAGAAGTCCCGTGCCGACTCGGCGCCGGAGTGGTGGCGACAAAGAGAGGAGAAACGAACACCAAACCAGAAGTGAACGTAGTATTTCAGTGTTTTGTCGATGTCCACCGTCAGCGTATCAGTGCTTGAATTTTTATGGAGTCGTGAATTACGGGGAGATAAAAATCGACTCTATTGATTTTAAATAGTCAAGGCATAGTATCACGATTCACGATTAGCATTTTTCAAAGGTCGTTGATCCTCAATATTGTGGCCCATATGTATCTGGACATATATGTCTATACATCGACTGGCAGCACATCCTAGTCACAGGTCAATTTTAATACCGCATGTACAAAACACAGAGCTTCGAATACTTCTTGGGCGCCGGGCCACTTGAGACTCGGAGGGCAATATTAAGGTGAGCAGCCGTGGGAAAAACAAAATGGTTTCAGAGTCAGTAAAGTTGAATCCGCATTCCCTACCCTTCAAATCGACCTTCAGAAGCTCGACGCTTTGACTCCCTTTTCGCGATACCATCACGCTACGATGCAGGTAACTCGGGTGTCACAGTGTGTCCACATTCTGTCAGACGGTCAGGGAGACCTGTGATCCTCTTGGAGTACTGAGTCCTGCCAGTGACACTGTAGCGTATGCGTCGATAAATCCGCAGAGTGGGGCATGTAGATTTCGTGGAATTGGTTGACCACGGCATTCACTTGTCTCACTCTAAGGATGGGCCTTAACTTGTTGTGCCGTTACTTACAAGATCTAGACAGGAACTACCATTATCCATACGACAATGGTCAAATCCCGAACAGTCCACTGCGACTAGCCTTCAAATTGTACGCTGCACCACCCACATCACCTATCAATGAAAACCTTTGTGGTTCAAAAGATTCCACAATTATTCCACACTTTTATCTCGTATATATCCAGTTCGCCTGTGCTCGTAGAAGTTTATCAGAGCTTTACATTCTCAAATCAACAGACTCACTATTTTTGATCGCACCATAGCCTTGTATTGGTGCGCTCTTGTACCTTTGTCGACTGGTGTCAGTCTAACCTATGATTTTCATAGCATCATGTAAATTTGTCGTCCCTATTCGCACTTGCTCAAAGTGCCACAAAAACGAACCGCTTTTCGACGAGAAGGAAAGCCGGTTGTCACATGTGGAAAAGAATGAAGTACCACAATCATCTATGCTTGACAGCTATTCGGCTCATTGCGTTCCCAACAGCGAAAGCTAACATACATGGCACCCCCTCAGGACTGCTATTCGCGCTCATGCATCTTCATCAGCGAACACTCTAATGTTTGCAGCTCCTGCTGGATCACTTGTAAACAAACGTCAGTGGCAAGCTTTCGTGTTATTCATATGGTTTGACATTTTTCATGCTCTGCAGACATTACAAAACACGCGAGATGCCGGGTGGCCCACCTTCATATGTTTGCCACACGCGATCACCGGTATTGTACATTGCAGCCGCTACTTGGCGGGGGCAAGATCTTCCGCAAAATTATATCGGGCACATGGCGTTTCTGAATACCTATCTTTGGCACTCGCTACGAAATATCACACAACGTTGCTTCTGAGTAACTTCACTCGTCTCGGACACGCGAAGGGCCGATGACGTGCGGCTCCGGTGGGGCCTTGCCATTCACTGTTGTTCGCTGTTCTGCACTGCTTTTTATGTAAGTTGACAGGTTGCGACTTAGATAGCTGTTGCTGTGCGCCCTGAAATGTTTAATGCGACAGCCGAGATGTAGCACATGTAAGTACATACCATCATTTTCGGATCTGTGGTGCTGAGGGTTATACTCCGAGTCCATTGAGGATGCTAGCTTGTAAATATACGTAATTTGATCATATCTGCACTTGATCTGCACTTTATCATTGTTTTATGACCACGTTCGCAAGAACGTTGCCAGATGCTGACAACAAAACACAGATTGCAGATGTCTTCTCATATGGGATGCCTGGGCGGCCATGCATGGATCGCATGTATATATAATATATATGTTGACCTGGGACAATGTCGGTTCGTTCGCATACATTATCATGAGTGCTTCGCTGCCAGCGACTCAAGTTGACGCGCTCTCAGGCTTGAACTTCAACGTGAGTGCGAGTCCTGCTATCGAGTCCAAAGTCAATCATTAATCACTGATCCGCTCGTCCCAGTACATCTATGGTGCAGTTGTTATCTACTATCAGTTGCTTTCAGCATCTGATCCAACATGTTGTTACTCCCGATAGTTGCACTAGTATCACTTTGGGTGAGCTATAACAGTTACCACATCCGATTGGCATACACTCATGTTTCACTTGGGCACCCAGTCGTATGACTACATACTGTGCCTGCCCAGCGCGGCAAGTAGAAGCTTGCTTGAACGGGCGACAGCGTTCTGATCTGTAGCCGGTGCAGATCACTTTCATCGTCGAGTCTCGATGGGGGCTCGGCACAATTCTGTATCTAGCTTGTAGCCACTTGCCATTTGCCTTCCTGATACCGAATATGCTCGGTGAGTGTCTGGTACCCATCTCCATTTTTCTTCCCTCATAGTGTGATGCCTTTCAGTTGTTTTTCGACCTGATTCCCCACTCCACGTATGTGCAACCAAGTTGAAGCGTCGCAAACGCTATAATTCAACCTATCCCAATTGTAGCTTTGTCGCTCTTATAATATTGCTAATACTTGTGAGTTTGCTGACACTTTGCCCTGACACCTACTGACACCGTATCCAATACTTCATTAGATGTCGGGATACTGACGGTCGTTTGCGCTGAGAGTGAGTACAGCAATCGACTACTAAGCCAACAATGATTCTGCGCTCTAACATTTGCACTGGTTCAGGCATATTCATACTCAGAGCATATGCAGTTTGGGCACGGGAGAGATGGATTGCAGTGTGCGCAGTCGTCAGCACCATTGTGAGATCAATATTTGGAGGCCACGACCAACTCCGAGTGACGATGTCTGACTCATCTTCTGCAGACCTATCTAGTACCGATTACCATCTGCCTACAGGAATTTAACTCGTTACTCTCCGGTGCGTATACATTCAACTTGGGTTAGAAAAGCTCCTTACCTCTGGCATACAGAACCATGCTATATCCCTGGTGTTTCCGGACTTGTGGATCCGGAGACAGGCTTCAGATTATATGTAGCATTTGGCTTGCTAGCTGTCGCCGAATTACGTTCGTATTGGGGCTGCTGCTAACACGAGCTTGAACTGACTGCATTCCCATGCATGCACACAATTTCAGAAATATTATTGTTTCTGCTGTATCGCACCGTCAAGAGTCATGGTGGGTGGAGGATTGAAAACCGTCTTATGCTCAGCCTCTTGCGACATAATCTGCTGTATTTCGGCTGCAGCTTTGGTTGGTGCCCGCAGATCAACAGATACCTCACATATTTACTAGCAAAATGTTGCAGCCTTTAACCTCAGTGTCATTGTTGCTACAGCTTTGCTTCCGGTGAGTCAATGTATTCGTTCAAAGCCGGGCGCCCTATTAACAAGAAACATAGCTTCCATATGCACATGTGCTTGCAGAGTTTGTCCATTCTCATTTTGGAGTCGGTGAGGATTACTCACTCCTCTGCAGGATTCAGGTTGTTATACAATCCCTCTTGGTCACGCGAATGCACAGGGACTTCTACAAATCGGACCGTGCTTCTTGTGGCATCAACACAAATGGCTCTCTCGCAACGTGGGTGGTGGGTGCCATGGATGTTGCGTGACGGTGTTCTCTGAGGGCCAAAGAATGGACGACGGACGGACAGATAAACAAGTCGGGTCGAAGATATATATGTACTACAAACCGCTTTGCTGGAAATCAACCCATCAGTCAATGTACTTGAATCCCGAATTCGGGTTGCTGGTTGCTTCCGGTGTGATATAACGGCCAGCAACTGCAGAAGATTGAAAAGATGGGTGTTGATTAATCTCATCCCACTCCTCCGGGTCTGCGTGGTCAACTTGGTTGATACAAGGGAGCGTGGAGAAAATGATGCGAGCAGCAGCTTCAGCATCCGCTACGTCAGAGAATGTTTACAACATCGATGTCTATTTGCACAAGCTACGGAATGCAACGGTAAGTGGACGAAGTTGATTATCTGCTAAGGTCATGTAGCGAATGCGCGGCCAACTTGACATGGCTTTCATGAGAAGGTCGCTTTTGCGGTAAATGGGGCAATTTTCAAAAATGAGGCCCAGGATTCGCAGTTGTGTAAAACGAAGGGATTGTGCAATTGCTGTCGAAGAGTTGTTTGAGGTCTCCTCATCTTCTGAATCAAAGGAGAAGATGATGATGTGTTCAAGGGTCTGGCATGCATTGCACTGCCAGTGAGATAGTGCACAAAGAACTTGAAGCTGCTCAGCCTCGGCCCGAGGCATGATTCGGACACGCATCTTGAACTGCTTTAGCGAGAGGAATTCTGAGAGTTGCAAGGCTGTGATAGTGTATGCAGCGCCGGGCCGCCGTGTGCATATAGAAATGAAGGACCGTGACATCGAGGAAAGGTGCAAATTTGACATCATGTCGGTCTAATAGCCAGCTTCCGTTACCAATCTCCAAATAGAGAGGCGTGAAGAGGCTGGACAACCTAGATATTTCGGCCGCATGCATGAACGGATGGTTTCAGCCAGCAAGGATGACTCGTCCGCTGTGGGACCAGCATCACTGATGGTCAAAGCCTTCAAAGAAGCACAACGGGTCCCAATAGATTTCAAAGCTGGGTGAATTGCAGATAAATAACCAAAGCGTAGCATATGAGACAGGAAGAGGTGCAGATATCTGTTAACGGTAGCCTCAATCTGCCGTGGAGGACTGCGAGAAGCTGAAGTTTAGCTGTTCGGTGAGCCAATGAATTGAAGAGCGTGACTAGTCTGCACTGACCCCTGCATCACTATGATATATTATTGGATGTAGCCTCGTCACACAGCCTAGCAGTGGTTCTAACTCGTCTATATTGGCGGCTTAGCACGCAGTGAATCCATTGCAGGCTCGTAAAAGATTTTGCGTGTCGTTGCAAGCGATGCAAGACATTGTGGATACAATGATACCTGGCGAGTAGAACCAGCAGATTAGTGTTCCGTGAAAAACTCCACGCCGAGTTTTGGACATGTTTATAACATTGGGCATCCCCAGGCCAGTTATTGACGCGTGTTTTTAACTAGTTTTTGACGAGTTATTGACACCGGCCATATTGGAACTTTTGTGCTACAGAATTTGAGAAAAATTGAACTTCCAGGCTACGGGACCATCACCAGCTGTTTGTGAAGATGGCCCAGGTGTTTGTGACTATCTTGAGCCTCCGTCTCTATCGGCTTGTCGGAGAGCAGGTCCAGGAGCTCGGGACCGTCTAAACGAGCATCTTCACTACCGACGAACACCCGGTTACTGCAGCGCAGATATCCGGGGCCACCCCCACCAACGAGATTCACGCTACCATCAAGCCATGCATCTGAATCATCGTAACCGTCACCTGCATCCGAGCTCTCGTTTTCATCAACTTGGGTCGTCCTTCTTGTGGCAGCGAATTGCTAGGCGTATGAGTCGAGGATCACCTGGACGTCCCCCTTTCCCTTTCGGAATTGGTTCTGGAACGTCTACATAATCACCGTGATTGATCGTTAAGACCTCTATGTCATCACCCGCTTTGGGTTCGACTTCGATGACTGTTTGAGCGGGAATCTTATGAAACTTGGTGTAAGTCATTCAGACTATTGATCGTGCATTCAGCTGTTAAGTTCACCTCTTTGTTTGCAGCCTTATAATGGTACTCCGCAGCTTTCGATAGATCTTTCATCCATTTTTGCACTGGCAGTATCGCAGAGTCAGGACACACTTGCAGCGCAGCCCGTAACACTTTGACCACTGCAATGAGACCAGGCCCGCGTTCTGCAAACTCAAATGGGCAAGGTGCGGAGTTGTCTCTTCGTCCTTTTGGTGCAAAGGTCACTTCAAGCTCATGGTTGAGTGCTGCCTCCGAGGTCCCGTATAATTCAATCTTTTCAGGATCTGGAGAGAAGTGTTCGAAGTTGTATTTTTGGTTTCCTAGGGGTATATTGTCTGGGAGATGGCATAATGCAGTTTCGAGCCTCGCTAATGAGGTATCATTATATCATTGCTGATAACTGTCTCAAAGAAGTCCATAGTCGAGGAGAGGTAGCAGGACCGTTGTTCTAGAGACTATTCGGCTCTTCTCTTGTCTCTGTATAGTCAACTCCGACGCTCAACAATGTTCTATTAACGCTATGGTATATTTAGAGTTTTTGACAGTTTTTGACACCCTCAAAACGCCCTCGAGTTTTCGACACGTCATGAACACGTTAAAAACATGTCAAAAACTAGTAGTGTCAAAAACTCTGGAGTTTTTCACGGAACACTACAGCAGATGATAGGTCCACAATTTGATTCACATGCGCGAACTTGTCCAGGAGGATTTCGGGGACACGTGAAGCCTGATGCACCGATATCAGTCGTGCGTCGAATCATCGATGGAGTTCGACACTGGATGGAATCACGGTTCGCCGACAGTCTCCCGTGGGCAGACCCTGATAGTAGAAGACAGTTGTGTTTCGCCCCCGAGTGGTGGGAGTCGCAACAAAAGTAAATACCAAAGCGGAAGCTTGAAGTCCGGTCGAGTATTTTGTCGATGCATACTCAAATGTTGGCGTATAAAGTAAAATCACATTCATTAAATAACAGAGGTATGGTTCTAATCAACCTTCCTTGCCCATTTCCTGCCTGAAGGCGACGCGGTATGACGCGGCACAGGAGACTTTGGAGTAACGACAACATCAACTCGTCCCTGCCTCTCTGATGCCCAGTCTTCTTCTTTTTCCTTCTCGCTGAGCGATCCAATCTGCGTCTTTCCAAAGTCTTCTTTCTGGTCACTCCCCCAGTACAACCACATCTGCGCACCGAGCACAAGATTGAGAAGGAGGGCAAGGGCAAAGCCAGCGGTGACGATGAGGTCACCAACCTCGGTCGCGGTAGTGAACAAACGGGCAAGACAGCCCACGATTTGTGAAACGACAGCGAAGGCAGAGAGCTGGCCCGTGGAGCCGGCACGTGCATTTTGCATGATTTGGGGGAGTTTCGAGAAGAGGGATAGTGGCAACGTGGCCATTTGCAGCAGAGACAGGATGTCTTTAGGGAAAATATACAACGCGGCGGCGGATGCGACGGAAGCTGCACTGGCGATTGCCAGTCGTGGGCCAATGGCGTGTGCATTTCGGAGCGATGGGGTTGGGAAGTATATGATCAGGAGAGTAATTATGGTATTTTGTATAGTAAGGAATAAATTTTCGCCGTAGGTTGAGAACGGAAACTCATTTCGGTATGAGTATGCAGCAGTGATAGCATATGCGAGAGTTTCAAGGACATATGCGGGTAAAGAGAGACCACGAGCGGAGCGCCCTCGAAGAACTGGATGCGTCATAAGCACCTGGCATGAGTTAAAGGCGCTTGGTGGACTCACTGAGCAACAATTGGGGAACTTTCATGATAGAGCCTCCTACTACGATGCCAATACCCAAGCCCTTGGATAGCGAGTATTTGAGGCACTCCACGTCTCCAACATTGAGATTCTCGACCAGCGAGGTATAACATTTCTGCAGTATGTTAGTTAGTTTGCCAGCAGTGACTAAAACAATAATAATAAAAGTAACATACCCCGCCGATTATTGAGATTCCAAGGTCTGATATGAAGCTGGGCAGGTTCTGCGTAATGGCAGTCATGATGACAGTTGTGTCGAAAGCCTCATGAATATTGCAGTTCGTTACACATGCTGTGGCTGTGCGATTTCCTCTTTGAGCGGCCGTAAATTTTCTACTCTTCGAGCTTGAAGGACCCGTTGCATACCACCATGGCGGAATACGATCTATCAAAGACGATTATACCCTACCTGGATCGCCATCTGGCGTTTCCGTTGCTGGCTCATCTGGTCGAAACTTCGCTTTTCCCGGTCGAACAGGTCCAAGCAGCACAGTATGAACTTGCCAAGGGCACGAACATGCTGGATTATGCAGTCAGCCTGTTTGAGCAGCTGCATCCTGATGAGGAGATCCCTGAAGGTGTGTCATTGTGTTGCAAATCATATCAACGATGATACATGTATGCCCAATCTTCCAGAGTTCTCGGGGAAACGAGAGAAGGCTGTATCAACAAATGAGCGCCTGCAGCTGGAGGCTCAAGCCGTCCTTGATGTGATCGAGAACCCAGATGTCGCACAAGCATTGCGTCAAGATAAAAATCAGAATTTGCAGTATCTCAAAGATAACTACAACGTACGTCCTCGCCTGCCATCAACCATCTTCCAGCATATTTACGTTCCACGTAGCTCACCCTCGAACAAATCACTGCTTTATACAACTTTGGGCAGTTCCAATATACCTACGGCAACTACAGTGGTGCTGCAGACTACCTGTATCATTTCCGTGTACTTTCAACCGATAACGATCTCAACACTTCCGCTCACTGGGGCAAACTCGCTTCTGATATCCTCACTGGGAAATGGGAGACAGCGCTCGAAGAGTTGAACACCCTACGCGACGTCGTTGACTCGCGCTCACCTTCAACACTCTTGGCGGCATCTGCCGAGCCCGCAGCCCTCACGCAACTCCACTCACGGACGTGGCTCGTTCACTGGTCTCTCTTTGTTTACTTCAACCACCCGCAGGGTCGGACACTCCTTCTTGAGACATTCCTCTCACCTACTTACCTTAATACCATCCAAACCTCTTCTCCCTGGATCCTTCGATACATAGCCACTGCTGCCATCCTCTCTCGCAAGTCAGCTGCAGGTGGGACGGCTGCTTCTTCGCGTGTGCGCCATTCGATACGCGAGATCGTCAAGGTCATCCAGATGGAGGAGTACCAATATCAGGATCCCGTTACATCCTTCCTAAAAGAGCTTTATGTCGAATTTGACTTTGAAGCTGCACAGCGGGAGCTGACGCTTGCCGACCGCGTGGTCGGAGATGATTTCTTCCTTGGAGAGTTCAGAGAGGAGTTCCTCGATAATGCACGCTACTTGATTAGCGAAGCATACTGCCGTATACACCAACGTATCGATATTGGGTAAGTGAGGTATGCATCCCACAATGCTTTATACTCAAAGTTTCCACGTGTTCAGCGATCTTTCGGAACGACTTAATCTCTCACGAGATGAAGGCGAGAAGTGGATCGTCAACCTCATCCGCGAAACTCGTATGGGCGCGGAAGCGAAGATCGACCTAGAAAAGGTGCGGATCCTATTTCGGCGTCACTTAATAACGTTGTACTTGAAGGTTCATTCACTGAACGTTTTCTCTTCTTATAGAACGTCATCGAGATCCACCGTTCACCATTGCCAGTATATCAATCAGTCATTGAGAAGACGCGTGGTTTGGCGTTCCGGACACAGGCTTTGGGTACTGGTATGCTCCACAGTCCACAGCAGCCACAACAGAGCCAACCACAGGCCCCTGTTGTTGAGGGAGCTCGGTGATCAGAGCTTATCTGTACTTGTACGTGCTTCATGGGTAGTGTCTTGCTATTCGAAATGACTGCTATCATCTTGTTTGGCGATACCTCACGGTTGTAGAGAATAGCATCTGTCTTCCTACTTACCCTGTTGTCCACTTGGCTTTGACAAAATTTTGCGCAAAGCTAAATGTATCAAGGTAAAACAACTGCACGCTCCGTATCGATACAACCAATCTATTTCTCTCCCCTGAGATGCGCACTCTTCCAACACCTGTATTCTGTTAGGTTCGATATCACAGGGTGAGATAAACTGTTGGACTCACAAGATTTCGTAGCCTTTTGTGATGATATGCTCTCCATTACCAAATGCCACATTGCATCCCCCCTGTCAGGCCCTCAGACATAAGTAGGATAACCTCAGGTGGAATGTGAATACGCACAAGGTGTTCTCCTGTCTTACCAGGAACCCAGGCCCCACCCACGCGACCCATTGCATGATACAATTTCTCCCCATTCTCTTCATAACCTCCAGCAACAGGTTCCCGATCATGAGGGATACGACCGAGACTCGTACGGACCCATTCCATGGTCTCCGGGTCAAATGGTAGAAGATCGTACCGCCCTTTATGCTCTAACTCAGTGTTACCGTATGGCACACGGCAGGGAATCGGAAGATGAGGCGCGATTTTGCATGGATGGACAGAGCGTTCCAAGATCGCAGATCCAATGAAGACGGGAGAAACACCGTCTGCATCGTAGGATGGGGGGGCTTTGGTGTACGTGAGATCTGGGAAGGTGGAGTTAATCTGTAGCGGGATTCGGATGCCTGAGGGAGGTGGACGATGGGTTGGAATCATTGGAATCGGATATGGCGGGGGTGGACCTTTCTCATTCTTGTAATCGTCTTCCATTGCACTTGTAGAGTTCAGTCAGTGTATGTACTAGAGAACGTTGCTGTGGGATTGAGTACTAAGTTCTAGGTCACTGTAAAAGTCTCTATGGGTGACGCGTTGCCAGTGGGCGCTACGATGTATACGGATTTCGGTGCGTCACCGAGGTGACGGGCCGTCGTACGCTTTATGTATTGATTGGTGTACAATCTCGTCCGTACATGATATATCTTAGCAGACCGTCCCAACTTTCCATTTTCTGACATGGATTGTAGTGGACACGACCAAGCTCTGTCTGCTAAGTTAGAGAGCTTGTACTCAGTGTACTGGCTTCGGCATGAATGGACTAAAAATGTGTCGGATTTGACGATGAAATGAAATGCAAGTGTGCGAGAGGCAATCAGCAGGATCAATATTCACTGGATATAAAACATGCAGTACTATGAGTATATTCAGCTTATCCCTCCATATACATGGACGATACATACATACAGTTCCCGTTCGCATTCATCCACGAACGTAATTGTGCAGCCACTGACACCCAATGTTCATCATCGATGTTTTGCGGTTTTATCTGTATGTTTTGCTGGTGGGGGAGCCAGTTCTTGAGCCTCCCAATCAGCTGAGGACAGCGTCGGTATACCAGCAGTCTGTTTCCGAGTGCCTTTCCTTAGTGGTAACACCGTGGGCACTGGTACTTCGTGAGATTCATCTGAAGCGTTGTCACGGATTGATAGAGACGCCATGTTTCGATGGAGGAGTCTATGGTATGCCGACACCATGAGTTAGGGAAGGAGAGTTTAATCGAGGGTGGCTGTACCTGGCTTCTCGGCTTCGTGCACTGCTCCATATCTTGCAAGCTTCCTTGAAGTTAGTCAAGATACCGGCCATATCGTTGTAAAACTAGCAGACAATCAACTCAAATTCCCGAGAATGAGCTGCTAATAACTCGCCTTCAGCCCTTCGTCTAGATTCCGAATGATCTCTCTATAATGGGAATACGCGAGGTCAAGAAATTGAAGTGCCTGCTCTCGATCCTTGACAGCAGGGTCTTGTTTCCTAGACTGTATGAACGCGTCATTCGTGGACTAGGAGACTGGCTGTCAGGAAAACGCTGGAACTGAGCATTAATTGAAATGACCTTGATCGACGAAAGAATCTCCTCTTGTTTTTTCCGCCCTTCGGTCAGACCTTGAATAAACTTGTCGTACTTAGCGAGTTCATTGTCGGAAACATCTTCAAACATAACAGCGCTCATTTCTATCCCATGCTCTAAGCTTGCAGCTGCCGTTAGTACCTTTAGCCGTATATCGTCGCTTTCCGCTCGTCTTTGGGCACGGACAACAAGGTCGTCTCGAGTACGACGAATATCATCCAAAGACTCTAACAAGCCACGCAGGGTGCGAGCGTGGATTTGAGTCTGACTAGTTGACACTGCCTTTCCTGTCATAGAGACTGTCGATGACGGCACCAAAGCTTCGAGCTCATCCTGTGCGCCGCAGTCAGTATGTAATTGTGCATAGCTGGACCCTGTCCGCACCTCATCACGAGTAAGCTCGATAATTTGATCTTCCCATTCCTCCCATTTTCTGCGCACGAGCTCGTCGCTTTCGGCTGCCTGTATGAGAATGGTCCGGTACCGTTGTTGCTTCATGACAAGCTCTTGGTTTGCTTCATGAGATGGAGGGCGGTTCATTAGCGTCTCTCTGCGCGCAGCTTCGTCCTCGGACGCCTCACTGTCTAGTATATCCATAGCCTAGGAACCCGTCCCATAAGCGATAATCCAAATTTATAAAGAAAGGGACGATAGATACCTCGTCGAGTATGCCGAGTACATGTCGAGATAGTCGCTGAACGTCGTCGAGATAGACATCGATCTTCGTGGGCCCTTGCTCTAGACGTATTTCTTCAGCTTTCCTCAGCAGACTTGGAGGTAACCCGACAGGGCGTTCCAAGGCTTCCAATGATGATGGCAGGTTGAGAGATTGGAGTTTCCTGCACAGGACCGATTACGTCAGGAATAGTGGAAAGGACGCGCGTCTGACTTATCAGCTTCATCGTTGAGATTCTGGGCGGGTTCGACGATTTTCTCTTGAAGCAGATTCCCCTTGTTGTCATTATATATATCTGGATTGATCGATCAGTGCGAGACATTACATTGTCGCTTGACCTCGACCCACTGATAGCTTCCCGAGCACCCCATCCAAGCATCTCACCAAAAATTATGTTGTCGTTGCCGATTGCGGTTTTGGGGTCCCGCAACCCAGGCGGAATGATGCTCTGTACCATAGAGACTTCTTGAATTACCGGGATACTAGAAGGTGCCGGAACATTCTGATGGTATATCAGATCATTGTCTCTTTCAGCACGGGTGAGATTTTTCTGCACAACGTCAAGCAATGACTGAAAAAATATTAAACGCGGCAATCAGATAAGGCGCAGGATAAGAATGGACCTTGACATCGTTTAGGACCGCTTGAGCGACCCCAGCACGCTTGGCAATGTTGAATCCTTTTTTAGCATCTGCCTCGGCCATCATTAGACGCTGTATCTCGTCACCGTACCTATGACAAATTCAGCGAGGAAGGGACTCGTCATCTGTCACCAACCTGGAGGCCTCGAGCTCGTCGATACTTTTCCTAAATTGTGATGCTGCATTGAAATGATACTGCTTCGTCTCCAGGTGAGGAATCCAACTCTATCAACCTAGGTTAATACCCATGGTGGAAGCATGAGATGATGCTTACAGTTGGCAAGGCATCACAGCTGTCCGCGGAAGCTAGGCGGATCGAAAGCAATGAAGTGTTGTAGAGAGACGAAACTTTTGCCGCTAGTTTCGCAATCAGGCTATTCTTGTAATGATCTAAGTCACCAGTCAGATCGTAGAGTATTCGAGGGGAAATTGTTACCAGTGACGGCACGCTGCCAGACACATTCCTGGGCTTGGGCCAGCATAAGCCATTCCAGACTTTTTACAATATTCTCGGTCAGATCGGAAGGCGTGTTTTCTGAATCCACTAAAGGGCCCAGTTTCGGCAGCGCTGACGTGGAGAGGAAGGCAAAGACGCCAGCGGCATTCTTCTGGAGCATAAGGCAACTTCTCGTTTTTATTTAAATCGGATAACTTGCCTGATAATAAGAACTTGCACGCTTTAGGCCATCTTGACTGGATCTGTCTTCGGAAGCAGCTAATTGGGAATATAGTGCTGCTATATTGAACAAGACTGAAGCCCGCTCAAATGTAATACTCCTCAGGGTTACAGGCAGGGAAGACGGGCTCGAGGCAAACGCATGTGCGTATGAAAATTCCAGATTGATCTGGGGTTGTCAGTAATGCGTAAGAAGCATGAAGTTGGCAACTAACGTCGGACGGTAATTTGGCTAGAATGAATACAAGTTGAGCGTGATAACTGGTTCTCGTCAGATTGCTTGTCAGAATGATGTTCTGGGCTCACTTTAACGCGAAATTGATACGGTCAGAATGTAATACGCCCCCAGTGCCGATATCCCGCAATGACTTCCATTGATTGATGTCGCGAATATACGCATCCGGGTGATCCTCTGTGTGATTTTGAATGTAATCGCGTGTGGCAATAGGTATAGGACATGAATACGTCTTCTTGAAAGGAATACTGAGGTGGTTTGGCATTGGAAGAATTGGAAGAATGGATACCCTATGCCCTCGTGGGGGGCCCTGCGGGGATGAATTCGAAGGCAACGGGATTATAGATATCGTCACAAGGTGCTCAGATGGGCGCAAGTCGGGCTTCGCAAACAATTATTAAACTTTACCGCACCAGTTGGCTTTGCTAGGTCTTCACGGTGTTCCCAGTGAACTGAACTCAAGTTGGCAAGCTCGCGATGTGAAGCAGTGAGCACGTGACGAGTACCTACTGATGTCGTTAAACTCGTTTTATGAGTTCTTCTTTCTTTTCAGTTCAGTCATCGAGGGTATCACTATTACTGGGCTATTAGTGGCGTAAATGGACAAATATAATCATTCTCACTGTTTGCATAGTATAATTGGTATGTTTCCCAGTCTTCCTACTGTCAGGCGGGCACTAAAGCCAACTACCAGCTGTCCGAAGGCTCAACTCAAGGCAAAGTCTATCAAGAATCGGCACTTGATCTCTCCCAAACTGCCAGTTACTTGACCATGTCCTTCAAGTTTATCTTTACAACCTCATATGGTACCGTCGATAAAGTTCAGGCTTATCTCCAGGCCCAAGTTTCGACTTCCTCTCATACCCCGAACGAGCCATCTTTCTTGCCGCCAAGTTGCTGATCACCGCCGGTCTCCTTATCATGACCCACGGATCTTGCCTCACCACGTTTTCTTGTTGCACTGGTTACGGGGCGAATTGCGAAGTTCGTCTATGTGTCAACTTTGCGTGACTCGTGATATCTCGCATTCGGAATCAGCGCACATCAATTTGATAGGAGGTGTCTGACGCTCAGGTTCGTACTTCTCTTGCGCTGATATTATTAGCAAGTGCGGTCGTATATACCGTGGGCTCTAGCGTAAGAAGTCCACCATTTCCACAATGAGATCTCGACCTTCCGGGCCAAAAGCTTACAACTTGTTGTGGCCTGGCTTGGCCCAGCGCTTCACGGGACGAATATATACCTTCGACCCCCTTCCCTAGTCTTCAGGGAGCTCTTGAACTACAGAATAAATGTCTCGCCAATATTCTCAACCCTACAGCCGTCCCGAGCGAGGCAGTGATGAAGAATTCGTAAGTACAAGTTATCTGTGTACTCATTTCACTTGTAGACATTGACTTAACCTATCGGTAGAATAGGAATGACTCTGTCGAAGTGCACATTCGCGCAAACTTCTGGGTAGTAGGCTTCGTCATTGGCGGGTTACAATTCTTTCGTATGGTTAGTTCGTTTTGACCAAGTATCCAAATATGCATTAATAGTTGTTTCAGCTCGCCGGCTGGGGATACGAAGTGGAGTTTACATCCCCATGTGGACAACGAAAACGCGATATCTTCTGTCCCAAGGATGTTCGTCATGTGACTTGATGTAGCGTGAAGCCCTTGGCTTCTCACAGCCGTAGATCTTTCTTACGCCCATGCGTACTGTACATGTACCCAGAACTTTGATCGAATGATCTGTTGCGAGGCGCGCCAGCGATCAGAACGGCTTAACATTTCAGGTATAAACCCAATAACTCGGACAACAGGCCATCTCATGTTCCTCCACGAGTAAGTGTTGGTGTCGGTCGAATATCTGTCGTCGGAGAAAAGGTAGGCTTGGCATAGACATAATCCACAATCGCGAATCTCATATCCGATTTCCCCGCATGATATTCCGTCCCCAATGACATACATACTGCCTTTACCATGCTAGTGATCGGCTTGATTGAGGACCAAAACCTAACCTTACCACAGGCAAGAGCCCGAAAGACGAACCTTAAAAAAGAGGGTTCCGGGCGTATAGCGACTTTACGCAAAACGATATATTCATTATTTCTCTATCACAACTCGCTATCCCACTCCACACCCACCCAACTTGATCAAGGCCGCTTTGCACTCGTCTTTCAATCATGAGGTGGAGATTGCGCTGCTTTCACCATCAATATACAGCTAAATAATTCGAACACACGCCTTTACGACGCCCCAGCCATGCGGCATTCGTAAGTAAGTACTAACGTAGTATGGTACGCATATAGTAACAAAGGTATATCTTCGGTTAAAAGTCAAAAATCTACGCTCTAAGTGCAAAAAGTCATGCTGAGACTATCCGCCGAGCTCCTGAGCCAGGAACCATCTGGACTGCAGCGTTAGCACAGCCAGGGGTCCTTCTAATATGGTCTCGAACGACATCGTCGCGAGCCGTGAGTTCACATCGCGAGCACCTGTACTGGATACCCAGATGTCTCGCGATGTGCCTCGCGATACTACACATTTTAAGAGCTCTGTCCATCGAGCATGGGCTCCAGCGGCATCCGAGGTCCTCTTCGGCATTGTGTACGATGCCGTGGCGTTCCCGAAGATGGGAGAGGATATCTCTGGGAGTGCCTTCGATGAACATTCCGCAGGGAGAATGTTGGATGTCCCAGGAGCAGTGATAGACTAGGGTTTCTCCCTCAGCATCTTGCGCGTTAACAACAGCGCTGGGCTCAACATCTATGACGATGGCGTCGTGTGGGCTCATAGATTTGCATGGGCAATGAGGCAAGAAGCATCTGGGAAAATACTGCATGAATATTGGGCCAAATGTCCACAAGCGCAGTCTCCCCACCTGGTAAACATGACGATGAGATGGATACTGGAACGAGAGGATTTTAGATGGATAGTACCGATATGTCGAGCCCAATTTATATGATTTTGAATGTCGGAACAGCCAATTTTTAGCGCGCGTGTGGGCCACATGGACGGCCAGAATAAAAGGGGTGCATCATGTTCCGGATGTTGAAGAAATCCGAGCCCCAATTAATATCACTGCGCAGATTGAAGAACGTTGAGCGGTTTGGCTGGTTCATGCGTATACTGACGTAGTTTCTTCGCGTCCGGACTAAGGCTGGCAAGTTTTCACTAGTTGAAGTAGGCTGTCCGATAACATCTAAATACACGCATGATTAAACACAGAAGGTCATATCGAAAAGTTCGAGGGGTACGTAGTATTTTAAGTGGTACCGCGTCAACTGGTGATATCCACCCCCAAACGCAAGAATGAGTACATTACAGACCACAATAAGTAACTAATACGCACTTTATGTAATGATGCATCATGGATCAGTGCATTTACATGAACGATCAAGACTGTCGATTTTGGCATCTAGGACTCCAAGTGTGGACGAGGCTGAGACCGAAAGATGTCGGATATCATCTCCCCCGGTTCTTGACCGGTCGACCCTAGACTAACAATGGTCATGGTTGGTGGCAACTTGGTGCGTTTTCTGGAATCCACAGGAATTCTAAACGCTGTCCCTACCTCTGGTGACGACTTTGTGGCATTTACCCATTGTAGTTGTATGTTTCCAGGGGGATGAAGGCAGCGCGGCGTGACGCCGGCGCCATCGCCGAGAGAGGACTGACATGGTCTGTTCATATTCAATCTCGCCCCTCATTGGGTCACGAAAGATACTTGACAAAACTGTGAAACTGCACCAGAAAGGAAAATGAGAACTCTTATCATCAGTATAAATTTCAAAACGTACCATGATTAAGGGCACGCAACGGCCCGCAGCGACACCAAAAAACGATAGTCGGCGTGGTCGCAAAAGCATAAATTAACATTCAATGACGGAAATCCGACAAGTATACGACATTTGTTTGCCACACTCGCCTTGTAAACATCGTGTTCCAGGGCCAGCAAGAGAAGATCTTCAACAATATTGAATAAGTATGCGACAACTGTTTGCCACGATCGCAATCCTCGTGGTGCTCAGGCCAGCGAAGGAGATCTTCAACGTTGGATAAGTATAGTTTCCTACACTTATCGCAATCATCGTGTTTGTAAATCGCGTGATGGCCAGCGAAAATGACTTTTACTTCCAGTGTTACCGCAGCGAATTGCCAAACTTGACATCCCGCGAAGACACTGCTGCGGTCCATTCGAATATTTTTATCGAAAGTTTTTGACCACGAGGGGCTCCGGGTTTCCCCATTATGATGACACATTGACACCCTGTGGGTCCACTTCGCTGGCGGCATAGCGGAATGTGCTGAACATAACCCCAAGAACTACGTATGGTATGCCAGGAGAACCTGGCTATTTCCGTGCACCTCGAGTGACGAGGCGCGGACGTAATGGAACCATCCTCGGCAGTCGAGGAACGTCATTTCCATTTTCATGAACCGAATAAGCTTGCCCAAAGATGAGATCCTGCGCTTAGCCCGTGGCCTAACATCAATGGGGCTAATTGAGCTTGTTAGTTGATCGAAGGAAAGAAATTTAACGTGGCAGTGAAATTGAGTTTGACGGCAGAGCATGATCAAGACCCAAGGTTGCGCTCGACGTTCAGTTGAGCGGGCTTGAACGTTTGAACACCCCCCGGGTACATCAATCAGGCACTGTGTAAGGCACTGAGCGAATATTTTGGGTGTAACAAAGATGTGACATACATACCTGCCAAGATCTTTGATGTGAAAGATGCGAAACGTGTTGTTCTAAATCAGCAAAAGATGTGAAACAGATTATTAGCCTCTGAGCTACGATACAGGAGGCACTGAAGTCGGAATGAGGTTCATCGCACAGCTGGAGGCAAAGGCTCAGGCCAGCTTGGCTCAGGCTGTGATTGAACCAACTTTGATACGATTATGGTAATTTTGCGCCACCTGCTAGATATTCTCAGCGTTTCGTTGGTCTTGCCACAGCAGCAGTTGTGTTACGCGCCGCATTGGCGGATATTGTCCTCTTCATCATACTACATCGCCTTATTCCTCCGCCTTCATCCTTTTTTCTTTCTTTCTTTTGTTGATACCCACAACATTCGATATCCATCAGGCCTCTTCTTTTTGTTGCCAGGCTGCGCCGGTGCTAGCTTAGGAATCTAGGAAATCTCTCATTTTCCACAACACAAACTTTGTAGGGCAGACTTCAAAAGTCTATCCAGGTCCTCGCTTCACCATTCAAAGATCAACTCCCTTTTTCTCAACCCATCATGTCTTATGTCGATCAACCAACCTCCCCTGGCGCAGCAGCAATGGGGAGGAGGCTCACGAACAGGAATACAAATCGCTATAGCGTTACCGCCCTTTTCAGCATGGCCGCAGAGCAGGATGTTGAAGTGGAGGATGATCTTGCTCGAGGTGCGTCCCAATTATAACCTACTTTTCCTTATTTCGAAGGGCTCGCAAAACAGCACAAAAACGCCTTCGTGACCTCAAGGGCAAGATATCCAACCAGTCCAAGAAAAACTTCGTGCTCGAGCGTGACGTCCGTTACCTTGACTCTCGCATCGCTCTCCTTATTCAGAATCGTATGGCCGCTGATGAGGTCCGTGTTCTGATGCTGTGCTCAATTCCATATTCCGACTCACATATATGGATTAGCAACGTGAAGTGGAACGGACGCTGGAAGAAGTCGATCCAACTGAAGGCCATTACCCCGATGATCGAAAATTGCAACAGTACTCCAACCTATTCTTTCTTCTCCAGTCTGAACCCCGCCATATTGCTGCACTATGCCGGCTTGTCAGCTTGTCAGAGATTGACACTCTCTTGCAGACTGTGATGTTCACGCTGTATGGAAATCAATACGAGAGTCGTGAAGAGCATCTTCTTTTAACGATGTTCCAGTCAGTGTTGTCCGCGCAGTTTGAGACAGCAACCGAGTTTGGGTCGCTACTGCGTGCTAACACTCCCGTGTCCCGGATGATGACTACTTACACCCGACGAGGTCCTGGGCAAAGTTACCTCAAGGGCGTGCTGGCAGAACGCATCAATAGCTTGATAGAACACAAAGACTTGAACCTTGAGATTAATCCTGTGAAGGTGAGCCACGACGGGTTATGAGAGGTATGTCCAAATCTCTGACGAGTTCACAGGTGTACGAGCAAATGATAAACCAAATAGAAGAAGAGACGGGCACACTACCACCCAACCTACCTCGCGGAGTACCCCCAGAGGTTGCCGCCGAGAATGCCGATGTTCAAGCTATCATTGCACCACGGCTTACCATGCTCATGGAAATCGCGAATAGCTTCCTCGTAACCATAATTGAAAGTATGGAAAGTGTGCCGTATGGTATTCGGTGGATCTGCAAGCAGATCCGGAGTTTGACCCGGGTCGGTTCGATTACATTTCCCCTTCATTTGATGCTAATCCTCCGGTGTGTCACAGCGAAAGTATCCCGAGGCAACCGATTACGCCATTTGCTCGTTGATAGGAGGCTTCTTCTTCCTACGATTCATCAATCCTGCCATTGTCACTCCTCAAGCATATATGCTCGTTGAAGGCGTTCCCGCTAAACACCCTCGCCGAACACTGACGCTGGTATGTTACCGTCTCAGCGCTTCCATTTTCTCGGTCTTAGCTAGTGATTTAGATTGCGAAGATGCTGCAAAACCTTGCAAACAAGCCCTCGTATGCGAAGGAGATCTATATGATCACGCTGAACCCATTTGTAGAAAATAATAAAGCGCGGATCAACCAATTCCTCAACAGTCTCTGCGAAGTCGGGGATTTCTATGACACTCTTGAAGTATATTCGAGCCTGTTGCATGTCATCCATGTCAGCTAACGATTTATCTTAGATGGACCAATACATGGCTCTATCCAAGAAAGATCTCATGATCCACATTACCATGAACGAGTTGTACAACACTCACTCTTTGATTCTACAACACGTCGAAACTCTCGTAAGCATACCTTACTGTCCTCTTGCTGATTCCTGACGCGGCTGTGCATTAGTCCCCAAACGACAAGCAGCATTTACGTATCCTGACTGATGAACTCGGACCCGCTCCATCACAAGTTCCACGCAAGGAGAACCGTGCCATCGAACTGAATCTGTACAGCCGTTGGGAAACGCCTGTACATGATATCCAGAGTGCGTTGATGGACTCCGTGTCAACGAGCGACATGCTGTACATGGAGACCAAGTCTATCCTTGTCCAGCTCATCCGTTCCATACCCCATGCTGCCGAGAAGCGGCCGTATAACCTGGCTGCAATTGCTGAACGGGCGGCTACGACGAAGGATGCAACGCTTGTGCGCAAAGGCATTAAGGTCAAAGAAATGCTTCGTGAATTGGAGGAGCAAAAGATCATCGAGGCGACAGATGGTTATAAGCTTATGCAGGACGAGGTTGCTGCTGAGCTCGCTCATCTTGGTAATTTGCGGGAGAAGGTGGTATTAGAAACGAAGTCATTGGAAGCGGTTTACAAAACGATCTGCGACCACAATGCTTACCTGCGCTCTCAGCTTGAGCAATACAAGGCGTACCTCCAGAATGTTCGTCTGACCGCGTCGAAGGACAAGGGCAGCACGACTGGAGTGGGTGTTGTCACGGTTGGAGGCAAAGAGAGGAAGCCGTCGAAATCTGCGGTTCTTGGTCCGTATCGATTTACCCATGCACAGCTCGAGAAGGAGGGGATCATCGTGGAGAGCAATGTTCCTGATAATCGGTACGTCTTTCCCCGATTCCTTTTATGAGGCGTTCTGACGTGCTTTCAGTCGACCTAACATCTACTTCAACATAACATCACCCACACCAGGAACGTTCATCATTTCATTGCACTACAAGGGTCGGGAGAAAGCCATTCTTGAAATGGATCTAAAGATTGACGACCTATTGGAGAAGGTTGGCTCCTCCTTCCAGATGCACTTTATTGATTCTCACCTCGTCAACAGCAAAAAGACAACAAACACCTGCTGGATTTGGAGTACGTTCAACTGAACGTCCCGAAGGTCCTAGCCCTACTGAAAAAGGTGTTTGCCACACGGTGACATGACGATCCGATTCTACCTATCTTTAAGACATTCATCTTTATATGTTCTATCCATTCTTGTGATACCACGGTACCTGCGACGCTCATTACCTCAGTTTCCTTTACTCTCATCTATATGGTCTCCCCTTGTCACCTCCCTGTGACTCTTCGATTTCTCTCGGATGTAGATGTATTACTCTGTAGTTATGTGTATGTCTGAATAACTGTTTTTCTACTCTCTAGACCAAGTTGTTTCCAAGGTGAACATGTGACGTGAAAACAAGTCATCAAGTTTGCAAACAAGTTTATAACGTTAACGGCATACCGCCCAATTGCAAGGCCTGGTCCAGCCTGTCTAATTATCTCGTCTTCTTGTGACAAAGTTCTAACGTCCAAGGTTCTTTCTTTCCTTGGCCCTCCTTTCCCACTCGCTCGAGCTTTTTCAGCGCTCGAGCCTCGAATGTGGTTGACGTAGACTCATCGGTTCCTTTGAAGAGTGCATCCATGATTCGGTTGGCGATGGTCGTCTTGTTTCTTATTCTGAACTTTGCCCTGCAGCTCGAAAATGCTCTCGCAGCTACCCTTAATCTTCCAAGTACATCCTTGCAGGATGGACCTGCCTTGCTTGCTGGTCAGGCGTCAAACTCAACCGCACTCAATGCCTTTGGAATCTCGCCGGTATCCATCGCTGCTGACGGGTGAGTGTTTACACCTCAAATATTCACCTTTCTCACAGGACTGCCGTGCCAGGACATACTACGTTACTCTTCAGGCTGGTCAAATAAGCTTCCGCGCTGCCCTCGACACAGGTATGATGCGCGCTTCTTTGACAATCAAACTCATTTACGGCGTGTTGCAGGTTCTGCCGATTTCTGGCTTGATTCCACGGCATGTACTACCAGTACATGCACGTCTGTACCAAGATACCCCCTCACTTATGACAGTCCCACGTTTGTCTCCATCAACAATAACGAGACTACTTTCACCGTTAGCTACGCTGATGGGACTGGTATGCGATCATCAGGCTCACACTACTCCGATGCTGAAGTGTAACAAGGTGCATCCGGGTTCGTTGCTAGAGAGACTGTAGACGTTGCAAACGTGACGGTCGCAAATCAGGCATTTGGTAAGTCTGGACTTCAGACTGGAAACGTTCCGCATTTACATCTCCGCAGGTGTCGTAACAAATTCTAATATTACGCTGGTCAGCGAGGTCAGCGGTATCCTTGGCCTAGGATTCTCACGACAGTCAGAGATATCCACAAGAGCTGCGAATGGTGTGTTATTCGATGCGCAGGGTTGTGGACGCAGCCTCATGGATTTGGTCCGTTCTAGCCACGCCGTTTTTTTTCCACCTTGGCGCAGCAAGGCATACTGGACTACCCGGTATTCGGACTAAGTCTTACTAGAAATGATACCGGAACATTTACCCTCGGTGAGTCCCTGCCGAGTGCCTGGCTTACGGATACTCATGTCTTTGTGTTGAACAGGGGCTATCGACGTATCTGTCGTGCAAAATCTCAGCCAAGTTATATGGAATGAGGTCGTATCCTTCTCTCCGGTCGGTACGCAAACAAATACTTCTGGCTACTTCTTCTGGGCGATTCGTATGAGTAGTTTCGCGGTAAGGCATTTGATCCTGCGATCACAATGTGGAATACTGACTTCTTTCAAGGTCAACGGAACCCAGTACACTCCCCAACCAACTTATCCTGGCCCAAGTGACAACTCATCGATTGCTCTTTTGGATGTGTAAGTAGCCAATAACTGATCTACATATGTGCGCGCTTAACTCTTTTCCACAGCGGCACTCCAGGACTGTATGGCCCATATCAAGATGTCAGCTCCTGATTTTCTTGTCGACCGATTAATCTTTATGTTCTTCTAGGTAACACGATTGTACAGTTCATTTCCCAGTAGCCGCCTAGTTGACGAAAGTAAGTTATAATATCTTCGTGGATACTACTGGAATTGACGAAGCAATGATACTGAAGGTGGTCAATGGGCCATCCCTTGCGACTCTTCAGCAACCATGTCCTTCAACTTTGGGTGACTAACGGTTGATTAAGTAGCCTATATATGCGCTAAAACCTATCTCCCAGGGAAGGAACTTCGTTTGTTTTGGAACCCACAGATTATATTATTGGCCCAGCTGAGGGGAACCCGGATCTTTGTTTATCTTGGCCTAAAGCTTCACCCCCCAGTGCCGATGGAGTCGACTGGTTGCTAGGTACAATAGCCTACGATATATTCCGTGCCGCTTAATATTACTAAACCCTTCGCTCGTCCAGGAACTCCATTTTTGCGGACCGTCTATTCGATATGGAGGTATGTTTAACTTCCTGGTTTCTCTTCAGATATTGTTTATCAGCTTTTTTGTGTAGTTACGGAATCGACTACCAGGAGCCCCCGATGATTGGTTTATATCCTCGCAACAATGCATCAGCACCTGTACAGCCTTTTTCAGTTGTCGAATCCTCATTTTCATCCGAATCTGCGACAATTGCTACCACCCTGCCCAACTTTGTCCTCTCTACACCCACTTACACAACGCCGTCATATGCATTTAACACGTCGGTTCCAGCCGTCTATGGCGAGATTGTGCAATCCGAGCTCGCGACGAGCACGTACAGTCCCCTCATAGGGACACTCGCCGTTAACGCCACCGCCCTCCCTCAGGTGTCTGGTGCATACACACTTCTCGTTACGAATTCAAACGGTGCAGTGGTGACATCGACGTATCACATTTCGCAACCGTCGGTTACTTTAGGCGTCCCACCTGGATGGAGCAGTGCTGCCTCTCGGAGCGTTCCGGGAGGAGGGCTGGCTATTTCGATGATGATCGCTCTGGTCGCTGGCACATGGATTCTATAAGAATTATTTGCATACTATATGAGTATATCATTTGTTGTGTTACTTACTAGCTTTGTACTCTGCGTGTTATACCATTATGACACCACTCTCGTACTGTCGTGCACTGACTGTTTTGATTATTCATTACATCCCGTCGTCGAACACTGCACATTTTCTATACCGTAGAACTTTACATCTTATCCCGAACTTTGTCTGTTGTAGACCGCACATTCTAACTAATCTATTTATAACGTCACAACAGATAGTGGCACAACTGGGTATACTTCTAGTGTGGTAGTCCAAGTTTGATGCTCATAAACCTGTGCCCACCCAGAGAGAATCTCCCCTGGGAGTGCTGCAAACAGAACAGGCGAGGTGTTCTGGCTCGTTGGCTCTGTGATGAATCGATCAAATCAGTTCCATCGACCTGAACCTAAAATCGAAGAGAACGTACAAAGTACATACAAGACAGTTCCAGCCATTCGGTTGATCTTCTGTCTTACCAGGTCTAGAAGCACCAGAAGTCCTTGATTTCTTGATTACAGATACCTCTTCATCTTCCACACGTCGATGCTTGCCAGGTCGGGTCGATGGACCGGGCTGTGCATCAATCAAGACAGCAGCTCCGGGACGTTTAATTGTGTGAATGGTGCGTGAATCGCCGCCAGTTTCTCCCGGAAGTCTAAAGTCGGTTGAAAAATCGTATTTTGTTGCTTTCATTTCGTCGAGCTCTTGTCCGCCGACAGATTCAAGCATAATTCTCCGACGGTCTTGGTCTGTTTCCGGTTGTTCAGCATCGGATTCGGATTCAGAATCTGTTATAGGTTCACTCTTCAGACGCGAAGAGGATGCTGATGCCGAAGAGGCAAATGCAGCTGAAAAGGTGAATATTATTCACCTGACGAACCAGGGGAAGAAAGGACCAACTTTTGAGCGTCTGCATACGCCTCTCAGCAGCAAGTGCGCGTTCTTCTCGTGCACGTTTACTAGCCACTGACCATGAGCCCTCGCTATTTGAGAGGCGAAACGCATACCTTCTGGCTTTCTTCCCAAATCCCGTGCCCGCTTCTTTCTTATCGCCAATAACGCCCTCGTTTAATGCTTTTCCACCTGAACCGAATGCACCAGCGCTGGCAATTCTGGAACCGGGCTTGCGTTTCTTTTCGGATTGGACGCCTGTGTGCACAGAAGGTCCACTAAACTTCGCAGTCCTGTTACGTCGTTTGTAGGAGGCAGGTCGGGCGCGTGAGTGGGCTCCACCACACTGTTTGAACTATCTGAGAGACATAGATTAGAAAGACAGAGAATGACTGACCATGTATTCAGGGAGGTCTCCCATTTCGATGCCTTGGCCAGCTATTTTCGCGGAATCTGCTAATCTGGTCCCGGAAGACCAATAGCCTGGGGACATGTGAGTTGTACGCGAGAGAGGCTTGGTTGTGGTGCGTACCGTCGCCGTAATACCCTTTGTTTTGCAGGGCACGGACGTCATTGCGTAGCTGTCGCCAGAGTGCTTGGAAAGCAGGCCCGTGATTCATGTGCTGTATTGTGTGTCAGGGCATCGAATAGTTGCGAATCGGTATGACTGACCTTTATGTGGGCGAGCTAACGCGAAAAACGCGTCCAATGTCATTCAGCTTGCCACACCAATCACGAAGGAAGGCTCACTTCATGGCACAGTGTGCTCATGAGCCAGTGAATTGGCACAAATGAGCCACTAGCAGACTTCAAAACCAGCTCTGAATTGACCATCGGTAGAGCTCTCTAAGGGATGTAGTGTGCGTACCAATCGTCTCTCCATTATTCCAGTTCCGTCCCGCGAACACTCGATTGTACTCGTACTAGACAAGTCTCGATGTAGTATTACCAGGCTAAGGACACAAGCACTCAGATACACACCTCTTCCAAGCTGTTCACGGTGAAACCGTGATCCTTCATGACCGGCCTCACCTGCGCGGCCAGTGCCCGCATAAGTTGCCGAGCGTCGTCCTCGAGGGTGGCATCGACCATAGGCAGAACGGAAACAAAGTTAACGTGCGGATTCGGGTTAGCTTCGCGCTCGTTGATGCGGACGTGAACCATGATGTGCTAACAGTGCCCAAGCGGCGAAAAGAACTTGGTAATAATGAAATGAATGGACATCAAAAGGAGGCGCTACTTATAAGGTACATAGTCGGTAGCAGAACTTAAATACTTTGTCACGGTTCACGTCATGACCACCATGACCTCACCCAGGTGACCACATTCTCTATTAGCCCACCTTCATTGACTTCTGGCTCCGTCGTGCTCTGCTGCTCTTCCTTGCGAAGCTCTTGCTGTAGCTCCACACGAACAGCAGCAAGTCTATCCAGTTCACGGACGCTGTCAAGGTGCTCCAGTTCCTGAGCTCTGGCATTGTCCTCCTCCAGGCGACGTAACCGTTGTTCCTTCTGTTCCTGTTCGACGGCCAGCTTTTCCCTCTCTTTTCTCTCCATCTCCAGCTGTTCCTGCAGGGCGTCTACAGTCCGTCCTTGCTCGCGGTGCTTCTCTTCCATTGCGCTGATTCGAGCGTCGAGCCTCTCCTTCGCGGCTTTGAACTCTGCCTCCAGCCGGTCCTTTTCGCCCTGCAACTTCAGAATTTGGTCGTGCTTACTCCGAATCTCCTCTTTGAGTTCCTCCTTCGTTTCGAGGTCCTTATCTCGGATCGCTGCCTCCATATCTTTGCGCATCTGAGCCATTACTTCTTCGTGGCGCTCTCGCTGCTCGTTCAGAACTCGTGTTAGCTCAGACCCTGCAGAGGTCTGTACGATATTCTTGTGCTCGTTCACGAGCTCCTTTTGAATGAGGAGCGTCGCAGGTTGATTATGGATCAGGTATCGTAGGACGCGGTGCGTCGATTCGCGCGTGCCTTCATGCCTCAACATCCGCGCACCCTTGTCGAGGACCGCTTTGAAAAAATTATTCTCTAGCTCCTTCTCCCTAATTTCCCCAAGGTCAGAAGCGACTTCACTCCACATGTTCGTCACGATCAACACGTTACGCAGAGTGGACTCCCCGCAGAGCTCTCGGAACATCTTGAAATTCCGTTTATTTGTTCCTCCCATCCGGAAATCTGATATGCGGTGCATGTAGATGATGCCAGCAAGTTTGGCACCGTGCTCATATCTGTATCATTTGGGTTAGAACAGGAAACGCATTGTAACGAAGACAGACGTCTGCGAGAGGTATGCTCCTATCATTGCCAAGATGTCCGTATCACTACGGCTGGTATCGTCGAAGCCGGGAGTGTCGATCAATGTCACTTCCCGGCCGTTGAGCTTGAAGGGTTTCGTTGCTTGCACCTCGTTGGTGCAACTCTCTAGACCCTTTCCGACTGCGAAGTCAGTTCCACTAGCTTCATTGATGACTGAGAGCATTCGATCAGTAGTTTCCTTGGACCAGTTTTTGCTGTTGCTGACGCACATGTCGTCTTGCCGCTTCCAGAGGGTCCCATGATACTGCAAATATGAGACTAAGTGGAGGAAATTCTTGGGAAACAGTTGGTGCATACGCAATTCTGATGCTCAGTGCTCCAGTCATGGTCAGTGTCTAAGGGTAGGAGGCGCGCATCCAAGACAATGGCCTTGTCTGACTTATGTGGATTCTGAGACACGGTCCTCGCTGACTCCATGCTGCAGACACTGCATCAATATGAACACGTGCGATAGAGGTGTGTGATGAGGGGACATGAAACCAAGGCCTAGGCTAAGCTATGCCATACATGTTTGTTTTGTTCGATGAGCTCTAAGCTTTCTCCCTAACCTCAGTTGAATTCTCGGAATTGGTAGGCCCAAGATAGAGGTGACTAGTGCTCGATCGTAAGTACTTAGTTATGTTCAAGTTGTTTGTATTCACTGTCACTTAGCGGCTTCTCTTATCACACAGTTCGCACCGCAGGTCCACTGACCGATTCGCCTGTCAAGGGTGAGGTAGGCCTTTGTATTATATCCGTGACGGCAATTATTCCTGTGTGCTAATGTGATTCTATTACCACAAGCGTCCAGCAATGCCATCCCACATATCCAATGTTTCAGGTGGCGATCGCCAGAGTGGATGGTGGGAGCCCTGTCACGGCGACCTACGTGCGCTTCTTGAAGGCGCCTGGCCGTTAGCGCTTGCCACAGGCCATATTGTGGATCAGCCTTCTCAATTTTGTAATAGATCAATTCTTTGGTCTGGCCTGCCAGGATAACGTTTGATACTATTCTCATCTGGTAGTTTTCAAACCTGGCTGGTTGGCCTTGCACGAGGGCTCGACGGGCCGAACCACAGCATTCTACCGGACCGCGCAACACAGCACAGGCGAGTGGCATGACCTGGCCATAACCAATAACCAGTAACGCAAGGAGCTTGATGAATGCCTCAATTTCGGGTGAGACGCAGTCCTTTGGTACTCTCCTGTGTTGCAACTCGGACATAACTCCGTAATATTATCACAACTGCACGCCTTCCTTTACTCAAAGGAACAATAGCCAGACCGGACTAACGGCCCAACCACCGTGATCATGTTGCCAAAAGTCATACATCAAACCTTGTAACTTACGCTGATCACTTGCAGAGGCGCTTTCAGAAGGTCACGATTTCGCTTGCCTTCATTCTGTGCGCATATCATTAGTAGTGAGCCAGCCACCGCACGTAACTGCTCGCATAGTGTGGCTTAATGTTATATCCATGCCCTCCACCTTCTCTCTACGTGAAGTATAAATGCCTCGGTGTGCAGTTCAAGCATATCACAAGGCATCCTCGTATTTCTTCTGGCACTGGCATTCAAGGTTACCTAGGTGAGCAGTGAATTTTACCTTGCTGAATTGTCACAACAACAACTGATACAACTGTTGATGCAGTTTGAGCAAAGGGTTAGATTTTTTCGACAAAATGTATCACATTCCTGGTAGACCGACTTCATTCATTCGAGGGGGCGTGAAAAACTCGAGCAGTACTCGCAGAGCGCCCGTGCAGTCTGAGCAAGTGCTCGTTCCGTGAGTAGTCTACTCCCCTGTATGATTTGTTAAAAGATTGCTCATGTCAGACAGAATCACTCGAAGTCTGAGGGGACATCCTTCCCATCTACACAGTGTAATTTACTAACATCCTTGCTTTGCGTCGTCCATATCATTGATCGCGAAGTTGCATAACAAGCACGCATGGTTTACTGAATATGTACTATATTAATATTGTCGATTTGGTTGTAACATATAGGATAAATCTTATAGCAACTTTCAAGCTGACGGTCTGGAGGATTTCACGGTCATTTTCGTTTCGGTGGTGAGCCTCTGAATATTAGCGGCAGAGGTGGCAGACGATGGCCCATCCGCAATTGAGCGTGGTATATTTCTAAAACGGGTAGAAACCCCCTATCAAGCGCGCAGTTGAATTGCTAAACGTTTTCCAAGTTGACGTCGAGAATATATTCAACAGTATTATATTCGATATCGCGGAATTAGAAGTATCTAGCCATAGCTAGCCTGGGATTACTGAGCCAGCATATTGCGTCATATCAATTTGGGAGGGAGCCCCTTTCTCTTGCGCCTTATAATAACGGTAAATCGAGGGGATCCAACTTCAACCACAACCACAACCACTACTTGTAGAAACGATAGAAACAACTTGCATCCAAACATCTAGAGTCTGTTGACATCTTCATCAACAAGAATGCCTGGCCAGCTAATCGCTCAGCCAAACCCTCCCCCAGACCCCTCTGATCTCCCCGACTCGGTTCACGAGTATGCCGTTCAACTCGACACGAGAAATGTCCTTACGAAGTCTGAACTCGGTGCGATTCAGAAGTTCAGACGAGCAGCCAACTACATTGCTGCTGGTATGACAGCATTCTCAGCGCCTAGAAAACTATTTAATCACGTCGTTAGCGATGATTTTCTTGAAGGATAATGTCCTGCTTGAGCGCGGGTTAACTTTTGATGACATCAAGCCGAGACTTCTTGGCCATTGGGGTACTTGCCCCGGCCTAGTTTTGGTATACGCGCACCTCAACAGGATCATTAAAAAGACCGATCTCGACTCTTTGCTGGTGGTCGGCCCAGGTGAGTTAAATATCCTTACCTTTGCCCGCAGACCCAATGCACGTCATACAACGCGCATACATCCATACCATCATGATCATGTGCATATATACATGCCATCATCGTACTGTACATGAATCATGCATCACGTGATTGCCATACGCACTCAGACATTTGTTAACTCTTTCACTGACAGGTCATGGAGCACCTGCCATCTTGGCGTCCTTATGGCTTGAAGACTCGTTGTCTCCCTTCTGGGAGCCTTACACGCGTGATCTTGCTGGCTTGACAAGGCTCATCACAAAATTTAGTGCGCCCGGAGGTTTCCCAAGGTTCGTCAACATCCTGGTGTTGGTTTGGCCTTATTGTCTCACCATTCATACTAGCCATATCAATGCCGAAACCCCTGGGTCCATTCACGAAGGTGGTGAACTCGGTTATGCTCTCAGCGTTGCTTTCGGTGCTATCATGGATAATCCTCATCTTGTCGTTACTTGCATTGTCGGTGATGGCGAGGCCGAGACCGGTCCGACCGCTACTGCCTGGCATGGGTACAAATACATCGACCCCGCTGAATCTGGCGCAGTTCTTCCTATCGTGCATGTGAATGGGTTTAAGATCTCTGAACGTACTATTTACGGATGTATGGACGACAAAGAGCTTATAGCCCTGTTCAGGTCTGGGGTGAACTGTGATATGTGTTCTTCAAGTCTCACGTATCTATTTCAGCGGTTACGGTTATCAGGTCCGCATTGTCAGTGCCTTGGAAACTATTGATCAAGATCTGGCTGCGTCTATGGAGTGGGCCTTGGCTGAGATTTCCCATATTCAACAAGCGGCTCGCAAAGGGAACCCCATTGTAAAGCCACGCTGGCCTGTTTTGATCCTGCGCACTCCCAAGGGCTGGACCTGTCCCAGGACAATGCATGGAGAGTTTATCGAGGGGTCATTCCACTCACATCAAGTGCCGCTGCCGCTGGCCAAGACGTCACAGGAGGAGCTGCAAGCCCTTCAGGGTTGGCTTCTCAGCTATGGTCCTCATGAGCTTTTTGTCACCAAGGGCGATGAAGGGGCGGTGGAGGGTGCACCTAGTGACGAGTTGCTAAGCATCGTCCCTGACAAGAAGGATAAAAAGCTTGGTTGCAGGAAGGAAGCATATGCCGCCTTCCAGCCTATTCGAGTTCCAGAATGGATTCATCTTGGGGTTAAAAAGGGATCGCAGGCAAGTTGCATGAAGGTAGTCGGAACGCTGTTGAGGGATACGATCAAGGCGTATGTTTTCCAGTTATGTGTATAGCTCTTATTCATCCTTCTCTAGGAATCCGACCACCTTCCGAATTTTCTCTCCCGACGAACTCGTGTCTAACAAGCTAGACGCTGTGTTCGATGTCACCGGACGCAATCTCCAGTGGGACGTTGCTTCCCGCGCTGAGGGCGGGCGTGTCATTGAAATCTTGTCTGAGCATACCTGCCAAGGCATGTTGCAAGGGTACACACTTACTGGCAGAACCGCGCTCTTCCCGAGCTATGAGGCTTTCCTTGGCATCGTACACACCATGATGGTGCAGTATAGCAAGTTCACAAAGATGGTCCGTTGATGTTCGTTCTAGAGGGCTAACCAACGCAGCTCATGCCCTCCTTCCCAGGCACACGAGACTGGTTGGAGGCACAATGTTGGTTCCGTGAATTATCTGGAGACATCTACTTGGGCACGTCAGGAGCACAATGGCTTCTCTCATCAGAACCCGTCTTTCATTGGTGCTGTACTCAATTTGAAGCCGGCGCTGGCACGCGTGTACTTGCCGCCTGACGCAAATTGTTTCTTGTCCACTGTGGCCCATTGCTTGAGGGCGAAGAACTATGTGAACTTGATGGTTGGTAGCAAGCAGCCCACGCCCGTTTGGCTGAGTCCTGATGAGGCGAACATGGTGAGGTGATCCCTCCTAATTTTTGCTCACGTTTTGCTTAATGTCTGACAGCACTGCGTTGCGGGCGCATCTATATGGAAGTTTGCAAGCGTCGACGATGGCGTGGACCCGGATGTGTAAGTGTTTCCCTTCCAATTGAGCAACTTGGACTGATTTGAGGTAACAAGCGTCCTTGTTGGCATCGGCGTCGAAGTGACATTCGAAGTTATAGCGGCTGCTGCACTCCTTCGCAAGATGGCTCCCGCCCTGCGAGTGCGCGTCATCAATGTCACCGATCTCATGATTCTCGGACCTCATGGCAGCCACCCGCATGCCTTGAGTGATGATGATTTTGACACGCTTTTCACCAAGGACAAGAATATCATCATTAACTACCACGGCTACCCTATCGAAGTGAAAGGTTTGATCTTTGGTAGGCCTGGAGTGGACAGGATCACCATTGAGGGGTATCGTGAGGAGGGAACGACAACATCTCCATTTGATGTGCGTCACTTGTAGCAATCAGTTGCCCCCATCTTGACTTGGTTTCTGCAGATGATGCTTTGCAATCACACGTCTAGGTATCACGTTGCCGCAGCCGCCATTCGCGCTGGTGCACTTTTCAGTACGAAGGTTTCAACGGAGGCTCACGCGGAGGCAGCCTACATCATGCACATGGCCGCGAAAGACAAAGAGTATATATTTGCTCACGGAACGGGTGAGTAACTAAATGATCATCTTTCTTGTGCCCACACCTGACTGCGTTCAGATCCTGATGGCACATTTGACACTCCCAAATTCAACTAAGGACAACATTTGAGATCATCGACTGTGTATCATAGCTATGAGTTTGATGTGTATTACTACTTGTATTTATATTCGAATATGTATGCGACGGACAGTCGCCGTGCTCTCTGAATGTTCGAATGTGCAAAAAGCGACAGGCCTGGGACTCGAACCCAGAATCTCTAGCGATCTCTAACCGGAAACTAGCGCGTTACCATTACGCCAACCCGCCATGTTTTTATCGTCGACATCGACGTTCATGACAGCGTGACCCTTAAATTACCACGCCACCTTTGCGAGCTTCGTGAACAGTTGCACTTAAACTGAATTGCTCCTTAGAATTGCACCTTTGCAATCTTCTCAGTTCCATCTGTTTTGAGACGTCATGTCATTTTTTGGAGCCAGCACGGCTTCAACAGCACCAGCGGCGCCTGCAGAAAAGGATATTGAAGTCCCGGAGCCGCCGACTGACTCCATCTCTTCCCTAGCTTTCTCTCCTGCAGCAGACTATCTAGCTGTAGGGAGCTGGGACAACAATGTAAGTGGTATTAGGCGGTATCTGGCTTATGTTTGACGCGCAATCTATACATCGATAGGTGCGTTTGTATGAAGTTGGCGCTGGAGGGCAGACTCAAGGCAAGGCAATGTTTGGCCACCAAGGACCTGTGTTGAGCGTGTGCTGGAACAAGGTGCGCTCGTCCTTCCATTGATATCCACCTGACATGGCTGAATCGCCTGCTCTTCGGCCTCTAGGAGGGTAACAAAGTTATTTCGGGGGGTGCGGACAATGCCGCACGCATGTTTGATATCACGAATGGGCAGTCACAGCAGGTGGCACAGCACGATGCCCCTGTAAAGGTCGTGAAGTGGATCGAGACCCCACAGGGTGGCATTCTGGCCACTGGCAGTTGGGATAAGACCGTAAAAGTAAGCCTGCTGTAGTCCTCATACCACGTGCATGTATGTGACTCATAACTCGTATCACTCACTACCATAGTACTGGGATATGCGCTCGCCAACTCCTGTTGCCACTGTTGCACTTCCTGAGCGCTGCTACAGCATGGATGTCCAATATCCGCTCATGGTAGTTGCCACGGCAGAGCGAAATATCCAGATTTTCAATCTCACAAACCCCAACACAGCATACAAAGTATGTCCACGATGTTCACTTGATGTCTACACATGACTTATATATATATATTCATTAAGACCATCTCTTCCCCGCTGAAATGGCAAACGCGTGTCGTTTCATGCTTCACCAACTCCGCTAGCAGTGGGTTTGCTGTGGGTAGTGTGGAAGGCCGTGTCGCCATCCAGTACGTAATCTTGCCAGATGCTTGGCTTACGGGCATTCATTATTTCACAGATACGTCGAAGACAAAGACAGCTCGTACGGGTATATCACGGCTCCGTTCATACTTTCATTTACGTGTTATACAGGAACAACTTTTCATTCAAGTGCCATCGAAAAGACCAGACGCCGAACGCCAAGGACCAATCTCTCGTGTACGCCGTCAATGACATTTCATTCCATCCTGTGCACGGGACCTTCTCTACTTGTGGTAAGCATCGAGATCCATGTGGCTGGTTTCCAATAGTCTAATTCGGACAACCCAGGCTCTGATGGGACCATCCACTTCTGGGACAAAGACGCCCGCACACGACTAAAGAGTATCTCCACTCTGATTGCCGGCCTTTTTGGTTGTACTGATCATACCTTTCCTAGCTTTTGAAGCGGCTCCTGGGCCGATCAGTGCTACAGCATTCAATCGCAACGGCACGATCTTCGCATATGCTGTCTCGTATGACTGGTCCAAGGGCCACAGCGGCATGACGCCAGGACACCCCAACAAACTCATGTTACATGCTTGCAAGGACGATGAGGTCAAGAGGCGACCAAAGAAGTAGTTGAGGCATCGAGACAGTTTTTTGAGCTGACGTTTGAGTACATAGTACGCTATCTACATCCATGTGTCGATGTGTTGCATTAATAGCACGGCAGTTGTTTCTCCGACTACCCTCGTTAGGCCTTAGGAATGATGGAACCTGGTAGCTGGCGCCGTCTTAGTTTATGAGATAGGGTGAGATAGGGGTGAAATGTTCTTCTAAACGCACTGAGTACCACTTGCATAATATTTGCCTCTGAAATAAAATAGCAGATCTTGGACGATCTTGCAGGTGTGGATTTGAAAGCGAACGCTGGAAATGTCTTGAAGATAGACTTGACCCGTGGATAAATGGAAATTTAGTCCGACTGTGTGGTGGACACTGAATTCGGGGGTCAAACGAACAACCCAACACAATATTTCATTAAAAGTTCAAGTGGTTTCAACGAAAAAGCAAGTATGCAACGCGAAAAAAAATATATGACAAGTATTAACTTCAGCGAGTAGATGATCCATACGTAGCGGCTAGGGTGCATGACAGTCTATAATTGGATGATAATATATGTTCGCTGCGATTATCATCATCGTTTTTATGACTGTTTCTTGATCTCCAGCATGGGATCGAGGGACGACTCGGGCTGGCGGTATGAGCCACCGACACGGTCTGCCAAAGTGAAGTACTGAGCGTGGGGGAAAAAGAGACTTTAGGGGATAGCCACGAGAAAGCGTAAACGGTAAAGCGTACCTGACCAAAATTCACTGTAAAGTAAAGATGATGGAGTGTGTGATGGGAAGGTCCGTTTATCACCTTTTCAAGGGCGTGTCCCGTAACCATATCGGAATCATGGATCTGTTACCGTTGACGTCAGAATAGTCCATGCGAGTCATGCAAGGCACGCACCAGAATGGTCCAAATATTGACGAAAACAAAGAGACCAAGATATAGCAATCGATGAAGAGGGATTGTGAATATGAAGATGTGATATGGGACAGATTGGAGGTAGCCATCTACAGGGTGGAAAGCATGAGAGGCAAAAGGGGTCGGTACTACAAAAATATGTAAGCGCAAGAATATGGTATATAGAGCAGAGCAACATACCTATCCACTTGTGGTGAGGCTTATGGAGTGTTTTATATACACTCGGGTGATGCAATAGTCGGTGCGTCCAGTAAACTCCAAAGTCGGTGCAAAACAAGAAGCTAACAACAAATGTTGAGTAGATGTCACGGTCGAGAAAAAAGATAAAAAGTACTGACAGTGGCACTGATAGGACCAAGTAAGCCCAACCATAGTCTTCCACATTATCGTAGAGTTTGGAGTAACCCATTACCTCCGCTTGGAACCAAGGCAGGGTGAGAAGGGTCATTACAGGGAATGCTTGTATACTGCTTTGAATCTCCTGTTTGACCTGATTTTCTAGGAAGCGTGGATGGCGCATCATCTCATGGTTGAAAATGAATTTGTATGACAGCCACGCGAACAAGAAATAGAGGATGTGAATGCCCACGAGGGTGATTACGCTGAGAGAAATAATTTGTCTAGGAATGTAATCACGAGGCCAGGTAGATTGTGAAAGATGCGTGATTGACGTGAAGTTTGCAGACGTGGGGAGGGAAGCATACAGGTGGTCGTCGAGGGGCAGCAGGCGCGCCCATACTTTGTCAAGGAGATAGTCGTCTGCGAGGTGCAAAACAAGATCCATGGTGCCTAAAAATCAGCTTGAAAGTCACTTGACCTAACCAGCAGGTACCGAGAGCGAACAGACAACGTTTCGGACAAACTGTTATATACGACATTTCCATCGAACCACTTTTTTGACCCATTGACCGACGGCATGACAAAGCATCCCAACATGGTTAATTTTAATTTGACACGATTTAAACTCAGCGTCAACGGAAACATTCTCTCAGTATGAAGTCTAATTACAATGACGACGCGTCAAGTCAGTCAAAGAATATTATTGCAAGAGCTCAAGTAAATAACAAGGGCGCTTAGCGCAGTGGTAGCGCGTATGCTTTGCACCAAGCATCCAATTTGTATAAGGTCCAGGGTTCAATCCCCTGAGCGTCCAACTTTTTTTCTTCGCATTTTTTTGGTCCTCATTATAACCGCACGGCATCGAACACCAACATCATATCGAGTTCCATGCATCTGAATGGTACGACTTTGGGGCAGAATAGCATGTCCGTTCATCGCAACTGTGGGATTTACCAGTACTGTGGAAGAGGTAGCGGAAGTACAGCGAGTGGGTGGTCCCGGCTAACTATGGCACGTTTAGTAACAACGGGCTCACACCGTCTTCAAGGAAAAGATTTCAAGAACCCCACGGAAGCCCGCAAATGTACACGCGGTCCGCCGACGCTGGCTGTGTCTCCGAATACAAACTCACGTGGCGAACCAACACTGGAGTTGGTGCGGCTGCATCCACTAGGAACCGCCAAGGGTCGGTGAACTTCCGCATGTATCGTGTTCTTCTCGCGAGGTACCATGGATATAATTCATTGGCAGCCCGCCGTTGTGGCAATCCGTTCTTGTCGTCCACCCTAAATGCACGATCATCATGTGTTCCAGGTCCATTTGTACCAGTTGGGCATTGACAGGCGTTGACATGGACAGGCGTTGACCGTGCGTGTTTCAACGGATAACGCGTCTGGGTCATGTATTGCATCTGGGTCACGTATGTTCATCGCCCTGCTGCATTTCCCCACTCAATGGCACCTCACTACACTATCACGATCACAATGATAGCATGAAATAATGGTTTTAGGCTGAGGCAGATGAGCGTGGTGTCCAGTGCGCCTGGACAATGTGGTGAACACGTGTTGAACTGTAGGCTCCCTTGGTCCACGCCGGCGGTGCGTTTACGATCTACAAAACCCAGTATAGCACACAAAACCCAGACACAGCACCAACTTCGACGACAGCATGGGTGGATGTCTCAGTTACTTTACTTCTTCCAGACGCAGGAAGCCCAGGGATCTGGAGTCAGGCCAGGTTGATGTTGCTGACCCGCAAAGACTACTAGGTTCAGAGACAGAACTACGCCAAGAGCTGGAGCCTAAGACCATTTACATAGCGTGCGTAATCATCATTGAGATTTTGGGCGGTGATTAATCTACCCCACAGCGTAATGGGTGCCACCGGCAGTGGCAAGACAACGGTCTGACATTTCCTTGTGCTCCGGTCGTCAACGCTGATAAAAAAATTGAATAGTTCATCAACACTGCATCTGGGTCGGAATTGAGAGTTGGTATGGGGCTTGAGAGCTGTACAAACGAAGTGCAGATGTCGCAAGCATTCTTGCTGGACAAAGCTCGTGTCATCCTCGTCGATACGCCTGGCTTCGATGACACGACGAAGAGCGACACAGACGTGCTGAAGATGATTGCTGCCTACCTGCAGACTATGTTCGTACCCGTCATTGACATTATAGGTAGCCTAGCGCATTAACAGATTGACTTCTAGGCACAAGCAAGATAAACTTCTGTCTGGTGTCATCTACATGCACCGAATCTCCGACATCAGAGTCGGGGGTACATCAAGACGTGATTTTACCATGTTTCAAGAGTTGTGTGGTCAAGAGGCGTACAAGAATGTCCTCATGGTTACGAACATGTGGGGCGACGACATAACCGAGGATGCCCTAGCGCGGGAAAAAGAACTGCGCGAAAAGGACATATTCTTCAAACCAATCCTCGACAACGGCGCTCGTCTCCTACGCCACATGAATGATCAAGAAAGTGCCCACAAGATCATTCAGAAGCTGACTGGCATAGACCCCGTAGTCTTACGCATCCAAAGCGAACTCGCAGCAGTAAATGACATCACTCAGACGGGTGCCTATGCGCAGCTAAACCGCGAACTTATGGAGCAAGCGGAGAGGAACCGTCAAGAGCTGGAGAAGCTGCGAGTAGAGTTGGAGGAAGCCGCTCAGGCGCAAGATGAGGAGACGCGAATTGAGCTTCAGGAGGAGTCGGAGAAGATGGAAGCGGAGCTTTTACGCGTGCAAAACGAGGCTGCGATGTTGGCATCCGAATATCAAGCAGAACTTCGGAGAATAGAGGAGCAACTTCACGCGCGTGGTGGGTGACTGGCGCAATACAGTTTGTCTTGGCGATCGTTTGGCTGACAATACGGATAATCCTGACCCCTGGCCCCATAGCATAGTATTGGTTGGACTACAGTTGTATCAGAAAATATACCTCTATACATTGGTGTGTAACCGACAAAACCCTTGTCAGCATCAGAAGCTGTGATACTGTCTTAAACGATTTACAATGTTAAGGGCAGTCACCCAGCATTACGGAGACGCCACTCAAGAATGGACTAACATTGCGCTCAGCGAGGACGAAGCGAGGCTGCTTCCAGTCATATCAACACGCCGAGATTCATTCAGCGGTGATCTCGCCCAAGTCGAGCTCCAAGCAACGAGGTAGGGCTCAACATTTCGCCAGGCACGTTAGGGGCTGCGCCTCGCGAAGACCGTGCCGCCGCAAGAAGTGGGTGAGCGATAATTCAGCAGGCGTATTTAAACCCCCGCGTTCCTCGCATTGGCAAAAGTATCTGCACAACGCATCGCCTGTCTCAGTATACAACTGTACCTCCTCTTGCATAGATCGACACCTGCTAATTACTGAGTCACAATGTCGAATCCAAACAGGGAAATCCGGATTGCGTACGTACCTTCAGTGTCTTCGAGTCAATGTATTGACGCTCTTTCTAGCGTCATGGGCGCAACCGGTAGTGGTAAATCCACGGTATGTACAGTCTCCTGGTCCCGAACCTTGCGTTGCTTACTCTCGTGGGACACAGTTTATCAATAAGGCTAGCGGGTCGAACCTCCCCGTTGGCCGCGGCCTCGAGAGTTGCACCAGCGAAGTGCGAACTTCACGGCCCTTTGTCGTCAGCGGGCGTATCGTGACCCTGATCGATACGCCCGGCTTTGATGATACAAGCCGAAGTGATACCGACATTTTGACCATGATCGCCGCATATCTCACCAAGACGTACGTGATTCCACAATAGATTTCCTCAAGCTAAGCGTTTCTTCAGCTACGAACATGGCGCCAGACTCTCTGGCGTCATCTACATGCACCGCATCTCTGACTTCAGGATGGGTGGCACGTCCAAGCGCAACTTCAAGATCTTCCGCGAGCTTTGCGGAGAAACCTCACTCAAAAACGTTATCATCGTGACCAACATGTGGTCAGAAGTGAGACGTGAGATTGGCGAGGCCAGAGAGGCCGAACTTGCAGGCAAGGACAAATTCTTCAAGCCTGTGCTTGAGAAGGGCGCTCGGATGCTCCGTCACGATGGCACCCTCGAGTCCGCACATACCACCCTCCGCTATCTCATCAACAGCCAAACCGCTACGCTCCGCATTCAACAGGAAATCGTCAACGAGCACAAGCCCATCGAGCAGACCGCTGCGGGCTCTGAGCTGAGGCGCGCTCTCGACGAACAAGCGGATCACCACAAAGAGGAGATCCATAATCTTCGGGCAGAGATGGAAGCCGCTATGCGCGCCAAAGACGAGGAGACGAGGGGCGAACTTCAGGAAGAGCTTGAGAAAAAGCAGCAGGAATGCACACGCATCGAGGAAAGCGCTCAGCGCATGGCAGCCGAGTTCGCTGCCGAGCGCGCACGCCTCGAGGCTCTAATCCTGCGGATGGAGGACGAGCAGAAGAAGCAGCACCAGACGCTGCAGGGCCTTCAAGGCGAGGTAGCCAGAGTCCTGACTGAGAAAGAGCAACAGGAACTTCTGCACGTTCGAAAGCAGAACGAGATTCTTGCTGCCAAACAGGCAGAGGACGAGCGGCGCGCGCGCGAGTTAGAAGAAGAACGCAAGGCAAGAGCGCTTGCGGAAGAAACTCACCAGAAGCACCTCCAAAGTCTTCGGGATGATATGGAGAAGACACGCATTGCTAAAGAGATGGCCGATGTTGCTCACGCCGAAGAAGTCAAGCGAGAGCGAGAGAGGCTGGCAGCGTTAGAGGCTGAGCACCAGCGACAGAGCTCTGCCATGGAGGCCGCGGAAAGAGAACGTGCTCGGGAGGAAGCGGAACGAGTACGCCTGCAAGAAGAATTTGTGCAGAGACAGAAAGAATTAGAGGAAGTCAAGGCTTCCCACGCACAAAAGGAGGCCGAGAGTACCGCAGCGAAGCAGGCTGAGGAAAGCGCCCGAATCCGTCTCGTTAAACAACAGGAGCTAGCACGACGACGCGAAGAAGAGCTGGCTCGAGTGCAACGGGAGATGGAAGAGGCGCACGCCACCCGAGAGCGTGAGGCTGTGTTGGCTAGGCAAGCTGAAGAAGACGCGCGCGTACGACTGCTCGCAGAGCAACATGAAGCCAAACTACGCGAGGAAGAAGCTCACAGAAAACGCCTTGAAGACGAGCTCCTGCGTGCTCGGCGGGAAATGGAAGAGGCTGCAAAAGCCGAAGAGAAACGCAAACAGGAGGAGGCAGCAGCCGCCAAGAAAGCCGAAGAAGAAACCCAGTCGCGTCTCGTGGAGCAACAAAAATTGGCCAAGCAGCGCGAGGAGGAGCACCGGAAGAAAACGGAGGAAGAAGTCGCACGAGCACGCAAAGAACTTGAGGAGGCGCAGGCGAGGGCAAAACGCGAAGCCGCTGCTGCTAAGGAGGCGCAAGACTTAGAGCGTGTGATACTCTTTGGAGAACAGAAGAAACGGGAAGAGGAGAACCAAAGGCGAATGCAGGAAGAACTCGCTGGGCTCCTTGAAGAACAGAAGAAACAGGAAGAGAACCAAAGGCGAATGCAGGAAGAACTCGCTCGGCTGAGACAGCTAGCTGCTCAATCGGAAGGACAGAGCGCAGATCTAGCAGAACAAGTGCGCCAGGGTGAAGCAGCGGAAAGGAAGAACCAACAGCTCGAGGAAGAACTGACGAAGGCGCGCGAGCGGGCTCGGGCGGCGAAGATAGACTACGAACGAAGACTGTCTGACGTTGAGGAAAGGTCACTCGATCGTGTCTTGCCCCAGGCGGGTGTTCTAATGCCGACTTTGCCATTCGTCGTATGGAAAGCAGCCATGACGTGGTGGGGAACGACGAAGACGGCGAGGAAGTGAATTTCGATTATGTACTACTAGCCCTGAGCCCTGCGATTGACCAATGCTGGTCCTTAACCTATTGAACTGACATGCATCATGTACGACACAGTACTAGTTCGTTTCCTTACCTTGTCTGAGTCACGTATATATTCACCGTACAGTCCTGGAATGTTTAGTATCTGGCCACGACGTTGAGCTGCAGATGTGACAAGTGCATATGCTACTGTTGACTTGTCTGGGTCTGGGATCGGGTAAACGACCATCTTCCTTCTATTGGTCCACCTAGGGAAGACTAAGTAGGAATCGGTTCTCGATGCCACCTCGTACTCCGCGGGTGGTCAGTTGGTGTGTGACCTGCTTTGGGGCTTTCGTTGAGAGACGAGGCTTCGACCTCGATCCGCCGGTAATAAGTGCAGACATCGTAAAGCGGCTCGTGATCGTCCTGTGGCATGGGGAGAACGTTCAACCTTGCATTTCCACTGGGTTCCACTTTGAAAAACAAGTTCCATCAATTGCAATTTATAAACGGCTTCAAACGACCCTGCAAATTTCTAAACCCAGAATTCTTGTGTGAGAGAACATTCTCTTGCCATCTCGAGCTGCTCGTCAGTACGACAAACCAACATCCTCATCCCCCTGTCACTCTTCCCGATGTCCACAACGATGCCTTCGTCATCATTCACTTGGGTGTTTTTCGTCTCGTCGATCGCCGCAAACCCAAGGCACGCGACAGCTTCTCCAACGGCACGTCTCAACTCAACGCTCCGTTCTCCCACGCCTCCCGCAAAAACCAAGGCATCAACTTTTCCGTGGAGAGCCAGATGATATGCCCCGGAAAAATGGAGTATGCGATCTAGCATGATGCGGAACGCAAGCGTATATGGGTCTGTGGTGCGAGACATGGGATCAGAAAGTGTACTCGTGTCTGCCTTCTCCGTGATTTCTTTGAAATCGGTTGTGCCGGTAAGTGCCTTCCAGCCCGACTTGAAGTTAAGGACGTCCTCAGCCTGTCAATAACGAACGCTTGAGCTCCCATCTTGCAAAAGAAAGGAAAGAACTGAACTTCTGTCACTTTAACTTCCTTTGAAACGTGGCTCATACACGCCGGAGAACGATTGGTGTAGTGGAAAATTAGGCTCGCGTCTATATCACCAGCACGCGTAGCTCCAGGTAGCCCACTGAGTGGGGTGAACCCCATACTCGTATCGATGGACTGGCCATTGCGGATGGCGCACATGGAAGCCCCCGAACCGAGGTGAAGAGCGATGATGTTTAGAGTTTCCGGAGCCTGAGGAGGTCAGAATGTAATCAAACAGCAAGATACTAAATACCTTGTTAAGCTGCGCAGCTACTGCCCGCAATATGAACGCATCTAGGAAGATATAGCTTCAGCGTCATTTTAGCGAGGACAGATGAGTGCATACAGCTTAAACCATGGAAACCGTATTTCTTCAATCCCTTCTCTTGTGCTACCACCTGATTGATCGCATAGGAAGCTACATGAATCGGGAGATCTTTGTGGAATGCACTGTCAAAAAATGCGACGGATTTCGCGTGCGGAAGGGCCCTGATGGCCGACTGAATGACGGAAAGAGCGGATCCATTGTGCCTACAGGCTTCGTAACGCAACACTGAATGCAAGTCGGAAAAAAACGTACAAAGGAGCAAGGTTGGACAATCTTTCGATGTGGTGATAGGATTCTTCAGATATTATGACAGGGCTTGTGTAGTCACCACCGTGCACTACACGATGTGCAACGTGCTTAATGTCAGTTGGGTCAACGCTCGCTTCTTCCTTGAGGCGATCCAGGAAGTACGAAAATGCCGACGGATGGTCATGGATTGAGTCGACTTCTTCGTTCAACGAACTGTGTTGAATTGCGACAGGACTGAACTTGAACTTGGCTGGAGGGGCAAATATGGATGATGTGGTCGAGGATAGGAGTAATACTGGGTTCGCGGCATTATCAGCAGAACGGCGGAAGAGTGAAATCTTAAGCGAAGACGAGCCAGCATTGACGGCAAGCACGAGCGACATGGTAGTACGAGGCAACTGATTGTAAGTGCTTTAGTATAGGCCCTGCAGTACGGTACCACTGGTGTGCTCAGTGCTGACGAGTTCAGAAGCTGACCTAAAGGCACGTGACCGCGTTTCTACTTGACGCGCGCGTGTCGCACGAACTTGAACAACTCCAACCGTCGCATGTCCTAGAGCCATGAACACATCTGACTTGTCGACCCCCCAGATTCCACGTATGTTTTTATTTCACCTTTCATTGTCCTCCGCTAATTTTTACTCAACTCCTAATGCAACTCGTCCCCGCGTACGGACCATTGCCATCTGCTTCCGCTTTCCACCTACAGCTTGAACCGCCCACATTTAAGATTGAGTTTGATGAAGGCGTCACGCCCGTCAACGCGCCAACTTTTTCGGGTCAGCAAATCAATTCATGTATCAAGTTGTGCCTTACCGCAGCCTTCCCTATTCGCACCCACTCCACTCGTAATCTTCATTCCAGCGTACCCAAGCTCGCACGTTCCTCAAGAATATTGTCCATCTTGCTAATGAGCCTGTCTTTTGGTTGGATTGGCTTGGTCTCCCTATGGAACCCCTGCATCCAGCAGCATCCTATGCTGTCGCTGTCGCCAATTCTGACGCCAGATAGGACGGCGTAGCCCGTCACCGAGTTTGTCTCCACCTTTCGGCATCCTTCTAGCGGATCGTCATGGTATTGTGATGCTACGACTCAACGTGTAGATTTACGTCCCCCGTAGATTCATCAGTGGACTAATTCAACTTCACTACTCTGGTCCACACACACAGTTTCACGTTATAGCTACTATCAATCAAACGTTTTCACTGTTCTCTCTTGTTCTCCGAACTAATTTCATATAATTTATTCAATTTTCGGGTGAACCAGTGCATCGCCCGAGGATCCCGCGTCCGCAACTTGCAACATTATTCGGACAAAGATACTGGAGAACTACTCTTGAGAAAGTAATTTCTTCAGGTGGATTCTTTCCCCTCTAGTACCGTTCGCCATGGACCTGAGTTGCGTTCTTTTTGCCAAATTGCGAATACTGACGACACAACGAATTTTCATACCGGACCTTACGCGTGCGGTTCTCAAAGGCCATGGCTCCAAGCTCTCATTGGAATAACAATTTTAAGCACCGGCCGTTGGGATCCTGCCAATAGGGCATTTGCGATCTGACGGGCCGAGTTCAACATAGTACGTTACACCGTTAGTGTCACAATATAGAACTCATCCAGCGATGCCTGAGGGGTTATGCGGCTTTTTGGAGGGTTCGGATCTACAAGAACACTGTGAACGCTTGCAAGTGTTGCCGGTCAGCCGCCAATTGATTACCAGAGCTCCTTGAGGCTCAATCAAATATTGAAGTCAAGTATTTGTCTACTTTACATACTTGGTTTCAAGTCCTTACGTTCGGGTTTAAAATCGGTCCCCCAAACGCTTGTCCGAGGCTCCGCAGTGACTACTGGCAACTTCTGTCAACCTTCTGGCCGCTCAAGCATCATCATCCCTCAAGGAGATGCCCTGGAATACCCCGGGAGCTCGGCCGGTGTTCAAACAGTTCAGGGCTTTGACTCGCAATTCACTGAGAAACCTATATCCTTTTGCAGTCTTTGCGTGCACCTGATTTCCCTTCCGTTGCTTCTCCGAGGAACAACATCCTTATACACTTCTCCCGGTGCCGTGAAACCAGATTTGCTTCTCAGATCTTACTCTCCTGGTCCAGTCGCTGCGGGTCTAAACGAATTTCTAATCGACCGCAGCGCGGGACTGATCGATATCGTTTGCCAAGCGAATACACAAAATTAGCTGCATGAAGCGATAGTCTTTATTCGTGAAATCATCAACCCGTGATCGATACAAATGCGAGCAGGACTGAATAAAACACATCTAACTCTTTTCTGCTCCAGTGTGATGCCCGACCATATTGTCTTATTGGCCATTGGTGGATATCTCGAAGCTCCCGTGTGTTTTCCCTTATTTTTATTTTTGATGGATGATCTACTGTTTTGTGAGGGGTTCTGAGATGCGGAGATAGAATCGATTTGTCTCGGTGGTTCCTCATCCGGTGCTATGACTTGTATATTGGGACATTTGGGTGCGACCGGTGGGCCTGACGAGAGTCTGATCCATGATGCCAGATGACGCCCTGAACATCCTTCTGACAGATTCCCGATGAAATTTTTATTTAAGATGACCGTGATCGGCTCCCAAACTAATACAATACAACCATAACGAACACAACAAGAGGTCACTGCATAGGTACATCCGTGATAACGAGATTAGATCGATGCGTGTCAATAACTAGGCGCTGTAAGATAACCGTCATGTCCATGCAACTCTCAGGCATTCAAGCAGTTAGATTCCGTGGAGATAAGACAACATGCAGGCTCCCTTTCGTGGCAACAAAATAATCCTTCAAGTCGCGTTCCCAGGACTCTGGGTCGTATCCCTCCGCAAAGCGGAAGTTCAGTCGGTGCATCATCGCACAAACTACCATTCGTATTTCTTGACATGCGAGCTGCTTGCCAATGCAGTGTGCGGGGCCGAAGGAGAACGGGACAAAAGCCTTGGTATCATGAATGACTGAAAATTTATCCATGCCCTTTGAATCAAACGACGGGAGCGCCGCTCGCTCTTCAGGTGTGAGCCACCGCTCCGGCCAGAAGGTGTCAGGTGAGGGGGAGAAGTTGCGAGGATCGCGCTGAAGGGAATAAGTATGAACGAATGCGCTGGTGCCTTCGGGCAGGAAGCTACGGTGAGTTTATGTCAGTTAGATTCGCAAGTGTTGGTATATAAATGATGGGCTTACTAAGGGCCGACAAACTTCCCGTCACTGCCTCTCGGTACCCCACGCTGACTTCCGCTGAGAACTGGTGGGAAGAGCCGCAGAGTTTCGTTACTGAAAACCAGTGTCAGCTGTCAGTCGAAAGTATAAAAAGAATGGAGCACGTGCATTACGGCATTGAGGTAACTCATACGGGGGTGATGAGCCGTAGAAAGTATATCTTCGCCAGGAGGGAAAAAGCTGTCGACTTCAGCTTGGAGCCGGTAGTACGTTTGGGGATGCTTCAGAAGCGACAAGAATAGAGAGCTTAAGGTGGTTGCTGTGGTGTCAGATCCGGCTACTATAGCAAGGACTCCGTCGGATGCCACTTCCGCAAAAGTTGGAGGGGAAGTGTGGCGCTCAAGACCCGCCTCATCAATCTGAGGACTGTCAGCAAAGCTGAATACAACATAAACAATTGGAATAATAACCAGATAGTGAAAGAGGTCTTTATTCAGAGAGCCTTGCACACGCCTGAGCATAGCACGTTCTTGACAAAACGTTCTGAATTTCTTGAGCTCGCCAATTTTTGGCAACTTGACGTAGTACTTTCCGAGCCAAGGCACGTGTGACAGAATTAAGGCAGTTCTATAAAGGAAAATATATTTAGTCTTTCCATATGGTAATATTGGCCTTCCCTATACTCACGGAAGTCCATTTTCGAGCAGATGCCAAGTGTTGTCCTTATCACCGTCCCGCAACATCTCAGAACCTCCGCCAAATCTTGGGAAATCGTTAAGTTCGATTAGAAACATCCAAACACCATGTGCACTCACGCCATATCGCTCATGAAGTCAAACCTATGTTATTTAAGTCAGGAACAAAAAGGAGACAAGTGGGAAGTGGGAAGACGCACGTGAAATGACTTATACGCTCAGAAAGGTTGATGGGCTTTGTCTGTTGCTCGAGGATAGTTACGAATTGTTGGACTCGCTTTCCGAGAATCTCTTCATAACCTTTCAGTGCGGTAACACTGAAAGCTCTGTGCCAGGGCTTTCTCCGTCGCGCGTGCTCCACGGGATCCCTCACCGAGATGACTGTTCTGATAACTGATTGCTCTGCCATGCGTCCATCCCAGTCTGTATGTCTAAATTAGGTCCGGGCGCCACATATCAGAGCGCAATAAATCACTGACGAGGTCCTTTGGGTAAACCATTGTGACCCATCAAGGGGGCCACAGCATTGACGTCTCGTATTGATAGCTCGTTAGGACCTAGTTCAAGAAACAAGGTTGTCAGATACAAACAATCGAGTTAACAGGTTATGTACCGATTCTGACGACGTCGCCATACGTCTTGTGCAGTCTTGAGTAGTACAGGTGTTGCTTCCCATCCCTAGAGGCCCATGCCATCCAGAACTTGGAGATGCGGCAAGGGATGGGGCCAGGATATGTTGCAAGTGGATGCCAGGGGGATAGACGGTACACGATCACAGAAACGAGAAGAGTAGAGTAATACAATAGGTATACAAAAGCAATTGCGCGCGTAAACGTTGATGCGCTTGGCAAAAACAAGATCGTAAGAATGGCTGGAACCACGACGAGCAGGCCCATATGAGAGAGCGGAGTGGTGGGCTCATAACGTTTGAATACAAAATGACAAAGCTAACGACGATCCAGGGTCAGAACGCAATGTAATAATGCATGGGGTATATCCGCCACTTACCAAGCCGGCGGCCACCACAACGAGAAAGCCACCTTGTGGTGATAGCGAAGACATGTTTGCGTCAACCGAGTATGTGGGCATTGGGACACATATTGCCAGGCGATACGAAACCTGTATTTAAGAGGCTGGCGAAATTTCGGAAATCGGAATCAAAAGAAGAATTCGACATAATCTAGTTGGACATATTGGCCAAGGACTAGATGAAGATTTTGACTTGCAGAGATCAACATCTAAACAGAGATGCGGCTTGACGAATGGAAATAGATAACAACGATCCGGGCTCGTCGATATGGGCAAGATTTGGCCCCATGGGAGTTGGTTACTTAGTCGAACGGAACAATCAAAATGAATATGGAGTAAGTTAGCCTGTACGACAAGTGCAAATGGAACGTACGGGGCAAAACTCGGTTAGGTCCAACGGTATTAGGCAAGCAAAGCCGCGGTGACGGAAAACGACAAGTGCCGAGAAGGATGTACACTCACCTGAGTGATGTCCGTGGACTTAAGTTAATGTGCAGGGTTTCCAGGTCCTCCCGTGCCTGTGTCACTATCCTGCTAGGTTGGCTCTTCCGGGGGATCGGCATGAGCTCTGAGCTCATTTTAGTCTGAAATGATCACCTTTGCTGCTGTTCAAAGCGAAATCCATTTGTTGCAGCTTCCTGCCTGTGGTGGCTCATTCACAAAAACAACATTTCAGCAGTCTAATGCCTTTTTAGGTCTGGTACGGAATATGCCGCAACTCGGCAATTTTATGTACAAATGATGACTTTATCTTCAATAAGAGGCGGGGATGAAAGAGACGTATATGTGGGTAGGTTGAACTTTGAAACTAATGGGCGTCGTTGTTCAAGTTCAACCCAAAATAATATCGTCTAACTTTGGCGGCCAAGGTCCGAACCTAGATATTGTTTCTGGACTCAAGATCTCAAGAGCCTATCAGCCCGAGGTATAGGCCGCCGAGCAACCACGGAGTCCAAGAGCCAAGAAATCAACTGACCGGTGACCGTCTTCTGCCATTAATCATCCCAGTCTCTGCCAGGCAGTGACGTCATCCCCTTCTACATAGAACGGTTGAATTGAGGGTGACACCACTCAGATCATGACGTGTAATGGCGTGCCAATATTGCGGATAACAATATAAGATACACATTCTAAAGTGTTTCCTTCGCGGAAGATGCCCTGATAATACCAAAAGTAAGTACCGAACAGCACGAGATCGCAAACCCTTATGCAACATGGCGCTGATGGCAGAGCTGCTTTCGCGTGAGCTGCGGACGCGTGACAGTTGGTCTCGGCTCCGACGGTATGCCTCGATGTTTGGAAGCCTTGAACATGCTGGATGCGGGGGGACTTGGAGTGACACTCTGTGGCCGTGCATGCAATTGATCGGATACCATTTCGGCTTATTGACCAGACAGAGTCGGAATGGGAAGCTTGACATATGAAAAAAAAAAACGCACCGCCCCAGATAGCCAAAATTGACTGGAATGGTTCTGTGCCCTGATCCCCCTAGATTAACGCAAGCTCCGGAGTGCCACTATTACAAACTAGTATCTCAGAAGCGCGAAAGAGACGCAAGATTGTAGTGCCCAAGATTAAGAACAGACGCTCGATGGAACATGGTAAGTCTTTCCATACAGAAGAGGAAACTCATACTAACCAAAATTGATGGCAAAATAACTTCCTCGACCACCCTGTTGGTTCACCGTGTGGAATGCGGCGAAAGGAACATATCAGCGTAATCATGATTGCTGGTCGAGGTTTATCTGATAAGTGATAAGTCAGAATAATGTACCCCACGAAGCGCGTACCAGCGGCGATGAACGGTCTATGAAAGGCCATGAAGGATGATCGCTCCATATCACGTCATTCCATCGGAACAGATTTTATCCCGTTTCCTGGATCGCCACGACGTCGCCGCTTCAACATTCATGTAGTGCCCTGGTCATAGTGTATCCTAGATGGATCGAGGGCTTATCTACTTGGTTGGGTTGACAGAAAAATAACGCCGCGCAAAGCGCAGGGAAAAGCCTAGAGAAATTCAGATCCGGGATTGTTTTTAGCAAAAGGTGACCAAGGAATTTCCAAGGAATTTCCAACGGCGTCGGGATGTACAACAACGCTCTCCGAGGACCCACAGTCACGATACGCGGACAATTCTCGTAAGTGAGGGTCTATCATGACAATCAAATGTTTCCTTTAGAGGGGAGTCAGGTATTTTAGAGGCTAGCCGCGATTCCGTTTTCAAGGGGGCAAATGCGGTCGCAACAACGCAATGGGGTGAACCCAATGTGACGCCGGAAAAAGTTTCATGTCACGATGAGGAAGTAAGTCTGAACGTTCGGGGCCGCGGAGAACCCTGGAAAGGCTACACTGGATGTCGATATGATCTAGTAAATATTCAACAATCAATCATTTGTTGGTGGACGCACTCTGTATGTCAAAGCCTAAATATACGTATCTGATGGAGGCTGCGATCTGTGAGACTGGATTCCCTTCGTGCGTGCCGATCATAACTCAGCGGGTTCAATTCATGGGGAACCACAGAGTAGGATTGTGGGTCGCGACACGGTCTGACCACCAGGACGGTGAACCCTAAAGCAGCGGATATAGAGAAGCGAAGATCGTTGCCCGTTAGGGAAAGGACAGGGTATAATGAGCTGGTCAGGTTCAAATCGGGCATGACCTGAATGGAAGATCTCTGCTTCTCCAACAGCATATATGTTTCTCCAGTAAGCAAGAAAAACAATTCTGTCAATCACATGTCTCGACCTGAAGATATTGCAGAGTTGAGCCGCTCGATCTGTCCACGAAATACCCAGGGGAAATGAGCGGTGTCTTCGGAAGTGGTGCGCAGCCAGTATTTTTGGTGGCCGATCCAGAAGCCAGTTCAACGATGGTGTTCGCTCACCACATGACTGAGCCCGTGTAGTGATATGATCTATTGACAAGATCAGTCCTAGCTTGTTTCCTCTTAATTAAGTATACGGCTTTACACGATGTTGTGCCAACTCTATTCCACGCCAACATGCGTTGATGGTGCGGAGACTGGCGCACCTTGGAGGGCTAGGAAAAGACGAAATGAAGGGAAGATTGGCAATAACGAAAATTTCAGTTAGTGCATTCCAGTACAATCGCCGCGATTGACCAGACAAGGAGAGGCAAGGAGTCGTACCTTTGCGTTGCTGTCTGTCAGTAGCAGCGAATGGACCACCTTCTGTTCATGTTCGCGACCTGTGAAAGACTATAACTGACATGCCGCGGAAGCAAAAGTCCAAGAGCGCTTTACGTCACAAGTCACCGATATTCTCACGAGCTTGTCTAATGACATTCAGTTCACGTACGCATTTCCTCAGGCGCCAACCACGTCTTGACGACCACCAGCCAACTCACAATGTCCAACATTCTCCGTGTCTTTTCGAAGCATGCACGCTCATTGTCACAGCCGCCTAAAATCCGTGCTATCGCACCCAGGCGTTTGTTTCACTCGCCCTATGTCGTGCTCAACTCACCATTGACATCACCACCGAGCTCTGCTTCGAACGTGTCGCCAATGTCGGCGTCATCGTACGAGAAACAGCATGACCACTCTCCTGAACCCCAAATATCATCAGCTGGCACGCGCACTTATGTGGTCTCAGAGCCTGACCCAGCCAATACCCCTTATGCCGTGCCGTCAGGCGCATATCCCACAACAGCGCCTTATGTCAATTTCAAACCCACAGACGCGCCCAACCCTGAGGGGAAATATAGTTCAAGTAGCGCGAGCCTTCCTCACCCTTATACAACTCGTGCTGTTCCTCAAAATGCAGATGGCATTGGCGAAAGCGCCTCAGTGAGATATGGAGAAGCACCCGGTGAGATGGGTCGCAGAGGGGGGAGCTACGGAGGGCTAGGCTTGATGGATGAAACTGGCACACACAAGGGCGCCGCAGAGCTTCCCGACAGAAATCCATCCCCTGATTCAGATGTGGCCCTGCGTTGGTCCAAACTAGGCGTAGAGGATGCATGGAAAGAGCGGAAATAGATTGTGGGGTCGTGTGGAGGAATGTCGCCATTGAGTCAGGCGATCGACTTTGAAACGTGAATCGGTATCCAACTGCATTGACTTTAATAATTTCGAAGGCTGTACGATAGTGATATGATTCTGCTGCAATGCCTGGTCTTTGAATGTATATTATTTCTCTTGCGCTGACATCGGGCTGCGGAATATGAATAGCGAAGATAATCAAACTTTGAGACTGTCTGGTATCTGAATCAGATTTCGAACTTACTATAATATCGAAAAACATTCTAGAACCTCGAAGGGCTACTTGATCATAGCCCGGGATGGGCCCAGTCCAGACAGACAGACATACGGCAGTCACCCGTGCGACAACGTCCTCGACAATATGAAAGCTAGCAGTCAATATTTATTATTGCCCCCCGCGGCCAAGTAGTGGGGCTAATGAATATCCTAAAGGGTCTGTAGAAAATACACATGGAAGCAATAAACATGAAAATATTGTGCCGCCACCCAAGACCAGCCACAGGATCAGGCGGAAACTTGATGAAGACTGTGACGGAATGAATATTCGAAACGATCGTGTGGGGTATGATGACGGTGTGACATGGTCGACCTGCGGAAAGAGGAGAGCAATACGGAATCCCGAGGAGAAGCTAGCAAGATAGATAAGTATGTACGATAGCCATGATTGATAGATCGTGCGTGTTGCCGTCAGAGTATCTACTACCTATAAACGGGAAATTAGCCGGGAACCAGCAAAGCCTGTCCGAATAACTTGCCAATGAAACCCAAGTACCGCGGATAGCGACCAGCGCTGCACCACCCAGTGGTGCTCACTATGCCCGGCAGCAAAACAGGCCGGAGAAGAAGCCCTTCCGCTTAGGGTGTCTGTCATCATCCACATCATCAACACCATGCCTTTGGGTCTCAAATGCAGTCATTCCACGCATCTGCCCAGCATCGCGGGTCAGGGTGCCTGCGGTTGTGTCCTCTCGCGAGTTAGTCGGGTTCTTGGCAGCGAGGACCTGCGCGCCATAGAGGAATGAGTCTGATGCGTCATTGCGCCCAACGAGATTATTGCCGTTGGCCACATTCGCAACATGAGTACCAGTAACTGGGGAATGCCTGCCGTAACCGTTACTGGCCCGGTATCCCGAGGAAGCAGGCGCGGTGGCGTAAGGGTGAGGAGGCGCGAGCCCCGAGCTTTCCCGGGGTGTCTGACTCGCGCGTCTGCTGACAGGAGCGATGGGCTGTACACTGATATCAGCACGAGCGGCGGGATCTCGACTGCCGTGTCCTTCCCGTGTGCCCGGACGCCTAGTGCTGTTTTTGATGTGAGCGGGAGTAGGCGCAAGGACGAGAGGAGTAGAGGGCGCTGAACCATCTGTAAGTTGCGCCCGCGGACGGCGGCTTGTCTCACGATGACGAGGAGTATGAGGTACGTTAGCGGTGGCGTGAGCCTGTGCTAATAATGATGCAGGTGTCTGGAAACATTCAGTTACGATAGGCTTCCACGATAGGAACAAATTGCATACATTACCGGCCTCCCAACCTTTGCCGTTATTGATCAGCATCCAGTCAAAGATGCCATCATCCTGCTCGCCAGTATTCTTCAACACTTTGGTAAAGAGTTCTCGGAGAAAGTCGTAGTCGGGAGTTTCCTCAAAGCCGAGTTTGCGGACGTAATTCATGTAGATCGCAAACTCCTCTGAATCAGTAAAGACCGATCAGTAAACCATAGTCTTCAGCGCATCGGCAAACGAAGCAAATAAACGCCACTGGAGGAACTAAACGAGCACTTACCGGGGAATCCCTCGCACAACTCCGCAATAGGTGTAGTCTGCTTCTTTTCACCGATCTTTTCATACTTCTGCTTGTTTGTTGCGGCCCTAAGGCCTTGCCAGGGAAGGCCGCCACGCAAGAAGTACATGAATACATGGCCTAACGATTCCAGGTCGTCCCGACGTGATTGCTCACGGCCAAGATGCGTGTTGATCGACATGTACCGGGCAGTGCCTGAGAGGGACTTGCGCTCGCGATAAGGAATGTGGACTTTCGTCTTGGGATCTCGGTAGTGCTTCGCCATGCCAAAATCTACCAATGATGGTTAGTGTGTTTGTTGCAACGCAATCAAGAGGTGGAGATCTCCGCAAATTCAGGGACACGTGGGTACGATCGGGGGAGCAGAAGGACGTAAAAGGGGAGCAAGAATAACTTGGAAATGACATACCAATGATGTGGATGGTGTTGGAGGTTTTTGTTCCAGGGACTCCGACAAGAAAATTGTCAGGCTTGATATCACGATAAATGAGCGACTTGTCGTGGACGGACTGAATGCGAGATATCTAAAAAAAGAAGATATGAACAACTGCAACGGAACAACGGAATGAATCGAGAGATAGGGATAGAGAGAAAATAACTAAACGCAAGTATACCTGCCCAATACACGGGTACAAACTTACCATCTGCTTCGCGGACATACATACAGTCTTAATGGTAAACTTCCGGCCACACATGTCGAAGAGGTCCTCTAAATTGGGGCCGAGAAGGTCAATTACCAGGACATTGTGGAGTCCCTCTTGCCCAAAGTGGTGTACTTGGGGGACACCGACTAATAATAATGACATATTACGGTCGAGCGAGGGAAATATCTGGCACTAGCACATACCTGTACCATTCAGTGTTCTGTATGATCGAAATTCATCCCGTAATTGAGGAGCATCGGACTTTCGAGGTTCCTGGGTAATACGTCAAAATCAAATCACAATCAAAAGAACCTCGCGGCGAACGTACAAATTTGATGGCGACAGGTTGGCTGGTAAGAAGCTTTGTGCCTGTGAGGAGCTGTAGTGAGTCAAAGGACCGAATGGCAAAGAACACCGGTAACAAAAATTTTGCTCAAAGCCTCAAGTAAATAATTTCCGCTCTGACGGGATACTCGGAGCTAAGTTGATCTAGTTCCATTGGTACTAAGTAACCATGACCATGATGATCGCCCACCGGCGACCCATGGACCGAAAGCACCCTTCTGCATGACATTGGCTAGTCGTAAGACGGGCGCTTAGAAGGAGTAACTCTGTTGATATCGTCCATGCGACTCACAAGCCCAAAAAATTCTAGAAAAGCAGGAAGACTTCCTATGTACGACGCTCACCTTCAAATACAACACCGAATGAACCTTCGCCAATCTTCTTGCCAACACGAAAGTGGTTTCCGACGATACCATTTGAAGTGGCACTTTGAGAGTGGTGCCCCGAAGACGAGGCTATAACGTGAGGGGTCGTCATTTGGATGAAAAGATAATAATTTTGAGGGACACCAGTCCGGAAACGCAGAGGGAAGGTATAAAGGATGGACTGGTGTGCTTGGGGACAAGGAGCGGATGGAGAGAAAGCACACCAACTAGCGGACTTTGAATTGCCTTATTTGTACTCGGCCGACACGTTCCTCTCTTACAGCGCCGGTGCGCCTCGGTGCGCGCTCGCTCCCAGCTGCATTTCTCTCGCGCGATCATCGTCAACACGTTGCCTTACTACTTACACGATGCAAGCTCTGAGCTAACAAGAGCCAACAACTTGCTAGTAGTCCCCCTGCAAATTTCTTTTGTATGCCGAGAAGCGCTTGCTCCATATGATGCTCCATCAAACTCATCAAACGGATTACTCACTAATTAAGTCTCGCATGTAGGTTATTTCTATCAGTGCTATGCGTACTCACCAAAACAATTATTACAAGGAAAAGGCTCGCAGAGGCCATGCACCAGTGGCAGCCGGTTCAAGACAGCATTGTGCACAGCGATATCATGGTGTTTCGGTCATGATCCGCGGGATATGAAACACGGTATATTTTCCCCTGCCAGTACCCTCACCTTGGGCACACTTTTAAAGGACAGGATTTGACTCATCAACCACTTCATGGACAGAACGTCACAGCAATTACATGACATACCATTTCATCCGTGCGGGGAGCCTTGTGAGCATTAAATCCCGTCAGCTTCTAGACGATTTACTATGAACATATCAGCTTCCGGGAGTGTTTCAGATACTCTGTGTATCATAGCGTATGCATCAGCTTCGCCGATCGAGCTCCACCTTCGATCCACGTGTCGGCCCCGTGTCCTTCTGTGAAAAATGCTCCCGCGAAGCATCCAGGACTCGTGCACGTTCTTTAATCAACCCGGTCTATCCTTCCGGTTCCCTGCGTTTCCCTCGGTCAACATGCCTGATCGTTCCAGGCAACTATCGCGCCACCCTTTTATCCTTTTACAGGCTTGCCGTTGGAAATGGTCTTTTTATCAGAGTCCAGGGCAAACCCGAGGGAATGGCATAGCGAGTAGTTGCGGATATCTCAGAACTCCGATGAGCCCTGCCGTCGGGACATGGACGTTTTGCGGCATCGGCCATATTCAGCGACTTCTTATCCTTGATGTCGCACAACAAACCTGATGACTTACTTTGTGTACCGATTTTGTTGACTTAGACCTACCCGCAATCTTTTAAGCGCAATCAAGGGTATTTGTTTTTGCGGACACGTCTGAGATTCTTGTGGCACGTGTGAAGTACGATGCCCGAGCTGGTCATATGTATAATCATATGTGCTACCATGCATTCATGTTTTCCATGGTTGTGAAAGTGGGATGCAAATAGCGCTATCAATGAATCTTGAAACTGTCAGTCAACTACAGAGCTGCCGAGTAATCGATTTCGTCACTCGCATTCTCCGAGGACTACCACCAGAATGTCTAGATTTGCTAGGCGCTACAAGCCACAAGAGCGAATGTTCATATTACAACTGTGTCATAGTCTGATGGAAGACTCGGATATTTGCACTAAATCATTTATCTCTAACCATAACTAGGAGTATGTGAGCACACAACCAAGCACTGATAGAAGATGAGCTATATCTACGCGCTATCATACACCATCATCTGATGTGCCACAGCAACTAATGGCCACACGCCGTCAGCCCTCGCATCTTCTTCGTATGCCTCCTTTTGGCGCAATAAAAAGCTGTGTGTCACCGGCCGCTTGGAGGCGTGCCCATGATGGACGCCCCCGCAGGTGGCAAACATTCCAACGGGACCACCAAGCCACATGATGTCGTAGTCAATGTCCGCTGCCAAGCCAGTCAACGGCAAGAGCTGCAAAGGGGGTAGGGAAAGGAGGGTCGCGGTTATGTCGAGCCGGGTACGTTTGATGGAGTCAGATGCTTAGGTACGAATGAGTATGTGGGTTTGATTGGAGGGTACGACGAATGTCCGGAACGAAGAAAAAAAACTTACGAGGTAACGGGGGTTGCAAGTGGGGCAACCCAGGAGAGAAGCACTTGACTTCTCGATAAGAGAAGCACGCGTTGCTAGAATATGCAGAAGCAAGACTGGCACGATCCGAATCGAACATTTGGAAGTATCTTTGAAATCGGCCAGCGGCAATACGATAAGATTAAGCTAGCTCCGGTTGTAAATCCCAGGAGCATAAGTTGGAAACACACCTTTCGAGATATTCCATCGTCATTTTCGACATTTGTTCCTCTTCATCGGGTACTATCACGATCGTTGGAAGGTCGTTCAAAGGCCTCGATGGAGCGGGAACATCCGTAGATGGAGGATCGGGCTTAGGTGGTGCCTGAGATTTTGAACCTCCCGCGGGTGAGGATGATACAGATGGCGATGCTACATTCCTCCGTGGCCGTGGTGGGATGGGGAGTTTCTGTGTGGATGGGGGGTACTATAACAACAGCATCATCAGGGCCGGTGACCGGAAGTGATGCAGCCGACTGGGAGCGGTCTTCAGGTGTGTGGTGAAGAGAAGCATTGCGCTGTTGAGCATTTGCCTGATGTGCAAGTGTGATCGTAGCAGCAAGATCAAGTTCGACTGGTTGCAAAGTGTCTGACCAAACTGGAACCGGACTCTTCCTATCACAGTATGTTCAATATCAACCACTTTACGCCACACATGGAACTCACTCACCAATCTACTATTACACCATCATCTCTACTAGGAATCAGAGGATAGTCCACCCAACGCAGTTCGACGTACCTGATAAGCAACTTCTCCGTTTGAAGTTTCAGAGCCTCAATTTCACTTTGACACTTTTTGGCCCATATCCTTCGATGCTCCTTGTACCCAGAATTCGGAGGCAAACAATTCAAGGGAAAGGGGGCAAAGCGCTTTGTCCCGGACACAACCAATTTCCGTTGTGGAGGCGGAGGGGTCGGACTTTGTTCGCGCTTCACCCTTGCGCCGTTGTATTGAACACCAGAAGACCTGCCCGCTGACATGGAGTCATTATCATCCTGACGGGGGCGCTTCAATGTCCTGTGGGCTTCGGGTGGGGGCATCTTCGATGACACCCAGGCTGGTGCACAATATTCTGGAAGTTTATTGTGAAAGCTCCTTGCCACCGCTGCTTTGGATGTGGAGGGGCGGACTGGAAAGACTGCTGCGAGGGAAGTCACTGAGTAAGTACTAGGCGTCTGAGTAGCTAGAGAGATCACGGACTTTACTCGGAAAACGCCGGCCACGGCGTCTGCTTGCCTTTGTGCCATTTTTCCTGACCCTTGCGATGTTGACTGCACCAACAAACCTATAGCTACGAGATGGTGGTCTGGGTGACAGGTTGCCTATGATTGCTACCTCCTTGCTCTTGAACCAGGTGAGCTCGTTTATCAGACAAGAAAAGGACAGGAACAAGACAGGAAAGGAAATTTCGATTACGTGTCTGCAAGCTGATTGGCCGAGGTCGCCACACACGCGCACAGGAACACACGCGACTGCATCTTAACCGATAACTGATTTCAATGCCTGTAACGGTCACCTTGGGCCGCAGAGCACAACTTTACCTTGGCTCTGTGACTTGTGCGAAGTAAAAGCGGCGTCAGGCCTTCAGCGAACGCACGTTTGCTGGTATGCTACCAATCAACAACTCGAATGAGCAAAAATGGCAGAGAACTTAGTGCTCCAGGTTAGTGATCTAATGCGTCTCCAGGGCCCGGATCACCAACAATCAGCTCCAGGATTTATATTAATAGGAAGAAATGATATGAAAGATTCTTTGACGTTTCTTCATCGACGTCCTCTACCACCTCCGTCAATACCATGGCTGGGAAGAAGGTCGCCCTCAGTAGTGTTTCCCTCATCTTTGCGTACGTTATATCCTGTGTTTGTTTTTCATTTTCAAACTGATAACGATTTCGAACATTTTCTCACAGCTGTGGAACTGCTCTGTTCTCTGATGGTAAGCAGGTACATCGCACGTCTCTCTTAACGTGGGTTCGATGATCGTTCGCAGGTTATGCCAACAATGTCATTGGTTCTGGTGGGTAATGTATTCATGACCTGATGAGTCTGTTTGATCAAAAATTCGACTGTCGTGCAGTCAATACTCGTGAGCGCTTTTTGCCATGATGATGAAATTCACTGAAGATTGAAGGTGAATCACAGTTCTAAAGCGTATATATGGCACCAGCGGCATCACAACGAACTACAGTACCACACTCAGTAGCGTGGCCTTTGCAGGTGTGTACCTGAGTCTCCTTCGTTGATGCGCAACTAATTCGTCACAGGCACCGTAGTGGGTATGCTCACCTTTGGCTACCTCTCCGATAAAGTTGGGCGCAAATTCGGTATGGTAAGCAGATTTCAACTCCAATCAAGCAATCCGTAATTCATGCTCCCTGAACAGATGTCCGCAACTGGGATTGTTGCAGTATTTTCTGGTCTCTCGGCAGCTTCTTCTGGTGCTAACAAAAGCCTTGATGGTATGCTCGCCATGCTTATCGCTTGTCGGTTAGTATATGTGCCGGTCCGCGATAATATTTGCCGATCATTATCAATAATACAGCTTCCTTCTTGGGATTGGCGTCGGTGCTGAATACCCTTGCGGTTCCGTGTCCGCATCTGAACAGTCGGAGGAAGAAGGCATTGCTAAAAACTCGCATCACCGATGGCTGGTGCTCGCAACGAGTGAGCTGATGTTCTGAAATGTCTTTATCACCAGTATTCTGAAACACGCTGCTCAGACACTATGATTGATGTCGGTTTCGTTGTTGGAGCATTCGTACCATTGGTACTTTACTGGATGTCCGTTTCGCTATTCGCTTCCACATCTTGTAATCCATGTCTAACAATCACTTTTCAGATTTGGGAACAACCACCTTCGTGCCGTCTGGCGCCTCTCACTTGGGCTTGGTGTTATTCCTGCCGCCGCTGTCTTCATTTGGCGGCTGCGCATGGAGGAACCTACTCGTTACAAGCGCGATTCAATGAAGAATGTCCGTATCCCATATGGACTAGTCATTAAAAGATACTGGCGTGGCCTGCTTGGCATTTCGCTGGCGTGGTTCATCTACGACTTCATCACGTACGTTAACAACCGCTTCCGTGCATTCTAGCTAGTTGCTCACATACCTCCAGATACCCAGTATGTTGTCAGACCCTTACAGGATGCATCATCGCTGATATTTTCTGTAGTTCGGACTTTATTCATCCACAATCACTGATTCGTACGCATTTGCTTCTTTTTCATGAGTAAAACTTGACCGTTTTGGCAGCGTTACCGGTGGCAATTCATCCCTCACCGTTGTCTTTGGTTGGAATGTTGTGATCAAGTAAGTTTCTACCCATTCATGATTCATGCTCCTCACATGCGTTTCACAGCCTGTTCTACATCCCAGGTTAGTCTCCTGGACAATTCTGAAACCCCAGGGCTCACATTCTGTCCACAGGCACCGTTGTGGGAGCCTTCTTTGTTGATCTTATGGGTCCCAAAACTACTATGGTGAGGGGTATTATGCACCTGTGAAGTGCCTTTTCTCAATTTCCTGTCAGATCACTGGCCTTCTCGCGCAAGCGTTCATTGGATTCATCATGAGTGGTCTCTATACCCAGCTGTCACAACACATTGGCGCTTTTGCTGTATGTATCTCTTCAACACAGATAATTGATGCTGAACGGCACATTAGGTTGTGTACGGTATTTTCCTGAGCTTCGGGGAGTTTGGTGCGTAAGGCTCCGCATGCACTCACTGTCTTTTGACTTGTTTTCGCCTAGGTCCTGGAAACTGTGTTGGTGTATTGTCTGCAAAGTCCGGGCCTACTGCTGTACGTGGCCAGTACTACGGTGTTGCGGCTGCTATTGGAAAAATCGGCGCATTTATTGGAACTTGGGGTACGCACCACACAATTTCTTACGACAAGTGAACTGAGTATTTTGTTTGTGTCCGTCCAGTGTTCCCTATCATGATCACGGATTTTGGTGGCTCAAGTTCATCTAAAGGCAACACTGGCCCCTTCTGGGTTGCCAGTGGTCTCGCCATCCTAAGCGCACTTATTGTATACTTCCTTGTAAAACCCCTAGACCCCGACGGTATGAAGGAGGAGGATGCCAAGGTGCGCAATTGTCTCCAATTACCCACGACGTTTATACACTTCACCATGTAGTTCCGGGCTTACCTTGAAGCGCACGGTTTCGACGTCTCACTTATGGGTCTTCCCGAAACCGAAACCGTGTCATACGCAGATGGGAAAGAAAGGGATTCAGTGATCAAGGACGCGGACTCAGCCACCAAAGTCGCAGTTTAGCCGTGCGGCAAGCTATTATGATGATAATTTACGTTTACGTTTGCATACCATGATATTTTCCTTGCTTGAACTTTTTGTACGAATACCTGCTGAATAACTTAAGATGCACGGTCTTCACTGAAGTGATGATGTACCTAGGACGCGGGGAATACAAAACTTCTTGCTGAAGGTAGCTTACCTTTCATGCGATCAGGACCCCCGCTCTCCTTGTCTGGTTGTGTAGATGATTACTCAATGGAATTGTGACTGACCGAATCGGTTGTAGTTCAGTCGGTCGCAATTCTTCTAAAAATTCAATAGGAAGGAGACGTGCAAATAATGAAGCTTCTGAAGTTCTCAGATGTATTGGATATTTTACAGCAATTGAACAAGTCGCTTGGCAAAGACCGCAGATACGATGCCATTATTGCTGCATCGGCTCTCCAGTTGCCTTCCCCGTCTTCGCAAGCTCATTCCTGCCAAGATGTGAGCTGAGCACGCGTATCATCAAGACGAGGGGGAAATTGCATACCGTAGCTGCACGCTGAACTCATCCTCGATGTCGTCATCGTCCCAATTATCTTCCCAAAGTTTATCCCCCGCTGATTTTGCGACGCCAGGAGCAGCACCCTTCAAGTGCGCTAGATCCGTACTAGAATCATCCCAGTCTATCAGACAAACGTGATCAGCAAGCATCAATGACATGGATGATGACTGGATTATCACCTGCGACTTCGAACTCTTCGAACTCGTCGTCTTCTTCGAGAACCCCCAGATGCGGCTGGCTGTCGTCTTCCTTGGGTTTCTCCGGTTGTTTATCTGCGGGTTTTGATGAGGATGCGGATGAAGACATGCCGGTACAATGTCGGACTGAGTACTGGTCTTGGACGCGTTGTAGGCCGCGTCAGTGTGATGACCGTGGGAAAGAATATGATTTCGTGAATATGCAGTGGACTTCTCGCAGCCTGTGACAGAGTCCAGACAACCCTCTGAGCGGCAGACGCACTATCCGCTGGAGACTCTACTCGACTCGACTCGACTCGTACCATCGGCTAGTAGCGCCGATCAACGCAGCCGAAACCCCTCCCCCAACTGGCAAACTATGTACTCAGTCTTCCAGACTTCTCACATATGTTGTCATAGACAAAGTCTGTGCGGGCCAGGTGAAAATTGACGCGGTCCTGCCGCGGTCGTGACGCGCTTGTTACGCGGCATATATGACGCGGCACGCTCATGTTCAAACCACATCTTATGTCGCTCGAATTGAATTCCGACAAGTTCCAAGCACTTTGACTCATATCGTCGTTAATGATCAGCATGCGAGTGTCCGTCTGCGTACAGGCCCTAGACTGCGGTATTCACTTCCATATTTACAGCGCTTGTCTACTAGTGTCACACAGTGCCATCTTAGTACCGTAATTCGTCTTGTATTGTCTCTAATTCATTGACCTAATGTTGGTTTACATCAGACACAGTGAGATTAAGTGTTGTCTCGCTAAGTGTCAAGCCTCGACCTCACATTGTCAAGTCTCGCTACTAGTAAGTGTCAAGCCTCGACCTCACCTTGTCAAGTCTAATACAGTCTCTATACTACCATGTTAAGCCCCGACCATGTCATCTCCAGCCTCATTCAGGCTGGGTCAAGCACTGCTCATACCATGACAGGTTTTCCCAATCATCTTCACTCATGTCAACCTTCACTCTCACCTGTGCCGCGTCAACGCCCATTGCATGCCGCGCCAGTGCCGCGTCAACGCCCATTGCATGCCGCGCCAGTGCCGCGTCAACGCCCATTTCATGCCGCGCCACATCCGCGTCAACGCACATTTCATGCCGCGCCACATCCGCGTCACGCCTGCCGCGTCAGCGCCGCAGCCCCGGTCGAACGAAATTATAGTAAGCAGCCACTGAGTGCGCTTGTTGCTCAATGTGGGATTCTAGCGTGCTATTCGTGCTCGATGAGACATCATGATTAGGCTATGCCAATCTTATTATCAAGCTAAGTAGACGCTCCTTACTAACATCCATCATCATGAATAATCCGCATGATCCTTTCTTGCTCATCAAGACGTTTCAATTCATTATATAGGTAGCAAGGTGGGGAAGAGTCAGAAGTCCTCTAACCACGCTGCACTTTCCACCATTTCTTATCATGTCTCCGCAACAGAAAGCTCTCATTCTTCCAAAAAAGCAGGGCAACTTCGAGCTTAGCTCCCGCAGCATCCCCAGTCCTGGTCCTGGGCAGCTCCTGGTTAAGATTCAATCTGCTGCCCTGAACCCGGTTGATTACAAAATGAAGGACACTGGGATGTTCGTGACCCATTACCCTGCCATTCTGGGATCGGATATTGCTGGCGTTGTCGAGGCAGTAGGGGAAGGTGTTAAGAATTTTCGCAAAGGCGATAGAGTGTTAGTCACATCTTTTCGTCGGGTTCACCTCTGCGTGTCTAGGCTCAACCTGGGTTTACAGATTGGCGCATGGTGCTTTTACTAACGATCTTACTGGGTTTCAGCAATACACGCTGACCGTTGCGAGTTTTACTGCAAAGGTTAGTTTTGAGAGGGTTCGTTAGCTACGTCATAGGCTACATCCCATCCCAGATTCCTTCAAGCTTGTCTTTCGATAACGCAGCTACCGTTCCTGTGGGGCTGGACACCGCATTGGTGGGCTTGTACGGAAAGGAATATGGAGCCGGAATAACCCCTCCTTGGACGAAAAGTGCCGGCGATCACGAATCAAAGAAACCGATTGTTATTCTTGGCGGCTCCTCCTCTGTGGGTTCATACGGTGAGCGAAGTGTGTTGCACCTCTTCAACTGGATTCTGACAGCATTGCAGCTATCCAACTTGCTCGCCTATCAGGATTCTACCCTATCATAACCACAGCCTCCAATAGCAATGAAGACCTTGTAAGGAACTTCGGCGCAACGCACTTTTTTGATCGGAACCTTTCCGGCCAACAGCTGAAGGCAGCCATCAGCAAATTTACCGACAGCCCTATTGAAATCGTTTATGACGCTGTCTCGCTGCCAGAAACACAGTCTGTTGGATGGGAATTGCTTGCAGAAAACGGTACCCTCGTATTAACCCTTTATGCAACGGTCAAGGAAGATGAAGGCAAGGGGCGGAAGATTGCCCAGATCTTCGCGAGCCCATATGTTCCGCAAAATGACGAGCTGTGCCGCAGCTCTTGGTCTATGGTCGAAAAGTGGCTCTCAGAGGGTACAATTCAGGTTTGTACTGCGATCACCGTTTTGAATCTGTCTCACATTTGTATAGCCGAACAATCATGAAGTCCTTCCGAACGGGCTTGAAGGTATTATTGGAGGGCTGGAAAGGATGAAATTGGGACAGATATCTGGAACGAAGTTGGTTGCGCACCCTCAGGAAACACAGTAAATTCATGTTTTTCGCGGTCGCCAACTTGTTCGGTGACGTCTCTTCATTTTTCTTGCATCGGGCTGGAATGATAATGATACGATATGATTGTGTAATAAACTAGGCGTCATAATTATTAGTATGTAAATATTTACAGTGTAGGAAATCAGATCGAAAAGAATGCTAGTATAAGTGCAGACTCTAAAATAGTCAGCGGTGTGTAGAGTCTTCATAGATCAGTGTTCCTCCGGTCAGTGAATCCAGGTGTTTGTCAACTGGCAGCCTCGCCGATCCCCACCAAGAGAAAAACCCAAGCCAGTTGTCAAGGCGTAAATTTCTCAAGATAAGTACACCAGATGCAAAGTGCACCAGCATTCTTTGCATTTAATTTCCTACACTGTAAATTTGTGCATTTGCCTAGTTTATTGTACAATCATATCGTGTCATTGTCATTCCAGCCCGACGCAAACAAGATGAGGAGACGTCATCGAACTAGTTGGCAACCGCGAAACATGCATTTACCGTGTTTCCTGAGGGTGCGCAACCAACTTCGTTCCAGATACCTGTCCCAATTTCATCCTTTCCAGCCCTCCAATAATACCTTCAAGCCCGTTCGGAAGGACTTCATGCTTGTTCGGCTATACAAATGTGAGACAGATCCAAAACGGTGATCGCAGTACAAACCTGGATAGTACCCTCTGAGAGCCAATTTTCGACCATAGACCAGGAGCTGCGGCACAACTCTTCATTTTGCGGAACATGTGGGTTCGCGAAGGTCTTGGCGATCTTCCGCCCCTTGCCTTCATCTTCCTTGACCGTTGCATAAAGGGTTAATACGAGGGTACCGTTTTCTGCAAGCAATTCCCATCCAACAGACTGTGTTTCTGGCAGCGAGACAGCGTCATAAACGATTTCAATAGGACTGTCGGTAACTTTGCTGATGGCTGCCTTCAGCTGTTGGCCGGAAAGGTTCCGGTCAAAAAAGTGCGTTGCGCCGAAGTCCCTGACAAGGTCTTCATTGCTATTGGAGGCTGTGGTTATGATAGGGTAGAATCCTGATAGACGAGCGAGTTGGATAGCTGCAATGCTGTCAGAACGCAGTTGAAGAAGTACAACCCACTTCGCTCACCGTATGAACCCACAGAGGAGGAACCGCCAAGGATAACAATCGGTTTCTTTGATTCATGATCGCCGGCACGCTTTGTCCAAGGAGGGGTTATTCCGGCTCCATATTCCTTTCCGTACAAGCCCACCAATGCGGTGTCCAGCCCCACAGGAACGGTAGCTGCGTTATCGAAAGACAAGCTTGAAGGAATCTGGGATGGGATGTAGCCTATTATGCAGCTAACAAACCCTCTCAGAACTGACCTTTGCAGTAAAACTCGCAACGGTCAGCGTGTATTGCTGAAACGCAGTAAGGTCGTTAGTGAAAGCACCATGCGCCAATCTGTAAACCCAGGTTGAGCCTAGACACGCAGAGGCAAACCCGAGGAAAAGATGTGACTAACACTCTATCGCCTTTGCGAAAATTCTTAACACCTTCCCCCAAATCTTCGACAACGCCAGCAATATCCGTGCCCAGAACGGCAGGGTAATGGGTCACGATGGAACCGCTGTCCTTTATTTTGTAGTCAACTGGGTTCAGGGCAGCAGATTGAATCTTAACCAGGAGCTGCCCAGGGCCAGGACTGGGAATGCTGCGGGAGCTAACCTCGAAGTTGCCCTGCTTTTTTGGAAGGACGAGAGCTTTCTGTTGCGGAGACATGGGAAAGAAATTGTGGAAAGTACAGCGTGGTTAGAGGTCTTTTGACTCTTCCCCACCTTGCTACCTATATAATGAATTGAAACGTCTTGATGAGCAAGAAAGGATCATGCAGATTATTCATGATTATGGACGTTAGTAAGGAGCGTCTACTTAGCTTGATAATAAGATTGGCATAGATGTGATGCCAAAAATAGATAGTGTCTCATCGAGCACGAATAGCACGCTAGAATCCCACATTGAGCAACAAATCCACTGGCTGCTTACTTTATTTCGTTCGACAGGCCGGAAGTGCGAGCAAGCTCACAAAATAATATTTTGTGCGCTTGGATTTTGCTAATAGGTGCACAGAAGTACTATGTCTATGACAATGTGACAAGTCTGGAAGACTGAGTACATTGTTCGCCAGTTGGGGGAGGGGTTTCGGCTGCGTTGATCGGTGCTACTAGTAGCCGATAGTACGAGTCGAGTCGAGTCGAGTCTCCAGCGGAATCCTAGTGCGTCTGCTGCTCAGAGGGTTGTCTGGACTCTGGAGTATGTCACAGGACAATTGGCGTGGGTTTTTCTCTTGGTTGGGTTTGGGTGTAACATAATAATCCCGCTGGTCGAGCATTCGTTTGGCAGCGCAAATCTGGGGAAAATTTCGGCGTCTCCTTACTATCACTGGCAGGGTTTTTCAAAGGTTTTCAATGTTTGATGCGCAGCACACTCGTCACAAGGTTTTTTTTCCGCTTCTTGACAGACCTGTGGGAAATATTGTGCTCTATCACACCCCCTGAGGTGAATTCTGATTTTTTTTGCGATAATATTCGAGTGTCGGAAGGAATCCGGTTGTGCGATGTCAGTTTGGCAGGGACTACTATCCGTTACGCTCTATTTGTGACGGTCCGACACCAGCAACACCATTTCGTGAGTCACACTCATGTCACGCATAGTAACGGACAGTCACACTGGCCATGCTCACGTGCTCACGGATTGCAGCTGCAGTAATTGGTTCAGGCGGATGGCAGATGGAAACACGTGGAGTAAACCGGATAAAGGCGACTCCCTGCAGACAACAGGGAGTCCTTTGAGTATTATGACTAGAAATACATAGCAGAATAAGCCTGAAACATCACGAGCAAATGCGAGACTGAGACTAGGAGACTACGAGACTGGTAAGAACCCTAAAAATACATAGAGAGCAGAAAGAAAACACCCCAGAACAAGGAGAAAAGTCGTCTCGACCGCTATATGGTATAATAAAGGGAGGGTTGGGAGGGAGTAAATGGTTTGGTTTGAATAGGAAGAATAGAAAGAAGATAAATAAATTAAGCTGAACGAAGTGATGATAGAGACGTACCGAAATTACATGGGCAGGTCATGGACGGAAATTTGCCCATGAAAAAGCATCGCTTGGAGCAAGACGGGATTTTTTCGAATGTAACACTCCCATGTAGAAGAACGCCAACGTCCGATACACTGGATGCTAGCAGGTGGCACACTAGCCGCCGCAAGGGAAGTAGCCCCACCCGCATGCAATGAATGTCCAGCTATGCTGGCGGGAAAGAACATCAGCAAATGTGCACATGCTCTGGCAGCATCTGGAGTGGCTGGATACAGACTCTCCAGAGCGCCAGCCCTGTCTATGGACCCAGATAGAACCCGTCAGTAACAGACCGACATTTCTGGACCCAGGCCAGACACAGTGACCACCAGACACTAACCAGACAACTAACCGGACATCAACCCAGATAATCAAACAGGCCATTACAGGCTTGATACCATTTGCGACATTCTATTAGCATACATCCTCTGTACCTAGCTAGGCTCACGCTACCCTCTCCTCGTTGTCCTCATCCTCGTCATCCGAGATCGGGATATTTGCACGAGCTTCCATGACATCATCAACAACGTCGAGTGTCGAAGCCTGTCTGCTATTGGTCCGTTGCCCCGAGTTCGCATACGAGATGATGCGCATCCATTTTCCAGCTGGAATTGAGCTCGTTGATGCTGTATATCCTCGTGCCACAGCACCCCAGTAAGTGTCGAATTCGTGCTTCTTGGACCGCTTGGATGAGTTGGGCTCGCCATCTTCGCCTTCGAGCTCCTTGGCATTTTCCCCACTTTTGTAGAGCGTGAGGGCACGTTTGTACTGTATGGCAGGTCAGTAGCTACACAAAAATGGTCATGGCATGTGACGCACAGCTGCAGTGCTGAGGGCGAGTGCACCAGACGGTGGTCCGTTCGATTTCAGGGCATCTCCGACTCGCTGAACATGGTATGAGAATATGTCGAGGAGGGTGGCATCTTCCCAAGAACGGAGAAGCTTCTATCCCCCAGGTCAGAGTCCAGGTGAACGAAGATAATCATAATGTACTATACCTCTGGGTCTCCGTAAATGAAAGGAATGACTTTCTTTCCATCTCGCGTATGGGGCAGGCGTGCCGCAATGAGTTCAGCACGAGCATCAGGGTCGTTTCTGTAGATCGGATTTTGAACAAAAGACCTCTTCAGGAGCTTCAAGGCCCTCTTTCCAAACTCGCTTCGCCATTCATTGAGTCTATCAGTGGCCTGCGTGAAGAATTGTCAATCAGCGCTGTTAGTTTGATAGTACATCGAGAAACAACCACCTTTTTCTTCACTGCGGGATGGTCAGCAATATCAATCTTGATGTCTTCAAAATATTCGTTCCAAAGTTCTTGAAGTCGTTCCATCAAGTCTGGATGTTCGTTTGTTCCAAATGGGTCATTGGTTGTGCCAGCCCAATCCAACAGCGCGCGGATCAATTGATCCCATTGTTTGGCGTTCTCACCCTTAAACGGCAGGTCGGATTTAGATCGCTCTCTGAGGGACTTCTTCGATTGTTTGGCTTCTTGCACAGCGTCGTTTACTTCCACCTTCGAAACACGCAATCCCATCTGTTGATGGCACATTAACATAGGATCTTGACTTGTAAGCGCACTTACTGTAGCCGTGGTTCGCTGACTGCCCACATTCCCTACTTTAGGGTTATTGTCTTTACTCCTTCGCGCTGCCTGCAGACTTTGCGCTGGTTCATCATTGTCGAACTCACCACCTCCCAACTCATCCCCCGAAGAGGTGCCAGTGGCTGTCATGCCAGACCATGATGATCGCGAAGACGACCGTGAGTTCTGGCCGATCGCACTTGGAATCAAGTGTGGCTCTGACTGGTTCGCCCAGCTGCCTTTGCGGTGGTCTTTTCCAATCTTCTTCTTCCAATCGCGTTGGAGATTTGTGGCCTGATTGTGTTTCTTTCTCTTTGCCGTGGTCATAACCCTTTGCACTGTGAGTATATGACATTTGCTCTAGACGACCACTCACTCTGCTTCAATATCTTCAGATTGGTCTGCTTCTTTTCGTTTTTTAAACTTCGCTCCTGCTTCGGCAGGAATCGTACGAGCTGCGCCAATATCCTCCCTCATACCACGACGCTGCTTGGCCTTGTGTGAGTTTTGACTTTTCCGTTTCTTATTCACCTGTTCCTCTAACTCGTCATCATCTATTTCCAGTGCTCTATCATCACCGTCTGAGTCGCTCAGATCGCTCAGATCTGATCCTGTGCGACTGGCTTCATAGTCGCTGCCCGAGTTGCTGGCTATGTCCTCATCAATCTCGGCTGGTCACAACTGGGTAAGCAAAACTCATTCAAGTGACATGGCGCTGACCTTCGATTGCCTTCTGCTTGGCCTTCCCAGATTTCATCTGCTCTGCGATGGTAAGTGTTTCCAATTGACTAGTCCCGTATTCCTTGTCTTCCTGACGAAGGTTATCTTCAGCTGTGGCGATTGTCTTGATCTTCCGCTGGTGTTCCTTCAGTGATGTCTTTGCTTGTGTGGACTTCGCTTTCGCGGCAAGGGCTTCGTCGGCCTGCTTTTGACTTGTCGTTCGCCGTTTTTGCGTCGCATCCAATATCACTTTTCCTGGATTATGGTTAGCGTTGGTGCGAACGGGTCGGTCAGTCATGCTCAGCCCTAAACGAGGGGGGGATTCATGATTAAAATTTTAGACTTTGTGTTTGTTTTGATGTTGTGCGGGTCTGTGCGCAGTTTGAATATACTTTTGACCTTTGATCAAATAAACTTACACCTGCCTCCAAGACTACTAGTATTCTGTCCGACATTCAGCGTCTCAGCACATGGCCAATTTTCTGGATCGTTTGCCCTGCCCCTATTGTGGCATGAACTTCAAGTCCCAGCGAGGACGTACCAAACATATTCGGACAATTCATTCTTACGATCACGACGATCACATTTGCAATGACAAAGTCCCTGCAAGCCCCCGAGCTGACTCAGACTTCAATGATGCACGCCCAGACTTTGAAGACGAAAGCCGGGACTTCGCTGACACATACTCAGGAGATCATGACGCTGATGCCCCCCAGCCTGAGCCTGATCACGATCGGCCAATGTATGGCAAGATCGAACATCCGTACTTGTTTGGTAAGTCTCAATTTTTGTAATGTGCGTATACTTAAACAAAAAAATAGGTAGACCTTGTGATGCGCAAGGCAATCCCCTGCCTCCAGGTACTGCTCCCCCTCCACGTTGTACTGCCGACGACGATTGGTCTCCCTTCACCAATCAAGCCGACTTCCTCCTAGCGGATTTCCTCTTCCGCAAGGTAGAAATGTCAGGTAGCGACATCAATTTTCTCATGGAGTTATGGGCGTTTAAGATGCAACAACTGGGTGAAGCAGCAAGTAGCCCTTTTATCTCGCATAAAGACGTCTACGCCACCATTGATTCAATCCGTCAGGGCGATGTTCCATGGGAATGTCTCTCTGTCGATCTCGGAGATACTATTCCTGACGATGCGCCGAGTTGGGCTGAGCATTCTTATCAAGTTTGGTATCGCAACCCAGACGCCGTCATCAAGAACATGCTCGACAACCCCGATTTCCACCAGCAGTTCGACTATGCACCACATGTCACTAAGGACCGGCGTGGCCAGCGCAAGTGGCAGAATTTTATGTCGGGAAACTATGCCTGGCGTCAATGTGTAAGTCCGTCCTCCCAATGTCCGAGTTTTCAATGAGCTGACCTTTCTGCCAGGACAAAATCTACAATGAAGACCCTTCAACTGAAGGGGCCACATATGTTGGTATCATCCTGGGTAGCGACAAGACCACGGTGTCTGTCGCCACCGGGAATGTTGAATATCACCCGCTATATCTCTCAATCGGCAACCCACACAACGGAGTTCGACGCGCACACCGCAATGCGGTGACCCCGATTGGGTTTTTGGCAATTCCCAAAGGTACGTGCCATATAATCTAATCTTCAGCGTAACGAAAGTAATATAATAGTCAGCGGAACGAAAGTATGACGATGACGTGGCTTTTCGCAAGTTCAAACGTCAGCTATACCACGCGTCCATCTCGGCAATCCTACAGCCTCTCAAGCCAGGAATGGAGACCCCCCTGATTCGTCGATGCCCAGACGGTCACTATCGACGGGTGATATACGACCTTGCGGCTTATATTGCTGACTATCCCGAACAATTGATGGTAGCTGGAATTGTGCAAAACTGGTGCGCTAAGTAAGTTGTTTCAATTCTATTGTTCTAGGACCGTCTCTGACGTTCGATAGATGTACTGCTCTGCCTGAACACCTTGATGGAGTCGGAGGCCGGAGAACACGCGAGTTCATGCACACGTTGGTCGATACACTATCCTCTGGCCTCCTTTGGGATCAGTACGGAATCGATAGTGATATTGTGGTACGTCTCGTTAAGTTTTAAACTTGTAGCTGTGCCTCTCATTGTGCTTTCGATGATCCAGCCATTTACCTACGATTTCCCGCGCGCCGACATTTATGCGATGCTCACGCCCGATCTCTTACATCAAGTCATCAAAGGGACGTTTAAGGACCACCTTGTGGCGTGGACCGAGAAATACCTTGCAGAAACAGAGGGCGAGGCTCGCAAAGATGCGATCATGGATGACATTGACCGTCGGTGAGTACTCTCGACTTAATTTGTGTCTACAGCGAAATATTGACTTAACCTTAGTATTGCAGCAGGTACCGGCGTTTACGGGACTTCGTCGTTTCCCTCAAGGAAGACGCTTCAAACAATGGACCGGAGATGATTCAAAGGCTCTAATGAAGGTGAGTGTCTTCTACTAGTGTTTGGAATTTGTGATTAATATCCTCCAGGTTTTTTTGCCAGCAATTGCCGAATATGTCCCACCCCAACTCGTCCAATGTGTTGCCGCTTTCTTGGACTTCTGCTACCTTGTTCGACGTCACGAGATCGGAGAAGACACGCTCACGCAGATTGATGAAGCGCTGGCTCGGTTCCATGCCGCAGCGTGAAATCTTTCGTGAATCTGGTGTCCGCCCAACTGGTTTTTCGCTTCCTCGGCAACACGCACTCGTCCATTATCCACGACTCATCCAGGAGTATGGTGCGCCAAATGGCCTTTGTTCATCCATCACCGAATCACGGCACATCACTGCTGTCAAGCGGCCATGGAGACGTTCTAACCGCTTCAATGCCCTGGGGCAGATGCTCCTTACTAACCAACGTCTGGATAAATTGGGTTTGGCCCGAGTAGACTTTGTAGCTCGAGGGATGTTGCCGACGACTGTTTCGATTCCCTCTCGTGGTCACGACAGCTTGCACAACACCGTGGATGAAGAAGCCATTGACGAGGACAATGTAACTGAAGCTAGAGTAGAGATGGCACGACGGCGACGTAAGTGATAATATTCTGATCCGTCGACCAATGCTGATGCTTGATGCAGAACGGGGTTATCCTCGCGTGCTTCAGGTCCTGGCAGCATACATTTCTGAGCCATCGCTGCCGGCTCTTACAAGGCAATTTCTCCACGAACAGATGGCGCTCGACAACAGCATACCCCTCCCCGAAATCATTTCACCCATCTCAGTATTCCATTCCGCCTCTGCTACATTCTACGCACCGAGCGATCTCTCAGGTACCCGCGGTGTCCGTCGTGAGATCATCAGGTCGACTCCTGTTTGGCGGGGGAAGGACCCTCGACGTGACTGTGTGCTGATCGTAGAGGATGACGACAAGCCTGGCATGCGAGGAATGATAGTTGGCCGAGTGAAGCTGTTTTTCTCCTTTTCTCATGAGGGCCAGATATACCCGTGTGCACTCATCGAGCGTTTTTCCAGAGTCGGTCGTGGGCCAGACCCAAACACTGGAATGTGGAAAGTCAAGCCGTTGTTGGACAGGCAGAAGAATCGAGTGCAAATGGTCGAGCATCTAGATGTGATTTTCCGGAGTGCTCACTTGATCCCTGTGTTTGGCGACGGGCCTCTGCCTGATGATTTTCACTTTTCTTTTTCACTGGACGTTTTCAATTCCTACTATGTAAATAGATACGCAGATCACCATACATTTGAGATTATATTTTGAATTAATAAACTCGTTCTTTATTTGACCGAGGAACTTCCAACTCCGAGTCTCGCACCACTGGTGAAATTTTCAAGTATCCACTGGTTCACTGGCATAGGGGCTGGTAGGGTCTGTGTGATTCACTGGGCTCCGTGAAAATTTTAACTATCATCTGGTGGTCTGGCATAGGTCTGTGTGATCCGCTGGGCGGCGCTGGGGCGTTCTACCCAGAGGCCCAGCGTTATCCAGAGTATCCATCACTATTCCAGTGGGGTGCACATTTGCTGATGAAGGCTCGCAAACGCCGAATAAACCATGCCCGCGTTGGTGGCGATCCAGAACTGCGCAGCCACAGAAAAGGTTGGAGAGGAAATTTGACATCACGCATGTTGAGATACACGACGAAAGGAGCAAGCGGATAATCGTCACCCTCTGAACGCTGAATAAGGACCTGATTCCCTTCAAAATGAATGTCCATCTTGTCCCTCGGCAGAAGAAAGGAATAGTAGTCCATGTCCACTCGAACTGAGTGACGAAGTGACAACTTTGAGTAGTCTTGAAGGTCGAGCTGATCCGGCCATACCAACTCGCCCAATCTCATGAGACCGAAAAACCCTGATAGGAGTTGGGAGACCCAGAGAAGGTCGTCAAAAGCCCGAGGCCTGGCAAGGTCATGAATAACCCGTACCAAGTCTTCGCGCATGAGAGGCTGCTTGCGACGTGCCGGATGTCCAAAACGACGCGCTGAACCTTGCAGCGATCGTTTGACTAAGAGAGATTGCCGGGTAGAGCGAATTGCTGGGAAGTAAGGCTCGAGTTGATTAACGATGCCAGTGAGGTAGCATTCAACCGAGCGCGGCTGAATGTGTTGACACATGTAAACGACATAGAAGGATAAAGTATCTGGAGTAGGTTCGACAGGAAAGTCGTGTAGGGCGCAGAAAGACAAGTAAGAATTGAGATGAGAGGAATAAGTGCGAGTTGTCGAAGGATCAAGGGCAAGACCAAGCGAGATTGAGCGCTCGAGAACGAGACGCTCCAGGGTCCAAGCCTCCCTTACGGGCTGCTTGGAGTTGGCGGAGAGAGTGATCATTTTTTCATTGCCCCCAGCGTATTCCGAGGGGGTTGAAAAGAGGAAATTACCAAGCCCGGAGAGGCTTCCCGAGCTTCGTTATTTTGCCAGTGAGAAAGGTGGTCCGCAACGGTGTTATGGACACCAGGAACGTGAAAAACACGCAAGTCAATATCTCCCTCAAGAATGACGTCGACGGCGAGCATCAGCAACCAATTGTAAGGCGGAAGAGCTGCAAGAGTGTTGAACATTGCAACAGTATTTGCATTGTCAGTGAAGACAGCGAGACGCCCGTGAGCATGCATTCTTCGGACGGCATCAACAATAGCGGCAGTGACAGTGAGAGCTTCGAAGAAGTAGATAGTATCAGAGGACAAGGTTCCAGGAAGGTCACACTGAAATCCATGATTGATAGCGGGATACCAGAAGGCCAACCCGCTGGCAGAAGCATTGGTGTAAACGGAGAGAGTCGCTTGTGACATATGATGAAAGTCCCAGCTGATAGACCGGATAAAATAAACTCCGTCAGAAGTGAGGAGATGGCGCATGAGCCAATTGAGTTCTCGGACAACGTCCCGATTGACCCAGATTAAAGCCCTTTGCTCGAGCTTGCCTGCAGTTTTGGCATATAGAGCCGAAAGACCAGGACGAAGCAAAGGATACACGTTAAGAGCCCAGTTAAGATGTCTGGCGAGGCGCTGAAAGTCGCGCAAAGAATGACGGGTCCCTTGAATAGCAAAGGCTTGGATTGAGCTGATGAGATCCAGACACAATTCGTCGGACATGTGAACACGCAAAATGTTGGGATCCACGTCAAAACCAATAATGGGCAACTCCTCTCTGAAGATCTGTTTTCTCTCCTCATGCAGAACCCCAAGGCGATCCCACAATCGGAGGAGCTTGCAAAGGTTGCGTGGCAAAAGTTTGCGATAAGGTGCATACATCTCCATCTCCTCTTTGCGCTGAAAGGAAAAAGAGTCATCCACATAGATGTAGATATAGAAGATGAGGATTTTGACAATTGTGATCCAGATGACGAGGGCCATAAAGGCATGGTAGATCCGTTGAGAAGCACGCCCGCCGAAAATGTTGCGCCGGTCAACGAAACGTCTTCCCTCAAAGGTGACAATCTGCTTAACCTGCCATAAAGGGTGCAAAATGTCTTCCCTCCCTAAAATAATCTCTGGCGAGATGACGAGAGTAAGTTAGCCAGATACAAGCAAACTAGATAGTAATACCCACCTGGCGAGACGACGAGAGTAAGTTAGCAAGAGGCGAGAGCCTCCTAAACTCGACGTCTGCCAGGAAATCCTCAAAACTCCGCTATAGGAGTAAAGGAGTTTGAAAAGAACTGAAACAACATCGGAAAAGGCAACGCCTTCCGACAAGAGGATAGGCCGGTGAAAACACATGCTGCTGAGAGAAACACTGGCAAGGCCAGAGAACAGCAAGCACGCAGGCCAAGAGGACAGGCCTCGAGCGGACTAACCGCAAGAACACGCAACCGCTGGCTGACCAATTACCCTCGTATAACTTACATTAAACCCAAATAACTGGGGGTGCGCAACGCCCGCAGGGCATTCATGATTCCCACGGCGCCGTGAGAATGGATTTTGTGCATTCAAAGTGACACACTTTGAGTCGCGCTGCGGTAGCGTGTTTTCCAACACAACTACACCAAAAGCGAGAGACATGTAAGAGAGGAAGTTGTAGAGGAGACCCTGTTCTGTATTTTGTTGTAAGGGATTGCGCATATGTTGAAATTTGGCTTCTTAAATGCATGAACAGTGACACAAATGACCTAAAGTGACCTGTTTGTATGGCTTAAAGATCAGAAAATAAAAATCTGTTTTCAAGAAAGCCTAGAGTGAGATCTCCTCTAAAACTTTCTCTCTTACACGTCTTTCACTTTTGGTGTAGTTGTGTTGGAAAACACGTTGCAAGCTCGAAAGTAGGGGATTTCACCACTATAATCTTCAGCCACAATCATATCTTTAATCTATTTGATCAGCTATCTCCAGTACTCCTCGAGATCTCTTGACCTATAACATCACAACAACTCCACCAAACATTATGAAAATTTGCATGCAGCTGATAAAGTACCTGAGGAAGGTATTTGCAAATTTTTGTGCTCATATGTTGCATGCGAGAGTTGTGAGACACAGAAACATCACTGGGTCACTTGTATTTGCGCAACTTGCTGATGGGAAAATTATGTAAGCGGCACGAATGCCCTGTGGGCGTTGCGCACCCCCACAATAACATGCTGTAAAATTTATTGTCCGACGTCGGCAGCCACGGCAGGTGACACCAAATCGTGATTTTTGCTGCTGTCACACTGAAAACATGATCTCCACCATTTCTCAACATATTTGTTTCGTTTCACTTGGAATATGCTAGTATAGTATGTAGAACATACTCATGGTGATGTAGCTAAAGTAATTACTTTAAAATTGAGTGCTGCAGACAAAATCACGAAATATTGGACCATCACAAATAGAGCGTAATGAATAGTAGCACCTGGATAGCCCAATTGGGAAGCCTTATTAGTAGTGCTGCTGCGGTCTGGTTCTGTTTGGTTCAGAGGTGGTTGGATGAGAACCAAAAACCGGACCAAGGTTCGGTTCTAGTTATTTCAATGAACCTTAGACCGAACCTTTGCAAACAGTTTGCAGTTGTCAGGTTTGGTTTTTTCTTGGTCTGAACGTGAACTGAATGCAAAAAAATTACAGCCAGGAAACAAAAAATAGGCAAGATATTTGTACTCATTGAGTCATAGTTACATGTCCAATGAAGCCGCATGTCCCTCAGCCTCTGCTTCTGCAGAAAGATGCCCATTCCTATATGCTCCCTTCAGTAGTTGTAGTGCAGTGAACGTATCAGTTGCGAGTGCATTGCGTTGGATAGTTGAAGTGATTCCTCCACTTGAGAATGCTTGTTCGGGAGGAACAGAGCTGCCTTGAATGGGTAGATAGTCTTGTGCCATGCGCGTGAGTGTAGGGTATTGCAGCGAGTGAAGCTATTAAGTAGATTTAGTAGTGAAAAAACAAGTCAAAAAGAAAACTTACCCCCCACCAGGCCACAATGTCATCAGTCTCCTCTAGTGGCGAAGACAAGTACATGTTGAGCTCTTGATGAGGATTGTGAGTAAGGTGGTCTGATGTCTTATGCGTCCTAATAGCCTCGCGCATCCAATCATCACCATAGTGCTTGTGTACACTGGCAGCTCTTGTTGGCAGAGCGGATTGCTCATTGGTAGTAGGTGTTCGACTCGACGGTGTATAATAGTCGTTGAACTACAAAAAAAATAAGATTAGAGTGGGAAAACAACATAGATGAGTACTCACCACAGCCTCCAGACAAGCTCTGCCATCTGCAACATCTCCAAAATCCCACCAGCCTTCAACGTATGCGAGCTTATAGTTTGGATCAAGAACTTAAATTATATTAGATAAGAACAAGTTTTAAAAATTGATAGTACTCACCAAGACAAATAAAATAAACGTCCAATTGACTTGTTTTCTTGAAGTATTTGTCGACATTCTTGAGTCTGGCCTTAATCGCATCAGCAATCAGAAGATATTGCAGGTCATCTGCCATGGATCTCCATCGATCAGTGAGGCACTCTGGCATAGGGATTATTTTCCATGTGGTCGGATGTTTTGCTGATGAGAATGATTGCTGAGCTGTGGCTGGTTCCTTGAGGACTTGGTGAATAAGCCTGAGGTGTCTCCAATCACTTTAATCGAGCTTGAAGTTGTTGTAAGTCTTGTTGCGAAGAGTTGGCACTTCGTGGCTTTCATCGGCAAGGTTGGTGAAATGGTTTATGACCTATTTAATTAAAATCAGGCCGCTTTTAAACATTGAAAGGAAAAAAAACTCACTTGATGCAAGATCAACATGTGGTCCAGGCATTTATATAGTGACGCCCAGCGAGTCCGGATCCATTGCAAGAGCTCAAGTTCAGGTACATTTTCCTCTTTGCAAGCCTTGCGGAAAAATGCTCGAGCTTGAGGGGACTTTCGGATCTGAGGATCTCAATCAGCACAAGAATAGTCTAAAAATATAGCATGTACCTGCTCAATGAGGGCAAGAGCTTTGCCAAGTGAATCACCAGTATTGAATAAGGTGTTGTCATCGTCATCATTACTGATGTCCATAGAAGAAAGCTGTTTATTTAAGGTGTCAAGGTCAGCGTCATTGACATTATCAAGCGCTTGTCGAATTTTCTTCATGAGAGCAGCTTGAGGTGTGGGGGCAACAGCGTCAACGAAGTGGTGTGCTGCGAGATTAAGTATATGTTCTTGGCACCTGATGTGGCGTGCATCAGGTGCCCACTGCATACCCTCAGGATCGATTTCTTGTCCAACTGCTTTCATGGTGGTATCATTATTGGTGGCATTGTCAGAGGTCATCCATCCGACCTACAACACACTGATTAGATTCAGCGCAGCAAAGTAGTAGACTAAACTTTACCTTATTTCGTAGTTCATATTTGTCAATGGTATCAACAATCAAGCGAGCCGTATTCTGACCGCTATGATTGCCCTGGATGTGTGCAAAACTGAGTTGCTCACAGCGTAACTCCCATTGCTGGGGTTTGTCATTTGGGCTCCAGATATAGTGGCCTGTGATGGAGAAGAAAGGATGATTGACGTCCATGAATTGAAGGTCATCGAGACTTGACTGTCTACCTTTGCGAGATGCTCATGAATGACATTGACCACCTGCACTGCGCGTACCTTAACAGTCTCCGTAAGTTTCGTGTGGTGTGGCACGTCACTTTCAGCAAGGGTGGGGTGGACATAACGAAGCAAGTTGTGGAAGGCTGGTTTGTCGACAAGTTGCAATGCCTCATCCTCGGTCACAATCAACTCCATAATATACTCCAGAAGCCCTGCCTTGGTAAACATGGGCACTTTCGGGGCAAGGCTGCCATTGAGGGTGGATTGCCTTGAACTATCTATGAATCAGTACAACACACTACAATACAGCAAATGTAACTCACAGGGATTGAACCTCACCAGTTGCAACTGCTCAAGGGTGTATGGTGATGTTTGCGGCTTCGCAGTGTGACTTGTAAAGTTGAAAATGGCCTTTATTACTGATAGATATATAATATTAGTGATCATTCAAGAGAAAGAAGACTTGAACATACCGACAAATGTGCGTGCGTAGTGTAGAGATACCTCCGCGAAATGTGTACTTGCTTTCAAGTTCACCAGCATCCCTGCAAGGTTTGCAGACCCAATGTTTGTTGTTGCGAGTGAAGATTGTTTGAATATCAGTGCTGCGCTCACTCTTTGATAAAGCGGCTCGGATGGTGGTGTCTTGAAGATCCTCGGGTTTGTCCTCAGGTGCTGGTACATCTTCGTCCTTGGCCTCATCTGATTGACCAGCACCGTGGTCAGTATCAATATCCATGTTGTTGTCAGATAATGGAGTGGAGAGCTGTAACACAACCTTCTTCCTAACTAGTTGCTTGGTTGTACTAGATAATGTGCGCTTGCGGCTTGTTGAAGAACAAGCATTGTTGGAATCACAGAGGTGCGAATGGAGCATTGAGCACCTGCAGTAAGTGGCACTGGTTTGCATCCAGTCTGCAGCAGCACAGAGAAGGCGTCTGTGGGTGGCTGGGCAGAGGAGGATGGAGTGGAAATGGGGACGGCATCATCAGGATTGTTGTAAAAAACAATGTCTTTGGCGTCCTTTAGAGACCCATTTGGGTTGAGGGCACACTGTGCTTCAGGTTCAGACATTGTACCAGTAGTCAAAATATATCACTCACCTTGCTCCCTTTATATGTGAATACCCAATCTCCTACTAACTCATAGTATGCATTGAAGGATCCTAAGAAATATAATATGTCAATCAGTTTATTGCGCTTGATTTGATGGAAAAGTCATACCTTGAGCTTGATTGAACAGGTAGGAGTTTTTGGACAGCAGGGTGTGCGGGATGCAAACCTCCGGACAGGATAAGTCGAAAAAAGTCTTGAGAATGCCAAAGGTCAAAGTGACCATGGCGAATCTTGAGGATTGAGAAGTCAAAATGACCATAAGCATGTGATTGAGCCTTGAAGGTGTTGCAAGGAAGATTCAGTTCGGGGTTCGGAACGGTTCAGGAAGGTCCGAACCTACAGATGAACCGCACAGGAGTTAGTGGACCACAAACCTCATTCTGGTTCAGTCCATGCAAAATGCTGGACCATGGACCAAACCAAGGACGAACCTGACCAATGGTCAGGTTTGAACCACGGTTTGGAACTGGACCACGGCAGCACTACTTATTAGGCTTAGCAATAGTGTGCCTCGTCAGCTACAATTAGGCTCAAAAACAGTAATATCCCAACACCAGCATCAAATCATGCCCTAAATATTCTGATACCTTATATATATCTACTGTACTTGTAGCCTGGTGTGTATCCTGCCTTATCCTGCCCTATGCTTGATTCTGGCAGTTCCCACACGCCTATCTTGGTCATGATGGTTGATCTGGTGGGTTCTCACACCTCCTTCCTCCTACCCCCTGCACTGCTGCACACTGCACATAGGGAACTGCACGGGTATACCCCCGGGTACCAGAGGTCATACCTGCACCTGTACCTGGTAAAAACCCGTACCTGCACTGGAGGTACAGGTTTTGCTGCGGGTATTGCCACCTCAGACCTGTACCCACACCCGCCAGGGGTTTACCCGTGGGTACCAGGGTAGAAAATTATACAGTGGGAAATCGCCATAGTGCATACCTCTTGTGCCTCATGGGCAAGCTCAATTTCTTCCTCACATATGGTGGTCCAGAACTCCACAACCTGCAGTGCGACTCGTTCATCAGAATGCTTAAGTGAGGTGTTTGGGAAGAGACACATTGGCAGTGCTTGTAGACTGAGGGTGGAATGACGCACAAGGCATTCAGCTGATTTGATCTATGTAGGTTATAAGTAGCTGCATTAATGTTAGGGTTAGAACAGCGTACCTTCAATATGTTCGCCTAGTGGCGTGCTAGACGATCCAAGAAGTAGGTGCATAGTTCTTGACCAAGGTGGCACAACAACAGAAGACCATGAGTTGGCCAATGTCCCTCATGATGTCCCTCACCAAAAATTCGACTGGCAGGGCTAGAACGTGAATGGACAGATTGTCCAGCATCTTGTGTGTAAGGGATGAGCGGTACTTTTGGGCGTCTGTAGAGAAGGAATTGTTGGAAATCACGCTTGTCAAAACTTACCGTAGCTTACATAATCACCTACCTTGTGTAGTGCGCATGTCAGTAGTCACAGAACCTTGCTTTTTACCGTTGTCGTCCTTCACTGGACACTCTGTTTCCTTACAGGTTATGAGCCCTGAGCTCTAGTCTCACCTCTGCCGACTCGAATAGCCACTGCAAAGTCCCTCGAACTACAACTCGAGCTTTCCCCCCCAGTGTCTGTGTGACACCCGCTTTAGTGTCTGTGTGATGCTACCATCGTTGCGCGTCTGTGTGACGTCGCCGCCACTCCATTTGTCTGTGCGACAACCCCCACTGCCCATCTGTGTGACACCGCCACTCGTCTGCCTGTGTGGCACCCTTGCATACTTCGTCTGTGTGACAAAACCTTAACCCTAACCCCTTCCCTTCCTTTTTCGACTCTCCACTATGTCAAAACTCGCCTTCGAGAAGCTCAACGACACCAACTATGCCGAATGGAGCACGCAAATGGAGGCTCTTTTGAAGGAGCAGGACCTATGGGATGTTGTGAATGGTGAGGAGACTAGGCCCCTGTTCGGACCCAACTCAAAGCAGGTGAAAGCCTTCGTTCGCAAGCAGCGGCTTGCGAGGGCCAAAATCATACTCCACCTCTCTACCTCTCAGCTCCCGCATGCACGTGTCGAAGATGGGGACCCCAAGGCCACCTGGGACAACCTCGCCCGTATCCACCAGTCTTGCGGTTTTGGCCGTATCTTCTCCATGCTCTGTGAGCTCTCGACTATGACCAAGATGTATGAGCAACCCATGCAAGCTTGGGTTGCATCTGTACAAGACCTCGCATTCCGCCTCAAATCTGCCGGTTTCGAAGTTGACAACACCATCATCATCGTCACCCTCCTCCGAGGCCTACCCTCTGATTACTCCCCTCTCATCACCACTATTGGTGCTACACCACTCGACGACCTCACAATCGCATCTGTCATCAACCAGATGCTGAACGAGGAGTCCTGCCACCAGCATACTACAGAAACAGGGGTTGCAATGCATTCAAACCACCAATCATCCCGACACAACCAGACTCACCATGAGGACAAGCCAAAGTCTGTAACGTGCTTCAATTGCCGTGGCCATGGTCACGTCGCCAAGAATTGCCCATCCCCACATATGGATCCGGAATCAGAGTCACAAGAGCACTCAAAAAAGAGAGCCAACCAGGCTGTTCACTCTCGTGCTGATTCGATTTTGTCGGACACTTCCCATTCATCATACTGATACTATCCCCACACTCTTTTAATTCTAGACTAATGGACTACTAGTACACTCCTTACAGATTTCGTCTCACTCGAGGGGTTGTGTTGGAAATCATGCTTGTTGAAACTTACCGTAGCTTACATAATCACCTACCTTGTGTAGTGTGCATGTCAGTAGTCACAGAACCTTGCTTTTTACCATTGTCGTCCTTCACCGGACACTCTGTTTCCTTACAGGAATGTGTTGATGGGGAAGATGAGCCTTCAGAGGGTGACATGCTTGACAATGGAATGGTGGGATTGCAATGGGTGAGTCGTGTGGAGGGGGAGGTTGCGGAACAACCAAGAAATGGAGCTAGTATTGTCCTTGAATTATGGGAAGGCTACCAATACCAGTAGAATCTGCGATGAGTACACGCAGGGATGTGAGATGAGTCAAGAATGATTTTTGAAGAGGTGCAAAGTGCGTCAAGAGAAAATGTGGAAGATATGTACTCCGTAAAGATAGCTGTTCAATGAGGGTTGGTGCCGTATGAATAGAGGGAATTGGTAGTGTGAGTAGAGATATTATGGAGTGGAGGAGAGATGGTTGAAGGCATGGTGAGGGTGCTAAAACCGGAGGGTGGGATGGGGACACAATGTTGCAGTCAGTCCATGTGTCAGTAGATGATATGGGGACAGTCCTCAACTTGAGCTGAGGCATGCAGTTGTACGTAGTGTTTAGGTGAGATGGAGAGTCAGGAAGAAACAGGCTAAAGATGACAAAGAAATGCCAAGACTAGTGTACAGAGTGCAGGGGTAACAACGGGTGAGTTCTGCGTGGGGAGGGAACATTGCGATGGAAGGCGATGAATAGCTCAAAGGGGGGCCAGAGATAGAGCCAGGGTAGGAGGCTGTGATGAATACACAGACACTGTAAAATTGTTGGCACGTGCTTGACAACACATTTAAACAGTGAAAACTTACCATTATCATCCCAGTCACTGACAGCGCCACCACTTGATGCGGTACTCAAAACAAAGGCAGCTCTGAATGAAGCCGCTGAGCAATAAACAATACCTGCATGGAGACAATCAGACAGAAATTGACACACCAGAGAAAGACATACCTCCCTGTCCCGCATTGGAGCCACTTTGACAACATGAAGACACCATGGGCACTGTGGGAGTTCAATGTCTTCGTTTGTGTGAGGTTGAGACTGGAAGAGTGAGGACAGGCAATTGATGAGTCCATCTGGACATGAACCCGAATGTGTTGTGGGCATGACCTGTTTGGGAGGACTGAGAGTACAGAAATCAGGACAAGAATGAAGTAATAGAGATGCCGATGATGCATGTGAACCTCAGCTTCCATGCTGTCAAAAAACCTAGGTGGGAGTTCATTGATATGACCCCCAAACTCATTGTGACATCACTGTGTTGACATGAAGCGATGTACCAAACATTCTTTCTCTGGCCTCACAATTGATGATTTACTTACTTTATGTTGGTACTCTTACTGCTGACATAATCCAATGAAGTTTTGACCTAGTACCAGTATCAGTCTGAAAGTCCCCTGTCCTTTTGTCTTGTTTCCTGTCTGTTTCTCTCTCCTTGAGCACTGAGCCTAGAGCAGAGACCCTTTAGGGTCGAACTAGCCTAGGCCAGCAAGACCCAACATATTCTCTACAGCCTGTGGAGAAGTTGTCTGCACAGCGAGCCAGTGGAAGGTCGAGTATCATATCTCAAGTGTACGTACAAAAAAGTGTCGGTACTTTGCACAACTGAAAACTAAACAAATTACCATTTTAGGAAGGCATGGGTACACCAGGGGTATGGGTTAGAGCATGGGTCTCAGAAATCTGACCTGTACCTGTACCTGTGACCCACATGGGTTACCCATACCCGTGCAGATCCCTAGCACCGATGCACTGATGAAAGCGATGAAAGTGATGGTTGTTAAGGATTGATGGAGGGACTGGGGAATGTGCTGTTGGAAATTTGACTTGTGAGGTGTAGAAGGGGCTGTCTGAGTGTTGGAATTCGGAGGGTGAACAAGCCCACACCAAGTCAGTTTTGACAAAACAAAGTACATGTTTCATTCTATTGTGTTTTCGTTCATTTCGGACGTACCATTATGCGCTCTTGTTGATTCTTTTACTTTTGTTACAGTTTCACGCATTGATTTGTTCGCACAAGAGCACTTAGTCTATTTAACTAGCTACAGTTGCAGACTACCACCTCAGATGTTTGCCTTCGCGTGCAATGACCAAGGTGAGATACTTACTTTTCATTCATTTGCCTTTACTTACTTTGAGCAGAGTGTCCATTTTGTACAGACCCACGTGATTGTATTAACCCTTTAGGTTATGAGCCCTGAGCTCTGAAGGAGCTCAACGTCTCATGTTTCAACTGCTAATACACAATGTCTACTACTGTTCCCATCACCACAGATACCCTGCCCTCCAACATGCCCAAACTTGATCTCAAAGGCATGAATTGGGCCATCTTCAGAAAACAGACTAATGAACCAATGGAAAATGATAGAATCACTTGGTGATATGGTAGAGTACACTTCATTATACCTTCCTTATCTTTTGTATAGCACACATGTCATGGTATGAACTGCATACCATGCATGACAACAGTTGAATCTGGAATGCGCTGGGTAAGCAGGTGTTTGGCGAGGTTCTCGTGCTTATACCATTGAGTGAGTGCAACAGGGTCTGGAGGGGATACTGTAGTAGTTCCTCTGGTTTGTGTGGGTGACCCAATGGGCTTGGGGTTAGACCCGTCAAACTGCTTCCACAGATCTTTCGCTTTGACGGCGATTTGAAAGTGATCGTTTCTCATGTATTTTCTGTATTTTCTCGTGTTTCATTTCTCATGTCAGACACGGGGATTTCTATGCATTTCTATTTTGTTCTGTGACCTTCTCTATCTTTCTATTTTTCTTTGCTTATTCATCAGACTTTCTCACTAGCTGACTGATCATGTTTGTAATCAGGTCATGTAACTGGGAAATAATCTAATTTGTAAGGATTCAGCCTGACTCATCATGTGTTGTCATTGATTCGTCATGGTTTGTAAGATTTCACTGTATTTATAATCTTCTTAGTAACCAGGATGACTCAGCTCACCAAAAGGCTTGGTTTGTAAGCACAATCTTACCAATCCATGAGATGACTCATACCTTTGATTTATCATGCTTTGTAAGATAAACACTGTATTTATAATGTACTTAGTAAACAAGCTGACTCAGCACACCAAATGGTATAGTTTGTAAGCACATTCTTACCAATCCATGTGATGAATCATGCTTAGTAATCTGGCCTCCAAAAAGGTATAAAAGGAGCCCATTTTACATGTGAATATAGCTTCCCACTTTATACATAAGTGCAGGCCATTGGTGCCTAGAAGACATTGACTTCCCACTTTGAACCTATCCCACTATTTCCCACTATTTGAGAGTGAGGTTAAGGCAAGACATAGTGAGGGTGCAAGTATCATTCCAACAAAGTAACTTCTAGTTATATGATTAACTAGGTTGCTCACTATTACTATTTTATTGAGCTAAGCTCCACGTATACTTAATGAATATCTCTCTCTTTTACCGCTAGAGAGATATGAAACAGGAGAACACGACAAAGTTGAAACAGACTTTCATAGGTTGAAACACGACCTACTAGGGTGAAACATACCTATCATATTTCTATTCACGACAAAGCCACAGTTGCATTTCTATATAGTTTCTTCAAACAAATAGAGGTAACTTGTTTACTCTTTGACCACCCATAAATAACATATTATCAACTGAGAAGTAGAAAATCTGTTGACCGTGAACTTGAGGAGCTGGCAACTTTTAGTCTTATGAAAGTGTAGTTGTGATTGTCACTGCATTTTTACATGTTTCTATGTAAGACCCTCAAGTAAGAAGACACCATGTTACATGTATGGAACTTGCCCGATGTTGTTGTGATGTGGAAGGAGATCGTGTGTGAATACACCAAGAAGGGTGCTTATGCACAGACAGACCTTCACACAAAATTCCTGGAATTGAAATGTCCTGCTGGGGGCAATATACACCAGTTCTTAGATGAACTTCATGCTAAGCATAACGAATTATCAGCAGTAGGCATCCAGATTGAAGAAAAGGACTACCGGTCCACGATCAATCAGTCTCTTCCGAACTATCTTGCCAGCTTTACTTCTGGGCAACTTGCCGCTGCCCGACTCTATTCCCCTACCCAAATGATAGCACCTGACATCTTGATCTCCCTCATTATTGAGGAATCCGAATGTCGTTGCAGAAAGGATACTCGCACAATGTGTAGTGATACAGGTGCCAAGACCAATGGTGCTGATGAAGCAATGGCGGCCACTGAGTTGTCGCCTTGTGGCCAAGGAGGCAGGGGTGGTAGTAGAGGTTTTCATTGAGGAGGGAGAGGCGGGGGCACCAGACCACGTCCCCATGCTGGAATTGTGGCTCGTGTGAGCATTTCAAGGCACAGTGTCCTGAGCTGGACAAAAATCCCCAGTCTGCAGGCACAACTCGCGCTGCCCACGGATCTGCACACACTGCTGCAGACTCAGATTC